CAGTGATGCTCCAGGCCAACATATTTGAAAATCTACAACCTAAAACAAACAATCATTAAAATGCTTGAAAAAAACAAAAAGGACATCAAAGTATAGACAAATCCGGTCTTAAGAAACAGAGCTTTGTATGCGGGATATTCCTTTCATTAAAAATATTTTTAAAGTTTTAAAAGAGCAAATTACAATCAAAACAAACTGCGTATATTCATGCAAATACCGAAGTACTGGCTTCAAGGCTTGTGATACCCTCGGAGACTGACAGTCCACAAACAGTTGTTTTGACCCATGCAGTGGTGGTTATAATATTAACGAAACCAAGTTTACTCAAGTTATCAGATGCTCATTTCGACTATTAATATCTCTTCAGTGATGCTCGAGGCCAACATATTTGAAAATTCTATATCCAATACAACCGTTGAATGGCTGATCAAACAAAAAAAAAACGTAAAGTTTAGTCAATCACAACAATATCCGTATATCCATAATGATAATACAATGCAGCCAACTTCTAGCTTAGTTCTAAGGTAGAAATATCACGTCAATAAATTGACTTTATCACAGTGATTTGTGTCAATGATATTCAGTGTGAATGAGCTTGTGATATCAATTGCACAATTAATAACTTTAAAAGGTGTTCGTTTTGCTTTAGTCGTAATTTTTTCTTTTTCTTTTGTTATTTTATGTCTGTGTTTTGTTCGGATACGATCTTTTCTGTTGTGGGTCCCGGAAAATTGTGTTTGCATTGTTAGTCCATGTTAGGGTTAAAAAAATTTACATATACCGAGGTTTCATATGTGGGGCGGTAAATTTCTGTGTCGAAATCGTAAAATGTCCGTTTTCAAGTAGATAACTAGCACATCATTCGATTCCTTATGCCTTTTAAATCCACGAATATGTGTTTTTTTCATTAACGTACAACCCCCTGTTTCTCTAAGGAAAGCTTTGTGTCCATCATTCCCCCAGTTTTGCTACGTTCTACCAAAGTTGTTATTGCTTCTTGGTATTTCTAAATTTTTCTTGGTTGTCTGCTGTTTGCATGTGTTAATGTTTATATTAAATGATTATATGTTGATCTTGTCTATTTGGGAGCGGTTTGATGTAGTCTTTCACGTTTGATTTCTTAATTGTGACAGTCGTGTTGATACTATTAACTCTGCTTAAGATTAGAGATAACAGTAGTTTATCGATGTTTAGATATATATAGATATCAATTCATTTTGAATACTAGTATACAATTCAAGATTACAACAAAATCGTGGAGGAAACGTAAGTACTCACAACATAGCAATACACGGGTATGTAATTGTAGTGGCAGCATTAAATATGGGGGGAAAACTCAATACTAAAAAATCACGCAGAAAAAAAAGGATAAGATGTATCGTGATACAAAGCATGCGCTTTAGATCTCAGACAGTGGCCTTGTTAAAGTTTAGTGTATTGTTCACGGCCTGTCCTTTGATTTCTTAATTGTGACAGTTATTTTTTTTATTATTTTGTCTCTGCGTCAAATGAGAGGTAACAATAGTTTACCGATGACGGAATCTAGTAAATTAATTTCGAATATAAATCAAGTTAAACAAAATCTTAGGGAAACGAATTCAAAACTCCAAAACTGAGACCGGGTCCGTAGAAGTAGTAGTGGAGGTGGCTGTAGTAGTCAAATGTAGAATAAGCAGTAGAGTATAGTAAAATGTAGTTAAATGTAGAAGCAGTAAAATGTAGTAAAATGTTAGAGAAGCATAACAGAGTTATGAGGAAGAACGACTGAAATCGACACAACATACGAATTGGTACGCTATGTCCTTGTCAATAGCGACATGTTTTTGCGGTCTTAGATCTTTATATACCAGTATAGTCTGTCTTATTTGTAATTTTCCACGATTGTGACATTTTGACTTAGTGTTGATTCGCAAGCCGGATGTTGCATGCATAGTTTCAGTGTCAAGAACTTTTATTACTTAAATACCAAATATAGTTGACCTATTGCTTATAGTTTAAAAAAAAAAAAAACAAACGAAAACACAAAAACTTAACATTGAGCAATGAACCATAAAAATGAGGTTCAAATAAAACCTGTCTGACTGCCATGTACCTCGTAAAATATTTCCATACACCAAAAATAATTGACCTGTTGCATACAGTATTAGAAAAACAGACCTAAACACAAAAACTTTAACTTTTGAACCATGAAATTTGAGGTCAAGGTCCGATTACAACTGCCAGTTAGACATGTACACCTTACAATCATTCCATACACCAAATATAGTAGACCTATTGCTTATAGTATCTGAGATATGGACCACGATAACTTAACCTTATTCATTGATCCATGAAATGAGGTCGAGGTCAAGTGAAAACTGTCTGACAGGCATGAGGACCTTGCAAGGTATGCACATGCTAAATATAGTTTAGTTATTCTATTTCTCATAATAAGAGAGACATTAAGATTACAACAAATCTTAACTTTTTTTATAAGTAGTCACTGAACCATGAAAATGAGGTCAAGGACAATGGACATATGACAGACAGAAACTTCATAACATAAGGCATCTATATACAAAGTATGAAGCATCCAGGTCTTCTACCTTCTGAAATAGTATTGAAGTAGTAAGTTAACGCCGCCATCACTGCCACCGGATCACTATCCCTATGTCTTGCTTTCTACGACAGAAGTTGCAGGCCTGACGAAAACGAATTGTATCTCCGAAATAATTGATATCTCAATCCTCAATTAATTTCAAAATAAGAAAAGTTGTTTGAATGCATTCTAATTTTTATTCCAAATGCCTCCACTTACGAGAACTATCCATCAAAACTACACGTTGGATTCCTTAAAGCAGAGCTTACCTTTACTTTTTGTTGTCTCACATCTGGGTCGATAACTCTGCTGGTGGACACTTCGTCCAAGATGGTATTACCAGCCGTCAGCAGCCCAAGTACTTCCGAGCTAGCATGAAAATAAGGATATTGTTTTATTGAAATTTACTATTAAAATTGGTTGGAAATAATTAGAAATTAAGGAATGTATTTATCTTCCACATGCGTAGCTCCGATTCCTTGTTCATGTTTTGCTATACTTCTGGTCTATTTGTTTTGTTTTATCAGCTCTTCAACCTTTGTATTAGGTTTTCGATTTTCAAGTATTTTGGCCTCGAGTATTACTTAGAGACATTATTTGTCGAAATGCGCATCTTGTGCAGTAAAAGTAGTAGCTTTAATATTATTTATTAGCTATTTTTGAGATTTCTTTGATTTTACAATTTTTGACATTGAGTGTTCTCCAGGAAATATATTCTAGGTAAAATAAAAGTAGCCTTAACTTGTTGGTAACATAATAGAACTTAATTTCCGTTTGAATAAATTGATATTGCTGCATCATGTTAGAACTTCTCAGTAAGATTTTTACCACATTTTCTTTTATGCAACTTTCTTGTTTTCTTCACTCTTATAAAGGCTTTATGATTATCTGACAAACTGTCTTTTAAACTGATCTAATATATTTTGGAATGTCTCCGTGTGGTTACAAAGTCATTACATTTTAGGTAAACCTTGCATTGGTTTTAAGAAATCTTCATAAAAAGGAGATAACCAATAATATTAGTTACATAGTGTGCTAGTGACCTAATAGGGTATATATATATATGGGGTCAGTAAATTCCATATGGGGTGAGAGCGAAGCTCGAATCCCCATATGGAATTTACTGACCCCATATATACCGTATTACTTCACTAGCACACTATGTAACGAATTTATCTTACCGACTATCTTAACGTGTGAAATTTAGACTAGTAACCTATCAAAATGAGCAAGTCTTCAATACCGTTAGCATTAAGAAACTACTTCCATTGATCCTACAAAAACAGATGCTAACAATAACAACTTGTTAGGTTTAAATGTGTTTTATGAATTTATTTCAATCTTCATCATCAATTTCTTCGTCTGTTGAAACCTTTAAGATTTTTTCTCAGTACCGTTTTGTTTTTATAAAGGGACGTAACACGACTACTAACCGTGTATGAAATAAGCCCCGCCTCCCTACTAACCTAATATGGAACATACACGGTCTCCACGCGGACGCTTTTAACCAATCATATTCCTAGAAATGTATAGGAGGTAAGATAATCATATATACTGTCCTTAAAAGCTTTATTTTGGTGGGTAGTTCACAACCAATAAATATACCCGTATTGTTGGTAATATTTCAAACCTTCTAGGTAACTATCTTTAAGTTAACATGTTTTGTTAGCTGTATGAAATCTGCTTTGAAATAAAGAGTGCGATATAAAAGAGTAAGAATGTATTCACGTTTTTTATCTGAATGAACTAAAACCTGGCTTCACCAAAAACACAAGCTAATTCCTCAGAGGAAATAGACATACAGTGTATAAAAAAAAAACAAGGAACAACATATGGTTAAGGTAGAATGACCTGCAAGTCAGGAATATGACATTTGTTTTCCATTCGTTTGATGTGTTTGAGCTTTTGATTTTCCCAATTGATAAGGGACTTTCCATTTTGACTTTTTACTTGGAGTTCGGTATTTTTGTTATTTTACTTTTTGCATGACCAAATTAAATAGTACAACAGATTAAGACAAGGGTTAACAGACATTTCATAAATTAACTTGTTACTTAAAACACAATTAACAAAACCTATAGATTTTTTTCAAATTGAGACTTAAAGATTGGTTGCTTGATTAATTCATTGTTTTTGGGATTTTGTTCAGTGGCAAATATTACATATATATTCACATATTCTGGACGTCAACATTTTACCAGAAATAAAAGAGGGCAGTTAAATAGTGCTTGCAATTTTCCTTATAAGAAGATTTAATGTAAGAGTTCACAGATATATTGATAGAGGCACAGTTTCAACTAAAAGACACCTTTCAATAGCAATCTTAATCGGCCAGAAGGCAGAGGTTAATGTAGTGAAATGCTGCTGTATTTCTATACTCTAGCAATCATAGGGGTGAGGCATAATGAACAGGAAAACACAGTTCCAACAAAAATTTATTAACAAAGAATAAAAGATCTAAAATTATATGATTAGTGCAAAAAGTAAAAAAATAATATTTAAACAACTTCTGAAATTCACATAACTGGTATATATGATGTAACATTACAGGAAAATTATCAGAACTCATAGATCTTATCCCAATAAAAATATATCATGATACATATGTAGTTTAGAGTTTCTTGAAATATCCAATATAATGGTACCAGGTATATATTTCAAAATATTTAAAATATTCATGCCTTTGTTAATAGAACTTTAGGGCTATCATGTGACCTTTTTGAACCTATTCTTCATTTATTGCACAGAAATAAATAAAAAAAACACTGGTGCATTTCAATGAATGAAGGAAGTTGATTATCAAATAATGGTCCAATGGTAAAGGAATGTCATTGATATATAAACAGTGAAATATATAAACAAAAGATAGCAATAACAAGTAAAGATAAATTGATTTGATAAAAAGTTGATTACATTATTAATAAGTTTTATAGATTGTTGTAATAAATAACAATATAAAAAATATCAAATAAGTGTAAAAAATATAAAAATAAATAGTTATCACAGTGACTAAAAAAATAACAAATTAACAATAAATGCAATATTTAACATTATTATCTACTGTTATGAAAATCAAATTGAAGAAAGGAACAATATATATGAAACTACTGAGTGAATAAATCTACAAAATAACAACAAGGAACTAAATTTCTACAGATGTTCCATTAACTTATGTAACTCATTTATCAATCATCAAGTGAGATTTTTATACCCTTACAGCTATTAGTCTCAACAAAGCTTCTATGAGCGTGGCTAATATTATAAAGTGAGATTTTAAGAACATTACAGTTATCAGTCTATACAGTACTTCTGTGGGCTCAGTTATCAATGATGAAGTAAGATTTTTAGCTCCTTACAGCTATCATCTATACAGTGCTTCTGTGAGCTCAGTTATCAATGATGAAGTAAGATTTTTAGCTCCTTACAGCTATCATCTATACAGTGCTTCTGTGAGCTCAGTTATCAATGATGAAGTAAGATTTTTGCCATCACAAATGAGGTATGAAGTATTGATCCAAGGTATGCATTGCTCCAGTAACATCTTGTAAGATTTTTTTCATATTTACAGTTGACGCATGATCTATCTTCTTTAAATTAACACATAACAATTTTATTGATGCCTGCTTCCTTGAGTTTTAAAATATACTAAATGAAAGACCATTATCCTAATAAAAAACTCATGATTTTATTTTTTGTAAAATACATATCTACCATAACATTATAGATACAGTTTTGAAATCACTGGAGATTAGAAGTAGTAGATATAAACTAATAGAAGAACAAAGAATATGGAGTATCCATCCATGACACAAAAGCAGTACATGCACAGCAAAAATAACAAAAAGCAAAGGAACAGCCCTTTTATTGCTGTTCTTCATCTGTAAGTCACAGTAAGGCCTTTAATACTGAGCAAAAAATCTCTCACCTCATTGCAAGTTTAAGCACTATTCATTTTTAGGGTTTAATCATAGCAAGCATTTCCGGAGGATCATTTAATTTAAGCATTGTTTTTTCTGAATGCATTAGTAGTTCAAGACAAGGATTTTTCAAAAGATTATGGATGCAAGATGGGCAACTAAGAATACAAGTAAAGTAATGACAATACCTTACCCTAAATGCTGGTAAACCAAGAATATAAACATCTAACTATTACCCTGAAATATTCTATTAAGACAAATCAGAAACAGATGACAATAGACATTTATTTTTCTCCATTTGATTCACGACAATAAATGAGGAAAACTACTCTTCCTGACCATGATCCCTTACTTATTTATCTCAAATCAGATAGTCAGAAACTTTTAAAAACAAGAATGTGCTCCACTCGCACTATCATTTTCTATGTTCAGTGGACCGTTAAATTGGGCTAAAAACTCTAATTTGGCATTAAAATTAGAAAGATCATATCACAGGGAACATGTGTACTAAGTTTCAATCTGATTGGACTTCAACTTCATCAAAAACTACCGTGAACAAAAACTTTAACCTGAAGCGGGACAGACGGACGAATGGATGGATGAACGAACGCACGCACAGACCGAAAAACATAATGCCCCTCTGCTATCGTAGGAGGGGCATAAAAAAATAGCTCCAAGTTCTACTACTTTTCCTCTCTAATCTATTTAAGAAAAAGTTAAAAAAAACTTTTTCTGCAAGATTGCTGATTTTTAATATATTAAAACATTCCAGACAATGTCTCTTTTTTTTCATCAGAACACAACTCTTATGACCACATACATAAAGCATTCATGGGGATAATACTTGACTTTTGTATAAAAATAATTTTTATGGATCCATAAAATAGCTATACTTGCTGAGTCCAAAAGACAATACAAGTGTATCATTTTTATATAACTTAAGAAACAGAGCATAGCAATCTTAACTTGGGGTCTGACTGGGGACTTTTTATTTCTTTGGTTATTAAGCCCATAATTCTCAATTTTCATTTTTTAAAACCATAATTCTTTCATTTGTAAACCAGTATCTCAGCAAATAGACATCATTATATCCGAGTCTGTTTGTACTTCTCAACTCATGTCAATGTAAATATAAATATAGTTCACTAATTTATGCAAATTGGTTGGTCAATTATCTAATTTGCATACAACAGAAAAGATGCATCATATGGCAAACTTGTTAATATATGCAGATAGTCAGTTACATATGTATACATTTACTTCTCATTTCCATGTGCATGAAATGAAATAACAAAACACATTTAGGTGACAACTTGTTCAAAATGAAAATTGTAGACTACAATAGAGGGTTGTGGGGAATAAAGCTTTCCTTTGTGCTAAAAGGGGGTAAATTCTTAGAATATATAAACAAAAATAGTACTTCTGAGACAGAAACTTTGTGTCCCCAATTTGATGCTCAATTCTTATGTTTTCTATTTGAATTGTTTTCTGACATCCCATGGCTCAAGCCAGCCCAAAAAACAGGCTATCAGATACCAGATGTAATCTCTGACTACTATAAATATAAAAGAAAACATGATACAAAATAAATATCTGTTTTATCTAAAAATGTATAGTTAAAGGGAAGAACTTGAAACAAAATCACTGATAGGAATTAGTTGAGAATAAGTTACATGTGACTCAGGTAAAGATGTGTCTACGTTTCATATTGACTACATTACATTGGAAATATGTAAATTTACACATAATTTTTCAACATCAGATTTTGAAATAATTACAAAAGAAGGATACATGTAATAAATATGCAACACTATGGGACAGCAACCCACCAAAGAAAACATTAAAAAAAAAACATTACTGCTATTTCTTCAGTTGTTTAAAAAGACTGATATGTTGGTATTGATGTATGACCATTTTACCAAAAAAAATACTGCACAACATCATATCAAGGGAGACAATTACTAAAAAAACATAGTAAACAGTGAATATCTCAGCTGGAAATAACTTCATTCTTTATATTAACTAATTTTATATCCACTGTTTATTATCAATATGTATTTTGAATGTGTTTTGGCATAAATTATCTTTAATCGAAAGAATTTTCATTAGAAGAGCTTATTATCTTCTATAAACTAGTAGAGAATATAACGAGTATTTCTACATCTTAACTTTTTATCTAAAAAGCACTGAAATCTCATATTTTATAAAGAAGACAAGGAAAATCTAAAACAATGCCAGACATCAATTCATTAAACCCTGAAAATTTAGTTAAAAATTATTCTAAAGAACTTAGTTTCTTTATGAGCACTGATATTTAACAAAAAATGCTTCCAATAATATAAACTTTCCCTGGAAATGTCAATTATTTTACATAACAGAACATGTACTAGCGCCTTTGACATCTGCCTGTTTCTGTCCATTTCTGTTTACAGTAGATGCATGAGCTGTCCTTTGTGGTGGCGTCTGATTCTCTCCCCTTCTATTGGTATTAGATGCTGGAGTAATCCTCTGTGGGGTTGACTGATTCTGATTCTTATTCTCTGGTTGGATTTCTGAAAAAGTGAAACAAAAAAATATTGTTAGCATAAATAAGAGTTTAAAATTGAATCTTCCGTTTCAAGTGCAAAAAAAGGATCGATGTCCACTAGGCAATCTTTCAACCATTCAGAATTTAGGACATGTTTGCCATAAAATTGAATAACACTTAAAAAGGATAACAGGAATCACCAAATTATTGAACAGTATAACAGAACACATCAACAACACCAGACTCCTCCTAAATTGTCAACACATGGTCCAAATAGCTAGACTTGGTACAGGAACAAATAAAAAAACTCTGTATTTGCCTATCTAGACCATATAAAATGAATCACTAAATCAAAAATCTACACACTGCAGCTATCAACAGGGTGACCATTAATTTAAACCAGGAAGTAAATGATTTAAAAAGCAGGTTCAAAATGTGCTCATGCCTACAGAAATTTAGCTAAGGAAGCCACAGCTTTTAGTTGAAGACTGCCACTAAAGATCTATTTTACACCATGCTACGACACAAACAGACATCTGTAAGAAATCATGTCATAGACACAAATTCTGACTTTGAGCTGACCACTCTGCTTGTCTCTTAAATGCCCAGTGGAGAAGCAGCAAACATTTAATTCTTTTGTCTTATCTTACTGAGAATTTAAGTCAAGACCCCAACACTGAAAAGAAGCCTCCAGTGACGTAATAATATTTTTAAGAATTGCCCAAATAAAATTTGTAATTGCAAAATATTTATTGTTTCTTACATTTAGGGAAACCTTCATTTGCCAATCTCATAAACTTTATTATCATAAATTTAATACATATAACTTATAATAAGATAGTGTCTGGGTGTGTTGAAGCTGTGAGTATAGATTCATACTTTTTATACTGATATATATATATATATATTTACCTTTATCTTTGAGATCTCCTGATTTCCTGTCTGCTAAAGTGGCTGCCTGGGTAACTGTAGACATTTCTGGTTGCTTTTCTTTCATTGATATAAGAGCTGAAAAACAAACAAAGGTAGGAAGAATAACTAGAAGGAAAATGATTGATCTTTTCTTAGAGAGAAATATATGGATATAAGCTTCTCAATATTTAGCCCCTTAAATCCAAAATAACCTGTTCACACAGAGATATCTCCAACCTTCGCAAATTTGACAACACTTTAACCTGTAAACTATGCAAAACTTTTATGATCAGTATACAATGATCGAGGGTTGAGGATAAATACTCTCCAAAGAAATGAGCTATGCCAAGGCTAATACAACAGCATTACTAAATACAATTGACTAAGTATAAGTGATTTCCTTTGACCTACAATATGATCACAAACTTAAAAACAGGCTAACTATGCAAAACTTTCAAAGCCAATGAATAATGACTTAGTGGTCTGGGCCAAAATATTTCCACAGAAATGAGATGTGCTAGGGCTTTTCCTCAAATAAACTGTTGGCACAGAGATAGTTCCTATCAAACTGACTTAAGCGAAAAACTTAACATTGAAAATTGGTAATTAATTCAAAGTCACTGGACCATGACCTAGGGGGCAGGGCCTCAAAATAGTCGTCAAACTGATATGTAATGATAGAAATGCAATTTTATATTAAATATCACAAGTAGTTCCTATCAAACTAACTTAAGCAGAAAACTTAACAATTGTTGACGCCATCGTCACCAACGCAGTCACCGTCCCTGGAAAAGCAATCCCTTTGTCTCGCTTAAAGCAACTGTCATCGCAGGCTACAAAAAATGTATGGTAGGGTTGGACACCACATAGTGTTTTTTTCTGTTGGTTAAAAGGGTAGAAAAAAACCCTATTCTGTGATAAATGATAATAAGTATTATAGGTGGGGTATAAAAAATATGTTGATCAACCCCCCCTTTTACATTTTTCCTGGAACCCTATAAATCTAATACCGGTACAACTGCATACCAAATAACTTACCATTAGCAGTTCCCTTTAAACATACCTTTACAAATGTTAAATGCAGAGGCATGACAAAGATACTGAATTCTTACAACCTTTTAAAATCATTTTAGATTTATTGCGAAATAAATGTGGTTTTATAATATAGCTACTTCATGGAAGGCATAGGGTAATTGTATTCAGTAATTGTTATCAGCGGAAATTGATTACATTTTTCAATAATCATGCCTTTTCTGATTACAAGTCATTGCAATGTAATCAATTACAATACAAAAAACAGGTGTAATCATGACTTTTTTAAGATGACTTTTAGATTACATTCTTATGATTACTTGCTGATTACAAATTTTATATCAGTGGTCTCGTTAGCCCAAAATAGAAGGGCGCCGCGCCCTGGGTGCCCTCAGCCGCGCCCTGTGTGCCTTCATCCGCGCCCTTTTGCCCTAATGCCTTTTTCCCAACAAGAGTGCACACGCTGAAATGTCTGGCCTTCTTTACTAATCATTGATATTATGTTGATAGTCCTAAATATAAAGCTTTATTACAACTGTCACCTAAACTTAACATTAACCAAGAAAACTAAACATTGACCAATGAACCATGAAAATTAGGTCAAGGTCAGATAAACCGTGCCAGGCAGACATGTACAGTTAACAATTCTTCCATACAACAAATATAGTTGACCTATTGCTTATAGTTTAAGAAAATCAGACCAAAACACAAAAACTTAACACTGAGTAATGAACCGTGAAAATGAGGTCAATGTCATATAAAACCTGCGCGACTGACATAGAGATCATAAAATATTTCCATACACCAAATATAGTTGACCTATGGCATAAAGTATTAGAAAAAAAGACCAAAACTCAAAAACTTAACTTTGACCACTGAACCATGAAAACGAGGTCAAGGTCAGATGACACCTGTCGGCTAGACATGTACACCTTACAATCATTCCATACACGAAATATAGTAGACCTATTGCATACAGTATAAGAAAAACAGACCAAAACACAAAAACTTAACTATAACCACTGAACCATGAAAATGAGGTCAAGGTCAGATGACACCTGCCAGTTGGACATGTACACCTTACAGTCCTTCCATACACCGAACATACTAGACCTATTGCTTATAGTATCTGAGATATGGACTTGACCACCAAAACTTAACCTTGTTCACTGATCCATGAAATGAGGTCGAGGTCAAGTGAAAACTGTCTGACGGGCATGAGGACCTTGCAAGGTACGCACATACCAAATATAGTTATCCTACTACTTATAATAAGAGAGAATTTAACATTACAAAAAATGTTAACTTTTTTTTCAAGTAGTCACTGAACCATGAAAATGAGGTCAAGGACATTGGACATGTGACTGACGGAAACTTCGTAACATGAGGCATCCATATACAAAGTATGAAGCATCCAGGTCTTCAACCGCCGCCACCCCCGGATCACTATCCCTATGTCGAGCTTTCTGCGACAAAAGTCGCAGGCTCGACAAAAATCAGTAAATGTGATTCTGTTGTGCAAACAAAATTTCAAAAGTTCTCTAATCTGTACATATTCAGCCAATTAATCTTTATGAAGGGACTGGAGTGAACTGTATTCTATGTTAAACATTCATGCATGAGTGACCTTATTTTTACATTTTCACACCTTCCAATGTTTTTGTTAATCACAGTTTAGTAATGATCCCTTAAAAGTTTTTATTATTTATTATCATTATTAATGTTATTTAAAGATTTTTATAAAATAATCTATTTCAATGTAAGTAATCAGCAGTTAAATAATAAAATACATTCCATACCCCAAATATAGTTGACCTATTACTTATAGCATCTGAGAAGAAGACCAAACAACAGAAACTTAACAATGAACCATGAAAATAAGCTCAAGGTCAGATGAAACCTGTCAGACAGACGTGCACACCTTACAATCATTCCATACACCACATATAGTTGACCTATAACTTATAGTATCTGAGAAGAGGACCAAACAAGAGCAACTTAACATTGACCAATGAACCATGAAAATGAGGTCAAGGACAAATGACACCTGCCAGACAGACATGTACACCTTACAATCATTCCATACACCAAATATAGTTGACCTATTCTTATAGTATTAGAAAAACAGACCAAAACACAAAAACTTAACATTGACCAATGAACCATGAAAATAGGTCAAGGACAAATGACACCTGCCAGACAGACATGTACACCTTACAATCATTCCATACACCAAATATAGTTGACCAATGGCTTATAGTATAAGAAAAACAGACCAAAACACAAAAACTTAACATTGACCAATGAACCGTGAAAATGAGGTCAAGGTCAGATGAAACCTGCCAGACTGACATGTATCCCTTATAATCATTCCATACACCACATATAGCTGACCTACTGCTTGTAGTATCTGAGAAACGGACCTAATCACGTAACTTTAACCTTGATCACTGATCCATGAAATGAGGCTGAGGTAAGGTGAACCCTGTCTGATGGACATGTAGACGTTGCAAGGAACCCATATACCAAATATAGTTATCCTATTACTCATAATAAATGAGAAATTTACATAACAAAAAAACTAAACTTTTTTTTCAAGCAGTCGCTGAACCATGAAAATAAGGTCAAGGGCATTGGACATATGACAGACGGAAAGTTCGTAACATAAGGTATCTGCATACAAAGTATGAAGCATCCAGGTCTTCTACCTTCTGAAATATAAAGCTTTATACAAATAGTTTACGCCGCCGTGGCCGCCGCCGGATAGTAATACCTATGTCTCACTTTCTGCGACTTTCATCGCAGGCGAGACAAAAACCCTTGTGCCGTTTTGGTAAAATTGCCTTTTGTTTCATCGATTTCTTATCACAAAGTTAAATTACATATATGACACCAGGTGATTGCCCCCAGGTTAATCATGTAATTACAATTAATTACAGTGGATAAGACTTCAAAGGTGTTAATAACTAGGTAATTTAATTAAGACAATGTACCTTTTTGTGATAAATTTGATGAATGTGTCAGCGAGTGTTTTTAGCTAGCTTGAGTCGGCATTTTCGATCTCCAAGAAGAGTTTATAAATGAAGACTTTCATGACTTTACAATAGAATTTAAGTCATCAAAATACAACTATGCCTTCACAGAAACGCCGTCCATCTCAACTTGTGAGCGACAAGCAAACAGTAAACGTGTTAGAAATTAATTTTGGAGTTACTTCCCCTGTTTTAGCTTATTACAAATTTGTGCTCCTAAAATATTATCTAGTACTAAAAATAGGAAAAATAACCAATTGAATACAAAATTATATAAGAATGTTACCTTAAGGATATTAACTGTCTTTGAACATACAAAAAAAAATATATTGCAATTTATTTTTGATAATCATACTTTTAGCAATCCATGTTCTATACATTTTCAAGTTAGAAATTTATAAGATAAATTGTTATGATGAAATTAAGCTGCAATCCTACATAAATGGGAAGTGTGAAGTTTAACTATCATGATATCAACTTGATGAAACTTTACTAAATAATTCCTTAACACAAACAATGAAAAAAAGTTTTGAGGGCCAAACTCTAGCTGAAAATTTTGAAATAAGACAACTCTGTGACATGTATGCTAAACTATGAGATGTTTAGTTTATGTTGTTTTTTTTTTCGAAAAGGGGGGGGGAGAGAGAATAGTAAGTTAATTTTTTGCCTCTATTGGTTTATAGTGATGTGATGTATGAATGTGTATTGACATGTTTTATGAATATGTCGTATGAATTACATTTTCTAATGCAAATTTTATAGAATAAATAATCAACACATCAACTTATGCATCTTTATTAACAACATATACAGTAAAAAAAAAGAATGTGAACTCGTGATACACACAGAAACGTAGACAAAAGAAATGAGCAGTGCCTTTTCCTTTCATAAAAAAGTGCCCTGCCCTCCACTGGCACCCTGCCCCTTTTGATTTCTAGCTGGTGCACTGTATATAGAAAAATAGTTTTTGATAATTAAGCATGAATTAAAAGTTCATAAAAGCAGAGTTCACTATTATTGATCATGGTTCAATATGATTCACACCATCATCATGATGGTAAATCCAGACTCACAGAGTTAGGTTTAGTATATAAATAAAATACCCATAACCTATAATCAGCTATAAAAAACCACTGACAGGACAAAATGTGAAACAATTTAAACAAGAAACCCAACATCCTGATTTATAAAGTTTGTATTAACTACGGTAATCATACCTTTTTCTTGGACAAATTTTGGATCAGATTTAGGCTTCTCATTCTGACTTTTCTCAGCATCATTCTTTTCAGCCTCTTTCTTGCTCTCTTCAACCTTTGGTATGCTTTTTGGCTCCTCATTCTGACTTTTCTCAGCATAATTCTTTTCAGCCTCTTTCTTGCTCTCTACAACCTTGGGTAAGCTCTCCTTCTTGTTGGTTTCCCTGAGAGAACTGTCTCTTTTTACTAATCTGTCTTTAGATTGTCTCCTGGCCAGTAAGAAGTCTTCATCTTTCCACTTCAGGTAATCCTTGCTTGCTTTTAAGAATTCTGATAGCATTATATCTTCGTCATACAGCACTGAATACCCTGAACTGTGCATACTGACGGTACCAGGTGGAAGGAGTGTTATACCAGTCCTACCCTGGTGGGTAGAACACAACCAAGAAATCTTCCCCGTTTGGAGGTAACATCTGTAATTATTAATATATTAACTCCTGAACTATACATGTATACATTTTCAGTAATTTCTACATTTAAAATAAAAAAAAAGTTTATCTGTGAGCTATTACTCACTTATGATACCCCCACTATAAGTGTTCGGTAACAGGCAGCCGAAGATTAACTCATACTGTATATTATTATGTTAACATGAAGATTGATACCAAATCTAGTTTGTAGTTCGTAAGAAAAAGGTATCAAAAACGTCATAAATGGCTATTATGTGTTAGAGTATGTTAGTATTCAGTTAACATGAAGTTGGGGAGATGAATGTGAAAAACAGCATACAAAAAAGCGAGATCAAATGTGCTTACATGAAGCTTGCTACTAAATTTTAGGAAACTCTGAATTTTAGTTCTGGAGAAAAATTCAGCCAAAATATCATGGGACGGACGGACAGATGTAAAGAAGTATACACTCACCTTCAGAGCAGGGGTAATATATGAAAGTTTCCTGAACAATAGATGTTTGATTTGCGATTAAGAATCTGATTCACAAGATTTGAGAGAAATAGAAGAAAAACTTTATCAATAGAAAATTAAATATAATTTTGTTTTTGGAGAAGCTGTTCTCTATTATCCTCTCCTGCATTTATACCAAACTTCAAAATCTTTATTAAAGATGTCTGTTCATAAGAAAGATGAACTGTAATATGAACCCTTATGGATGGAAGGGGGTAGGGAGGACTTAGACAAGTTCCAATCTATTCCACTGATCTGTTTTTTTTTGTGGGTTTCCTTTCAATACATGTATTTTTGACCTACAGGACTTTCTAGAAACTAACTTCCTAAAGCTCAAATCGGATTTAAAATTACAATTCAATACAAATTTTTTCCCTTGTTGGGAAGTATACTGGTATGAATACTGGTTCGCTTCAGTATAGAGCAACGGTGAAAAATAAAAAAGAAAACAATGTGTTACTTTAGTTCACAATCATTTCCAGCTTCATAATGAGTTTGATAGACAAAATAATATTAATAATTCTTATAATCATATCAACCAAATATTATCTGTAAATCAACAGGAATTAAAAACCGCTTTTCGTTGACTCTTCATTGAGCTGTATTGCTTCAAAGCTGTTCTACTTCTCGAAAATGGAGATAACCAACTTCATATTATAATTTTAGAGTAAAATTCGTGATTCCAGAAATGAGTTTCTGGAAAGGGCTATAATTCTGTAATGTTGAAGCTTGTTATCTTAACTCTTTTATCTCAACATTCCTGATAATCTAAATTAGCATTGTCAGTCTGATCAACTTTGAGACAATGAGATTCAACTACTATTTGTTTTGGGGGAAAAAAATTAAAATATTTAAATGAAAATCCCTGGATCTTCTTCTGCATTAAATATCAAATCACTTCTAACAGCTAGCACATTAAATATCTGAAGTATTACCTGTTAAGTTGGTTTATAAACTGTTCATAGTCATCGTGTTCTGCAACAATTCTATGGATCATCTTGTAGGCATCACTAAAATTCTTTGTATCAATACCTTCCTATTGGAAAATATGATAGGTAAAATTATAAACTTAATTTGTGAAAAAAAAGTTATCATATATGTATCTTTATTGTTGAAATATCAAAAGATATTATCAGGTTATGGATACTACATGAAACTAACAGTTCGTATCATTCATTAACATACTTTCTGTAAGAATGGTCTATAATAATTAAAATTCTATATTTTTGCATAGATTTAAAATCATTTCTGGAAAATTGTTCCATTGCCTGATAGTCAGCATAGATGTTATTAATAGTATGTGTTCAACCTGTCAATGGATAGCAATGTTTACTTGAGTAGGTGGAGCTTAGAACAATAATAAGTTCAGTTGGGTCCTAAAATACAAGCAGATGTTTTATCTGTGTCTTACTTTTCTAATAAAATCCATAAAAAGTTCTCCTTTAACCGAGGAACTCAAACAATTCATGGAGACAGAGCTTTGTTTCAGTATGGCATATATCCTGGCTAGGTATGGAGCTGTTTCCTTCAGTGTCTTCATGATTTCATCTTTCTTCAAATTAGTCAAAATCAATGGATTCCCTACAAGATGCCACCCCTGAAATGGAATACAGATATCTTAACTGCAATAGCTATATTCTAAACAACTATAGATTGTATATAATGTATGCAATATAATAAACTGTTATCACAGAGATATGTCTCGCTTATTGGTTATTTCGATAATGCAAATGTTGAAATTAAAATGGCAACACTTTTACATGTAAGTTTTGCAAATATTCAAAGTCAATGAATCATGACTGAAGGTACATGGCCAAACAATCTCCATGGAAATGAGATGTACCAATGCTAATACAACTGCATACCAAATATCATTGACCTACCACTAGTGGTTCCCTTTAAACAAACCTAAGCACAAACTAATACATGTAAACTAAGCAAAATTTCAAATTCAATAGACCATGACTGAGGGGACGGGGCCAAATAATCGCCATGGAAATGAGATATGCCATTGCTTATCCGTCAAACGAGACAAAAATAAGAAAATGTGGTATGATTTCCAATGAGACAACTCTCCAACAGAGACCAAATTACATAGAAGGTTAGCAACTATAGGTCACCGTAACCTTCAAAAATGAGCAAAATATATATCGCATAGCAATTATCCAATACAATGACACATGTCTTATGTTGTGTTTGACACAAATTCTAACACTAATAATGAATTAAACCATTATAAATGCAAAAAATTGTAATATTTTATCAGAAAATCCAATTAATCATATATCCCCCCTTGCATCCTAATCACCACATTAAAAATGACATGAACAACCCACTGAAAAAAAAAGCTTGAAGCCATTTTTAAGAGAGGAAATTTGAGAATGAAAGTCTGTATAACTGCTTTTTTCACAAACTTTTCAAAGTCCAAAGCCTGTGATTACGGCACAAATCAGCGGAGCAGAACCAAACATAAACTCAATCTGTAACTCATCATAGTAGACTCACATACTAAAAATCAGCTCAATATGTGAAGGAGTTCAGAAAAAAAAGTCTGTATAACTGTTAGTTGCGGAATGACAGAATGATAGATAAGGGTAAAACTATATGGCTCCGACCACTTTGTGGCCGGGCCATAAAAATATAATGCATAATGAAATTAGAGACACTTTGTGAATGCTAATTAAAATTTTAAGTTGCTACTAACATAAAAACATTTGACTACTGTGGGTTCATTTATTATAGGGTTACCAATTTTCGTGGTTTGAAGAAAACAAAATTAGTGGATATTTGATTTCCTGGTTTTGCCAAAGTTTTCATTCAAGCCTTTAGGAGAATTATATTTTGTTGAACATTAAATTTGTGCTTTATCTAAACCAATGAAATCCACAAAAGTTGGTACCCAACACATAATAATGAATCCACAGCATTACTTTTCTGGTAAGTTTGTATAAGACAGAAGCATTTGAGTTTTATCATGAATTCAGTACATAAACAACCTGATCAGAACTGAGTAATCTTGTTTTCTACAAAATTGATATTGAAGAAGATCAGCTGTGAGACTTATGGAAAAACATTTCTTTTTCATGACAAACTTGAAATTGGTGTATACAAGCAAATTTACATAGCAAATTTACATATACCCTCATTTTTTTTAATACTGTTCATATGATACTGTAAATTAAGAAATTATTGTGATGTTTTTTATTAATGCGAGTAATGCCATTGGTTGAGTATCGCAATAATAAGAATTCACATTTTGATAACTGATACATATAACTGTATGCAAATTTTCCTGAAATTGTAATAATTAATCCAGCATTTTTTGTCCATTCCTCAAAAATTGCTGGCAATAATTTCTGAATTTACAGTTATAAATCAAAACAGAATGTTACCTGTTCATCCTCACACAGTGCTCTAATACAGAATTGTTCTTCTTGCCAATCATCCTTAGTCCGTTTTCTTTTAGACTTAGAAGACTTTGGTCTTTGTGAAAAAAAACTAAAGCTTGAAAATCCTCCTCCAAGACTTCCTTGTGAACCCATGTCATCTATAACATTCTGTACATTGTCATCTTCATCTGAAATAAAAGGGGGAGGTTTGTGCACACTTATTTTCAAAATATTTGTTATTCTTGAATAAAAAAAGGGCCAAACTGACTGTTACTGAAGTACATGTACTTATCAAATTAAGATTTTCTGTTTTTCTTTTCCAAAATCAATGTTAAATTGGTGTGTTGATGAATGTAACAAATAACCCAGTAAGATTGAAGTATTGCATGTAACATGACATGAAGGAAAGATGGTGTTGTTTGTCAAAATATCTCATTTTATTTGCATGAAGTTATTCTTCTTTATAAACAATTTGTAAGTTTCTTGATTACACATACACAGGCACTGTACATTTATGATAGTGGACAAGAAAGTTGCTATAAATTTTCTATAAAATGGTTTTATTACAATAATACTCATGCTTTACTAGTTGCCTTACTGGTTGAATAGCATGCTGATAAAATATACATTGAGAAAATTACAAAAAGTTTTTAGCATATGAGCATAAATATACATTTATTCTGTTTTGACCAGCTCTGCATAATATTCGTTTTGAAATATTCATAAGATACTATTCAACTTCAGCTGTGTACATCAATGCATAGATTTAGTGTGATCAACTTCTATCATGGTAGAAAAGAATTCTTCTCAAACCTTTGCTTGTGGATGTCTTGAACTTGCGTTTAGGTGTGAGCATTTGCTCCATGTTGAAGGACTCACTGTGACTTTGACATTAGAACAACAATAAAATTGCCATAAACTTATTCCTTTACTTTTGATTTTGTCAAGAGTGTGTAGAGATTTTGTGTCATGAAAAATACACTACATCTTTTCTTTTCTATTACACAGTCTTACCTTCAGTCACAAAGTCAAGGACCAAAAGTTTTGGTAGCTCAATTCCAATCTCATCACCTCTTATCATCTTAGATATATGTCTTAAAAACTTTCTCTGTATCAACTCAACTTCTTCCTAAAATTGTAAAGTAAAGTAAAGAAACAGTTTTGGTGATGCTATGAAATTGATTAGTCCCTTTTGAATTAACATATAATCTATGCATAGCAGTTGGGGTTTGAAACTGTGTTAATCGGTTTTTCTTTTGTATGTTTCCCTCTCCCATTTTTTTTTTTGAAAATTGCTTTTATTGAAAATGAAAGAGGACACTTTTTTCTAGACTATTAGACTGTGGAAGTTTTTTTTTCTTTTCTTGTCCCTTTCAAAAGTTTTACCCCCACTTTACAGTCTACTACTACACCACTGATATGTTGAACAGTTTCTACAGATAAGACCTCATTTCCTTGAAACTAATATAAAACTTTATAAAATTCATTGTAAACGAACAAATGAGGGGAGATAATAAACAGAGTGTCACATTATCTTATTTATATTCTGTAGAAAAAAATTGTGTAATAGAAACTGCATCAATTTGATTAATTGACTGTATTTGTACCTGGAAAGAAAACCTATTATCTCCTTGTTGTTTTAATTCATTTTCCATATCTTCTAGTTTCATTTTATCCTGTTTAGCCTGAAGTTTTGCCAGTTTTTCCCGTACTTTTCTTTGCTTTGCTGTTTCTGGACGCAGTAGGTAGTTTTTCACACATTCTAGGACTTGGTCAAAAGCTCCACTTTCTTTTTTCTGCATCTTTACTACAGTGGCCATATCTCCCTGTTTACTTATCATCAAACTGACCTGTAAGTTTTCTTTGTATATTATATTACTCAAGATATTTAACCCTTGCTTGTAATAACAAAAACTATTTATTTCAACAACATTTATCAAAATTCAGAATGTACTTTTTAATAACATTGAATAGTTAGTATTGATGGAAGATTTGTGATAGTCTAAGTTAAAATTGGCTGACTTCACGTCAAAATTGTGTAATGCTGTCTAGCTATAGGTCTGGCCGACAGCACCTCAAAATTGTGTAATGCTGTCTTGCTATAGGTCTGGCTGACAGCATGTCAAAATTGTGTAATGATGTCTAGCTATAGGTCTGGCTGACAGCACGTCAAAATTGTGTAATGCTGTCTAGCTATAGGTCTGGCTGACTTCACGTCAAAATTGTGTTATGCTGTCTAGCTATAGGTCTGGCTGACTTCACGTCAAAATTGTGTAATGCTGTCTAGCTATAGGTCTGGCTGGCAGCACCTCAAAATTGTGTAATGCTATCTTGCTATAGGTCTGGCTGACAGCATGTCAAAATTGTGTAATGCTGTCTAGCTATAGGTCTGGCTGACAGCACGTCAAAATTGTGTAATGCTGTCTAGCTATAGGTCTGGCTGACTTCAAGTCAAATTGTGTAATGCTGTCTAGCTATAGGTCTGGCTGACAGCACCTCAAAATTGTGTAGTGATGTCTAGCCATAGGTCTGGCTGACTTCACGTCAAAATTGTGTAATGCTGTCTAGCTATAGGTCTGGCCGACAGCACCTCAAAATTGTGTAATGCTGTCTTGCTATAGGTCTGGCTGACAGCATGTCAAAATTGTGTAATGATGTCTAGCTATAGGTCTGGCTGACAGCACGTCAAAATTGTGTAATGCTGTCTAGCTATAGGTCTGGCTGACTTCACGTCAAAATTGTGTTATGCTGTCTAGCTATAGGTCTGGCTGACTTCACGTCAAAATTGTGTAATGCTGTCTAGCTATAGGTCTGGCTGGCAGCACCTCAAAATTGTGTAATGCTATCTTGCTATAGGTCTGGCTGACAGCATGTCAAAATTGTGTAATGATGTCTAGCTATAGGTCTGGCTGACAGCACGTCAAAATTGTGTAATGCTGTCTAGCTATAGGTCTGGCTGACTTCATGTCAAAATTGTGTTATGCTGTCTAGCTATAGGTCTGGCTGACTTCACGTCAAAATTGTGTAACGCTGTCTAGCTATAGGTCTGGCTGACAGCACCTCAAAATTGTGTAATGCTGTCTTGCTATAGGTCTGGCTGACAGCATGTCAAAATTGTGTAATGATGTCTAGCTATAGGTCTGGCTGACTTCCAGCCTTCCTTGAGTAGATTGATCGATTATTGTTTGCTCACTGTTCAGTGGCAAATATTTCTTGCATATTCAGAACAATCCTTGAGTACAAGTTAACTGCAGTCAATTTCATAAACTCATATATAGGTTCAACCCAAACCATTTATTTATGTGCCTGTCCAAAACATGGAACTTGTATAATCCAATGGTCATCTGCCATATTTTTGTTTTTTGTTTTATGTTATTTACTTAAATCAGGTCATTAGTTTTCTCTTTCAATTGGTTTCACATTTTGTTAAATGTGGCCATTTATATCTTACTATATGGTATGGGTCTTGCTCATTGTTGAAGGCTGTACTGTGACCTGTAGTTGTGAACATCCTTGACCTTTGATCTTTGGTGGATTGTTTAGCAATTGATATCACACCATATGTCTTTAATTTTTATATATACATTCAATATTATGCGGTGTTTTCATTCTCTTTTACTATTCTATTACCTTTTTTTTTTTTTTTTTTTTAAAGTTATGCAACAAGAAGTTCACTAAGGGGAAATATAACTAATTACCTCAGACAATTTCCAGGCTTTCCCTGTTCCTACAACGCATACAACCATTGGCATCTGTAAATTATAGGCTCCAAACCTAGCCTCCATCATACAAGCTTCTGACTGAAGGTACTACAAATAAAAATAGCATTGTTCTTCATACTAGTGATGTGTATGCCATCTTATTCTTAACTCTTTTCAGTTTATTGTTAGATCTGTGACCCCAGTGTAAGAAAACTTTAAGATTTTTTTGTCTCTAGTAAACATAGTCTCTGGTTTTCTAAGTAACAGTATAGATAATTTATTCAATTATGACATCAAAAATACTAAAACAGATATATATATATAGATTCTTACATTGGTACGAGTAGATTATCGGAATTATCAAATCGAGATAGATATATTATCTAATTTTAAAGTCTGAGCCTTGGCGAGGTCTTTAAATTTCCATAATTTAACTATCATGATTGGATAAGTCCGATAATCTACGAGTAACTATGTATAAATCTGTTTCTCTAATGATTATTAAATAAATTTTCATTATTGATGAACGAAAATCCCCTTCGAGTGCCTTCCACATTCCTGATTTCTACGTCATACAAATGTAAATATGTCAATTTCTCTAAAACCTGTTAGAACATTTCGATTCATCCAGATAGCTGATATAGGTTGTGATCTTTTAACTTAGCCAATCATCTACTGAGATCATTGGAAACCACATGTTTAATTTTTTTAAAACAATGGGTCCAAGAAAGGTTAAATTGCCAAAGAATTTCGAGAAATCAAAATATGCAGGAGTTCATAATGAAGAGACATAATATCAATAGGGATATATCACCAAAGACAGTCATGACAGTGTCTGATTTGAATCTAAAATAACTAGGAAAGTTTATACAATTGCAGCAATTTACTTAGAATGATCTCTGTTGTGGCTAATAAATTAAAGTAGAGGCTCTAAAGAGCCTGTGTTGCTCACCTAGGTCTATGTGCATATTCAACAATGGACTCTCTCCAACATTATAGATAACAATAGAATTCATGAAAAAAATCTCTTTTTTGTTGATCTTGTATTGCTGGTCATTTTGTCTGTTTAGTTTCTCTCTATTTTCTTGAGTTTTTGCTCAAAATTCAAAAGAGGGTAAAAAAACATCCTCATTTAAGGGCAGTCACTCCTATGGAGATTGACAGTCTACTTACTATATCGGCAAAATTTGACTTGTTTGCTGATCTTGCTTTGCTGATCATTTTTGTCAGTGAAAGTTTCTATTTATCTATTATAATTTTTATCATATAAGACAAAATGCAAACAAGAGGCTCTCAAGAGCCTGAATCGCTCACCTGTTATTCTTTTTGATTAAATCTTTCATGATTATTTTTGCTTTTTACCCATATGTTCCATTTTAGCCATAGTGTCTATGTTTCTTGACGTACAAGGAAATGAAATACAAAATTTATACTAGATTCATTTGAGAAAATTTTTAAAGTTAAAAAACATAAAACAACTTGTGTAAAATTGTCCTTAAAGGGCAATAACTCCTTATGGGGTCAATTGACAATTTTGGTCATTAAACTTTTTTGTAGATCTTACTTTGCTGAACATTATTGCTGTTTACAGTTGATATCTATCTATAATAATATTCAAGATAATAACAAAAAACTGCAAAATTTCCTTAAAACAACCAATTTAGTGGCAGCAACCCAACAATGGGTTGTTCGGTGTGTCTGAAAATTTCAGGGCTGATAGATCTTGACCTTTTGAACATATTTACTCCATGTCAGATTTGCTCTAAATGCTTTAGTTTCTGAGATATAAGCCAATAACTGCATTTCACCCCTATGTTCTATTTTTAGCAATGGCAGCCATGTTTGTTGATGGATCAAAATTTCGGATACAATTCATAAACTAGATATCATAAGGAACATTTAGATGAAGTTTGAAGGTATTTGGCCCAGTAGTTTCAGAGGAGAAGATTTTTAAATGTCAGCAAACTTGATAAACAAATTGTGTAAAATTGTTTTTAAAGGGCAATAACTCCTTAAGGGGTCAATTGACAATTTTGGTCATTCAACTTTTTTGTAGATCTTACTTTGCTGAACATTATTGCTGTTTACAGTTGATATCTTTCTATAATAATATTCAAGATAATAACAAAAAACTGCAAAATTTCCTTAAAACTACCAATTTAGTGGCAGCAACACAACAATGAGTTGTTCGATTCGTCTGAAAATTTCAGGGCTGATAGATCTTGACCAATTGAACAATTTTACCCAATGTTAGATTTGCTCTAAAAGCTTTAGTTTTTGAGATATAAGCAAAAAACTGCAATTGACCCCTATGTTCTATTTTTAGCCATGGCGGCCATGTTTGTTGATGGATCAAAACTTCGGATACCATTTATACAGTAGATACCCTAAGGAACATTTAGATGAAGTTTGAAGGTATTTGGCCCAGTAGTTTCAGAGGAGAAGATTTTTGAAATAGTTTACGACGACAGACGACGACGACAGACGACGGACGACAAGTGATGGCATAAGCTCACATGAGGCCCTTGGAGCCCCGGTGAGCTAAAAAATAGGTAAAAATTGTCATTAAAGGGCAAGTACTCCAATAAGGAGTCATATGAAAATTTCCTCCATAATGTCTTAAATGTAGATCTTGTCTTGCTGATCATTTTTGATAATTTAAGTTTCTATCTATCTATTAAACCTTTTTAAGATAAAACACAAAAACTAAAAAAAAATGATAAAAATCATCATCAAAGGGCAATAACTCTAATAAGGAGTCGCCTGACGATTTGAACTATGCAAACTTATTCCTAGATCTTTTTTTACTGATCACTTTTGCAACTTAAAGTTTCTTTCCATCTATTATAATTTTCAAGATAATAGGCAAAAACGATAAAAAATGGTAAAACTTGTCATTTAAGGGCAATTACTCCTATAAAAAGTTGCCTGACAGTTTTGACATCGATGAACAATTCATAGAGCTCAACATTCTGAACATTTTTGCCCTGTCAGATTTTCTATATTTATAATTGTTTTCCAAATAATAGACAAAACTTTCATTTTACCCCTATATTCTATTTTCAGCCATGTTGGCCATCTTAGTTGGCAGGCGGGGTCATGGGACATATTTTTTAAACTAGATACCCCAATGATGATTGTGGCCAAGTTTGGTTAAATTTGGTCCAAAAATTCAGAGGAGAAGATTTTTGTAAAAGTTAACAGACGACAACGGACGTTGAAGAGGGATGAGAGACGACGGACAGACGCCAAGTGAAGAGAAAAGCTCACTTAGCCCTTTGGGCCAGGTGAGCTAAAAAATCAGGAAAATTATAGAACTACAAATTGTAATAAAAACATGCTTGTGCATCACTGAGGACTTGTGACCTCTTGATATCTCTAGGTTAGCTTGTATTAATTGGTTGAATTATCACTGAGGTTTTCCACAAATATGATATTAAACCTACTTACCTCATCTGACACACAGAGAACCAACACTTTGGCATTCTGTAATCCTACTGTAATGTCTTGATACAGGCCATTCTATAAATAGAAACAATATAGTCTTGGATCTGAAGTATACATATAGGTACATGATTCTCAGACCTGCATTTGTATCTGGTGCAGCTAAAGGGAAGTTTATACAAAGAACATTACCTACATAGACTTCTCAAATTTGGTAGTGGGATCAGTGTAGAGACAATCCATTTGGATGTGCATGTAGGATATAAAAAACTGATAGTTTGGTTACCCTATGAGATTATCATGATGCCTTATTATAAGACCATCATGCTTTCTCCATGTAAAGCTGGTAAAACTTTATACCAGATCAGTAGGTTGGTGCTTGCAATATGACCAAATTGTTTATTCCACAAATAGGTCTTTTTAAACTTTCCAATACTGTTAAAGATTCCTTTTAAATCTACCAATCCGCCATTTTTCAGGCAATTAACTCCAACGGATATATGATAATAATGGAAAAGTAAGGATGTGGTGTATCAATTCCTAATACTATAGGTACATGAAAAAAACTAAGGCAAAGGAACAATGCTTTTAATTGCTGTTCTTCATCTCATTCAGTGAGGCCTTCATAAAAGAGCAAAAATTTAATCTAACCTCACTACAAGTTCAAGACAGTTCTATCACCAATATGAGCAAAACATACCTCTGAGTATGAAGCAACAATCATAAAAATATATTTTTACAGTAAACAGGACAAACATCCTTGCATGTTTTTTTTTCTGTTTCTTTTTTTTTGTGAGTGGAATCAAAGCCTTTAGTCAGCAGTTGGTAAGTAATGTGTAAGTTTCAAGCTCTAAGGTAAAATTGATACACAAGTACATTTATATAACAATAATTATTCATGCTTCTGTGGTACTGTATTTCAGACTAGCAGTAAAATAGATAATAGATAAAATAGCGGAGAAATTACCAAAACACAATTTCATTGCAAGAAATATACTGTAAATTCAAAAATGTTTGCATACATTTATTGTTCCAAATTATTTACTGTGATTGTTGAACAATCAACACAAATGCAAACTTAGTTATTGCAATTTCAGACAAGGCTGCATACAATAATGCTACCAAAATTCAAGTTTATATTTTTGAAAAAACTTATCCTGTTGCAACTTTCGCAATAATAAAAACATTGCAATTATTTATGAATTTACAGTAAGCAATCTAACATAACATGTGTCTGATCCTATCTGTTATACATAATAGAAAATAAAATATGCTTAAATGACTAATGACTTTTATGACATTTTGGTAAAAAATTTTAAATATTCAAAATCAAGAAAAATATTTTTGAAATATGGTTGAAGCTTCCTTGACCTTGCAGATGGATGGGGCTATTAAGTTCATTTTGGAAGACCTTCAATAAACTGCCAACATGAAAAACAGTAGTCAAATTGATTCCCTGAATGTTTCTGTGTACTGTGGATTCATTTGTGGTTTACTAATTTTGGTGGATTTGACGTGGGAACATATGAACCTCGAATTTAAATGTTCAACAAATTGAAAATTTTCTATAGGCTTGTATGCAGACTTTGGCAAAACCAGGAAATCAAATGTCCATCAAAATGCAAGTATTTCTCAATTCAAAAAATTAGTATCCACAAAAACTAGAGGCTCTAAAGAGCCTGTGTCGCTCACCTGCATCTTCAACTATGGCCACTTTTTAGTAAAATTCATCATTAAAGGGGAATAACTCTATTAAGAGTTCACTGACAATTTCAGTCATGTCGGCAAATATGTAGATCTTATCCTGCTGATAATTTTTCCTGTTTAAAGTTTCTATTTATCTATTATAGTTTTCAAGATAATAGGCAAAAACCTTCAAAATTATCATTAAAGGGTAATATCTCCAATAATGAGTCGACTGAAGATTTCGTCCATTATGGCTTATTTGTTGATCTTGTCTTGCTGATCATTTGTGCTATTTAAAGTTTCTATCTATATACAGTTTTCAAGATACTAGGCAAAAATGGGAAAAATCGTCATTAAAGGGCAATAACTTCAATAAGGATTTGACTAATCATTTCAGTCATGTTGACTTATTTGTAGATCTTGTCTTGCTGATTAGTTTTGCTATTTAAAGTTCCTATCTATCTAATATAGTTTTTAAGATATTAGGCAGGAACTCAAAAAAAAATGTAAAAATCGTCATTATAAGGCAATCACTCTCATAAGGAGTCGACTGAAGATTTTGGCATGTTGACTTATTTGTAGCTCTTGTCTTGCTGATAATTTTTGCTATAAGTTTCTATATATCTATTATGATTTTCGAGATAATAGGCAAAAATTTTTAAAAATGGTAAAATTCATCATCTAAGGGCAATAACTCCTACAAGATGTCGTCTGACAGAATTGACTTTAATGAACAATAGGTAGAGCTTAACATTCTGAACATATTTTCCCCAGTCAGATTTTCTCTTTTTATAGCGGTTTTCAAAATAATACGCAAAACTTGCATTTGACCCCTATGTTCTATTTTTAGACATGTCGGCCATCTTGGTTGGCAGGCAGGGTCATCGTGCACATTTTTAAAACTCGACACCCCAATATTGATTGTGGCCAAGTTTGGTTAAATTTTGCTGAGTAGTTTCAGAGGAGAAGATTTTTGTAAAAGTTAAAGATGACGACAGACACCATGTGATAAGAAAAACTCACTTGGCCTATCGGCCAGGTGAGCTAAAAATTAGTCCAGAGTATTAACCTTTTTCCATATAAATAAAATGTTTTAGTGTAAACCTATTTCAGCCTACTTACTTTTCCCATCTGTTCAATATCAAGCCAGCACTTGCATCCATTTTTCTCAAGATGCCTTTTTAGAACTCTAGGATCTCCATACCCTAGAGATGTTTTTGTAGCTGTGGTGGTTACACTGCAGGCTTCCTTAGAATTACTCCAACAATAACTGATAAATACTGAAGGATGATTATTTACAGCCTGGAAAGAAATTTATAGGATGTAAAACAGTATTAACAAAAATACCAAACTCCAATGTAAATTCAAAAGGGTGACGTCCATAAAAACTGGCAAAATCAAACTTTAGAGATCTTTGCACTTTATCAATCAATGGAACAAATGGAAAACAACTGTCATATTCCTGACTTCCTAAATATGAGGATGTAAAGACCAACTTTTGTTCTAAGAGGGGTGTAAAGGGGGTATCTGCACGGAAGAACGCGAAATAAAATTGCCATTTCACGATGAACGAACAATTAAAAAATTCTTGCACGTTGATCTTTTTACCGATTTCACGAAACACAGTGAATAACGAACCTTTTTCACGGCTGCATGTGAAAAAAAAATGGCAAAACACGTTGCACGAAAATAACCCTTTTCCACCCTCATCTAACTTATGATAACCTTTCATGTTAAATAATACTTTTAAAACATTATAAATTTCTGACAAAACTGGACAAGTATTATATAATTTCTAGTATTTTATGGGATTTTGCTCCTGTAGATCAGTTCCTTTTTTCCGTCAATACAAATATTACTTTTTAACAAAATGTTGCAACAAGAAAACATTACAAACTTAAAAAATACCAGCAGAAGATACCAAGGGGACATTAAACTCGTAAGGGGAGGGTAACTGACAAAGTCATGGCAAAAAATAAAAGACAACTAAAAGATAAACAAAGTAAACAAAACAAAACAATTCTGGTCCAATAGTGGCAAAACTCATGCTGCTCACGCTAAGTACAAATCTCATTCAGTGACGTCACAATCCAGGAAAAATGTTAAAAAGTGAATTTTTTGATAAATAGAAACAACAATGTGTGCCCTTAGAACACCATGTCCCATTCACACCATCACATTCCCATGTTCTGTCAACTGCAATGTCTTGCTAAAACCCTAAGTTTGGCAAATATTTTAATAAGTTCTCAACATAATGAACATGTGCACTCAGTTTCAAGTTGATGTGACCACAACTTCATGGCAAATTACCTTAACCCTAACTTTAACTGATATGGGACACACGAATGGACAGACAAACAGACGTACAACTACCTTAACCCTAACTTTACCTGATATGGGACACACGAATGGACAGACAAACAGATGTACAACTACCTTCACCCTTACTTTACCTGATATGGGACACACGATTGGACAGACAAACAGACGTACAACTACCTTCACCCTAACTTTACCTGATATGGGACACACAAATGGACAGACAAACAGACGTACAACTACCTTAGGTGGGGCATAAAAATGGACTAGTATATTACCTTCTCAGCATCATCTTTGTAACTCTTTACTATTTCTATCAAGTCAAGGATTTTCTTTGGATATCTTTCTACATTCTTTATCATTGCCATTAACTAAAAGTAGCAAACCAACAAACCCATATTATAAAATAATTTCAGTAATGCAGATATGAGGAGTCTAACATCACAGTCATCTTATAAAGTACATTAAACTAAGATATGAATTATATGAAAGCTAACCATTGTGCAAAAACTTTAATTTTGTCCGCAAAAGTCAGAGTTAAGGGAATCAATAACTTGTTCAATTTTCAAGTAGAGTAAAAAATGTCTTAATTTGAGTATAAAATTCTACCTTTTACTGTTTTATTTTTTTGGTACATGAAGTCACAGTGAAACAAAATGCTGTAATAAAAGCATTTTCTGAATTTTCTTTTATCAGGACACTCAATAGTTTTAAAATTTGTTAAAAACCAAAGAAGTAAACATGCATGCGGAGCAATATATTCATAAGGACCTAAAACAATAGGCATGCAAAACCTTCTTAGCTATAAATATAACAATAAAAAGATGTGGTATGATCTAAAATGATCTATGTTTAAATACTCCTATGTATTATTTCATGTCAATAACGTATAATGATCAGTTAAGTGTTTTGTTGTGATTTGTTACTTGTATCTATTACTGGTTACTTTGTCTATTTTTAATTAATAACTGTTCTTCCAAAAAGGATTTAGAAAAGTATTAGAAAATATCTGTTACTGGATTGCCAATCTTGAAGCCAATGTCTGTCTGTTGCCAGCCTAACGATTCATCCATAACTGCTACTGCGAATGGTTTCTGCAATTGTTCTGTTGCATACAGGAACATCTGATGACATTTGGGGTGTTTTACAAACTTGTCAGTCATACAGACAACTAGTACCTAAAATATACATTGTAAAAAGAAACCTTTCATTCAAATACTTATGGTTTTTCATATACTGTTCTCGAAGCAAATCTCTAAATTCAGACTTTTCAGAGATTAAATTTAAAAAAAAAATATTTTAGTTCATTTCTTGCGATTTTCAATATACTTTTGAAATAATAGTTTACATATTTGATTGTTTTTTTTTAGACATGCCTCCCTTAACAGCATAAATTTTAGGTTAGTGAAATTTTCAGACACTTAACCGCCATTCCAGAATCTGAAGGACTATTGGTAATTTCCTTTTTTGTTGTGTGGTCGATGCTTTTGAAAATATTACCCAGAATGCATCAGATACTAAAACAGATACACCGGTAATCATCTCCCACTGATCAATAAATAAGTGAGTTAAAACTTACTTTAGAATTCTTAATTTCCATGGTCATTTCCAATTCAGGTATTTTATCTATATCATCTGGAATCCAACTGTTAAATAAAAGATAATAATGTAAAATAAGATGGGGTAACTAAAATTTGAACAAGGCCAATTTGCTGATAGAAGATATTTATAAAATCATAATAACATGCTGTCTATTAGTAGAACATTTTGCTAAAATTAAATGTCTAGTTATATCTTAACATCATTTATGTCAGTATTTTTATAAAAAAAAAAATTCCTAATTAATCTATGTCTGCAGGTAATGCATATTTTTCTTACATAAAACAAGGTGAAAGATCATTCTGTTTTTTTACTGTGAAGTTCATTTTACAACTAGAACCATGTATACATGGTTTCTCAATGATAAGGTAGAATTTAGGGTCAAATCGGCCCTAAAATTAAATATATTTCAATTTACTCAAATTTGCACTAAAATAAATCATTGAAGTTTTTTGTTAAAAATGTTTCCTTTTCAAGGATTATGCAGCTATGAAATAACAAAAAATTCAGTAAAATGACCAAATTATACAAACACTTGACTCATTCATTTTTAAGAAATAATATGGAGCACAACTCCTTTAAAATATATTCACATAGGAAGTATATTTTGCATTTTATTTTTAATTGGCAAAAAATATTTAGGGCAATTTACCAGCTGATCTTTTCCTTCACTAAATCTTTATGAATCTGTCTTGGATCAACAATCGTTCCTTTATTCTCACTAGTAGGCAAATCATCTGGACAATACAGTATAGCTACATCCTTGGCCATGTTTGTACTAATCTCCTGTAGAGCACTTATACTCTGCTGCATCTGTACATCAAACTCTGTATCCCTGTTGTCTGGTAGTACATCTACAATGACAAAAAATATATTTTTTAAAAATTTGGTTGGAAATTGAGATGACAAAAAAAAAATTTGGTTCTTTCTGACATGTTTGATTTGGTACAGCTCTGTACATTTCCATATCTATACTTATCTCATGTAAAACAAAATGCCCCCTACCATCAAAGGCAGAGAATTAAAATCTTAAAATCTATATACCGAGGATTCATTTATTTTCGTGGGTACCAATTTTTGTGGAATAAGGAAAAAATATATTTTTGTGGATATTTGATTTTGTGGTTTACAAAAGCCAATAGAAAATCTGTATTTTCTTAAACATTTAAATTTATGGACCATGTAATCCACAAAAATTAGTATCCCACGGATTATTGAATCCACAGTAACAGCTGTTACTATTCTATTTCAAGAAATATACAAATGTTTGCTTCTTTTCCAACTTTACACATTAACAACTGACAATAAATTAAAACTTACTAATGAGTTCTCCTATGGACACTGTATGAAAATATTTGGTACACTGTAGGAATGGCGCACTAACACTGTGGGCTCTGGTTATCAAATCTGCTTTGAACAAGAATGGTTCTCTGGTTCCCTAAAAGACAAATACAAGTCGTATTTTATTGTTCTTAAGAAACAGGATTTTTGCCTTTCAAAATACTAATGGGCACAGCACTTTTCAAGTTAGTGTATTAATTCATTCATTTAAACTGGTGAGAGTTGTAGTCAGTATAGTTGGTTTTTCAAATGCAACTTCATGAAAGCACAAGAAGCAATGGCTATAACACCAGAAATGAAAGTGAAATGTATCTTATACAAAGAAAAATGTTAAAGAAATCCTAAATATTCTGCATTTGCTGCCTGATAAAAGTAATGTTCATGGAAAAAGGAGGCCTTATCAAATGAATTCCATTATCTTTCCCATATAAATGATATAATCAAGACTGTATGATGCTTTCATTGCACTTCCTGTTTATATATGAGAATAAAGGGAGGATAATTTACCATTTACATGATTAATAACTTTAAAAATCAAAATCATATGTGTGTTAGCCACTTCTCTGGAAACTAATCAATCAATATGAAGTTTTTCAAATTGTCAGTTATTAAATGAACTAGAGTGCACACACTGAAATGTCTCGTCTGCTTTACTGACCATTGATTTTATGTTAAAAGTCTTAAAGATAAAGGTTTTACTAAAAGCATTACAGAAACTTGAAATTTTTAAAGATCTATGACAACGAGGATAAGGTCAGATAAATCGTGTAAGACAAACATATACACCTTACAATTTCACCAAATATAGTTGATCTATTGCGCATGCTAATTGAAAAACAGACCAAAAATGAGGTCAAGGTCGGATGATACCTGCCAGACTGACATGAACATCTTGCAATCATTCCATACACAAAATATAGTTGACCTATTGCTTATAGTACTTCAAAAACAGACCAAAACACAAAATTTTAACACTGACCAATGAACCATGAAACTGAGGTCAAGGTCCAATGATACCTGCCAGACAGACATGTACACCTTACAATCATTCAATACACCAAATATAGTTGACCTATTGCTTATAGTACTTGAAAAACAGACCAAAACACAAAAACTTAACATTGACCAATTAACCATGAAAATGAGGCCAAGGTCAGATGAAACCTGCTAGGCTGACATGTACCCATTACAATGATTCCATACACCAAATATAGTTGACCTACTGCTTATAGTATTTGAGAAACGAACCTAATCATGTAACTTTAACCTTGATCACTGATCCATGAAATGAGGTCGAGGTCAGGTGAACTCTGTCAGACGGACATGTAGATGTTGCATGGAACCCATATAAGTTAGTGAGAAATTCACATGACAATTAAACTCAAATTTTTTTTCAAGCAGTCACTGAACCATGAAAATGAGGTCAAGGACAATGGATATATGTTTGACGGAAACTTTGTAACATAAGGTATCTGCATACAAGATATGAAACATCAAGGTCTTCTACCTTCTGAAATATAAAGCTTTATACAAATAGTTTATGCCGCCGCCGCCGAATAGTAATATCTATGTCTCGCAAGGTCGCAGGCGAGAAAAAATAGTGTTTCCATTTATCTTTACAAAATCAGAAAATTCTTTCTGTTTTAATTTAGATCCCCGTCTATTTTGATTTTGATATTTGTTATTTTCTCCTTTTAAGTCAACTAATTGTTTTACTAGGCTGAATTGGAGGTTTGTATCGACAGACACAAATGAGTACCTCATTAAAAATAAACAAGAACGTGTCCATAGTACAAAGATGCCCCACACGCACTATCATTTTATATGTTCAGTGGACCGTGAAATTGTGGTCAAAACTATAATTTGGCATTAAAATTAGAAAGATCATATCATAGGGAACATATGTTCTAAGTTTCAAGTTGATTGGACTTCAACTTCATCAAAAACTACCTTGACCAAACACTTTAACCTGAAGCGGGACGCACAGACCGAAAAACATAATGCCCCTAGGTGGGGCATAAAAAATCTTTTTCTCCACACAGTCAGGACAAGGTATACAATAATCAGTGTAAATATCTAATCCATACCTTTTTCTCCACACAGTCAGGACAAGGTATACAATAATCATAGTCCACACCTTGGAAGTTATCCTTGATTAAAGTACTGATTGTTTCATGGATAAGGTCTAGTATATTCTTAGGTCTGGCTCCCTGGACAATAACTGTCATATCATAATCACTGAAAAATAGGATAAAAAGCACTACTGAACATTGGATATATTCAAGTATTATAATTCTTAAGTTGGCTCTCTAGACAAAAACTGTTGTTTCGTAAGTTCTGAAAAATATGATAAAAGTACTTATTGTTCTGCTCCATATGGTCAAGCATATTCTGGGCTTCCTGTACAATTGCTGTCATTTTATAATCACTGTAAAATAATTGATTGTTAACAGAGGATATTGAACTATTATGTGTTAGTTTTATCACCAACCTTTTTATATGCTTTGTAGAATTTGTATAGTCCAATCCAAAGGTACTGCATGGAAATTTAATTAAAATCTGTGAACAGTCAATAATGTAATAGGTGAGTCACTGTCTAATTTGAAATTTTTTTCATAACTTTGTCTTCTTACATCCCAATCATATTTAAGTGTACATAAAAAATATTTTGATATGAGACATTCACAAATATCATCTTATAAATGTATTCTCTACTCTACAATCATGTTCAGAATATACCATGTTCATTTGAATGGCTTTTCTATAATTGTCCTCATTCAATATATAGAATTTTACTGCATTGTATTAATAATATCTAAAATCCATAACTTACTTTGTCTGTTTTACTAAGGCGTAATGGTCATTCTTCTTTAAGATGGAACCTCTTTTCCACATAAGATCCAAGAACTCTTGGTCCATTTTAAAACCTTGGCTAAACAACCTGGCCTAAAAAAACAGCAATAAGTGAACTTACTTTCATATACATGTATGTATTATAAAGTCCCTTGTTCTTATGAAGTTTTGCATCAGAAATGAATAAGAATAGCATTTGTTAATCCTATCCATTGATAGACAGAAGTGTAAAATCCTGTTCTTTTATTTTTTTTTAAATTTTTGTCCATTACTTCTGTCTTATATTGTCTGCTGGTGGACTGCAAATCCCTGAGGGTATCATCAGCACAAGAGTGCTTTGGTACTGATACGATTTATAACATACATCAAATTCTCAGTAGATAAACGAGAAGGTTAAATAAGGCCATATTTAAGGCTCCTTTAATTCCAAAAATAAAAAAAATTATATTAAATCTATCAAATAACATCCTTTAGATATTCACAAGATATTAGAACATCAGATATGAATATCTTTATCTTTAAATTCTTTTAATTTTTATTTTTGCTATACATCTTAAAATTCTTCCATTTAAAATTTCATGCAAATCTGCCAAAATAGTCAGTCTCCAGATTATATCATCCTAATCATTTATAGAATTAACATAATTTTGAAAGGAATGAAGAAATTGACTATTTTTGCAATTTCAGAGGCCAAATGGTGGGTGGCTCTTATCATACCACCTCCTATAGAAATTGTTTAGAATCTAAGTTTCAACTCCAACAGACAAAGATAACCTAAGGTGGATTTGGCTATTCTTTTTAGTTCCCTTTTGGTCATTCAGCTTCTCAAGAAATGAAGTATTCATGCATCCTAGCCTCTAAAGTTTCTGGGTTTGAGTATTCCTGATGAAGACAAATCCAGACTCACTAAAGTAATAAAGTACATGTATTATTTCTTTTCTTTAATGAGAAACAATTTTGTAACTATACCTGTGCTCTACTGAAGAGTCCTGTATTGTTACTATACCTGTGCTCGATTGAAGAGTCCTGTATTGTCACTATACCTGTGCTCGATTGAAGAGTCCTGTATTGTAACTATACCTGTGTTCTATTGAAGAGTCCTGTATTGTAACTATACCTGTGCTCTATTGAAGAGTCCTGTATTGTAACTATACCTGTGCTCTACTGAAGAGTCCTGTATTGTCACTATACCTGTGCTCGATTGAAGAGTCCTGTATTGTCACTATACCTGTGCTCGATTGAAGAGTCCTGTATTGTAACTATACCTGTGTTCTATTGAAGAGTCCTGTATTGTCACTATACCTGTGCTCGATTGAAGAGTCCTGTATTGTCACTATACCTGTGCTCGATTGAAGAGTCCTGTATTGTAACTATACCTGTGCTGGATTGAAGAGTCCTGTGTTGTAACTATACCTGTGCACGATTGAAGAGTCCTGTATTGTAACTATACCTGTGCTCTACTGAAGAGTCCTGTATTGTCACTATACCTGTGCTCGATTGAAGAGTCCTGTATTGTCACTATACCTGTGCTCGATTGAAGAGTCCTGTATTGTAACTATACCTGTGTTCTATTGAAGAGTCCTGTATTGTCACTATACCTGTGCTCGATTGAAGAGTCCTGTATTGTCACTTTACCTGTGCTCGATTGAAGAGTCCTGTATTGTAACTATACCTGTGCTGGATTGAAGAGTCCTGTGTTGTAACTATACCTGTGCACGATTGAAGAGTCCTGTATTGTAACTATACCTGTGCTGGATTGAAGAGTCCTGTATTGTCACTATACCTGTGCTCTATGGAAGAGTCCTGTATTGTCACTATACCTGTGCTGGATTGAAGAGTCCTGTATTGTAACTATACCTGTGCTCTATTGAAGAGTCCTGTATTGTCACTATACCTGTGCTCGATTGAAGAGTCCTGTATTGTAACTATACCTGTGCTGGATTGAAGAGTCCTGTGTTGTAACTATACCTGTGCACGATTGAAGAGTCCTGTATTGTAACTATACCTGTGCTGGATTGAAGAGTCCTGTATTGTCACTATACCTGTGCTCTATTGAAGAGTCCTGTATTGTCACTATACCTATGCTGGATTGAAGAGTCCTGTATTGTAACTATACCTGTGCTCTATTGAAGAGTCCTGTATTGTCACTATACCTGTGCTCGATTGAAGAGTCCTGTATTGTCACTATACCTGTGCTCGATTGAAGAGTCCTGTATTGTCACTATACCTGTGCTCGATTGAAGAGTTCTGTATTGTCACTATACCTGTGCTCGATTGAAGAGTCCTGAATTGTCACTATACCTGTGCTCGATTGAAGAGTCCTGTATTGTCACTATACCTGTGCTCGATTGAAGAGTCCTGTATTGTCACTATACCTGTGCATGATTGAAGAGTCCTGTATTGTCACTATACCTGTGTTCTATTGAAGAGTCCTATATTGTCACTTTAGCTGTGCTCGATTGAAGAGTCCTGTATTGTCACTATACCTGTGCTCGATTGAAGAGTCCTGTATTGTCACTATACCTGTGCTTTATTTAAGAGTCCTGTATTGTCACTATACCTGTGCTCTATTGAAGAGTCCTGAATGGTCACTATACCTGTGCTCTATTGAAGAGTCCTGTATTGTCACTATACCTGTGCTCGATTGAAGAGTCCTGTATTGTCACTATACCTGTGCTCGATTGAAGAGTCCTGTATTGTCACTATACCTGTGCTCGATTGAAGAGTTCTGTATTGTCACTATACCTGTGCTCGATTGAAGAGTCCTGAATTGTCACTATACCTGTGCTCGATTGAAGAGTCCTGTATTGTCACTATACCTGTGCTCGATTGAAGAGTCCTGTATTGTCACTATACTTGTGCATGATTGAAGAGTCCTGTATTGTCACTATACCTGTGTTCTATTGAAGTCCTATATTGTCACTTTAGCTGTGCTCGATTGAAGAGTCCTGTATTGTCACTATACCTGTGCTCGATTGAAGAGTCCTGTATTGTAACTATACCTGTGCTTTATTTAAGAGTCCTGTATTGTCACTATACCTGTGCTCTATTGAAGAGTCCTGTATTGTCACTATACCTGTGCTCGATTGAAGAGTCCTGTATTGTCACTATACCTGTGCTCTATTGAAGAGTCCTGTAGGTAGATAAGTAAACTTGTACTCTATCTTGCTTTCTCTGATTCCTTCTTCTTCTGTTAGATATGGCCATGGTAACTATAAAAATAACGGATGAATCTATAAACACAAATCAAAAAAAATCAAATCGAGGTTATAAATCAACTTATCTTAAACACAAAAGATAACTCTCCACCTATAAATAGGGCTGTGATTATAAATTCACTGTATTTTCAAATACTGTAATTTCATAAATTTTTGTGTGATTTATAATAGCCATTTCAGAAAATGGTGTGTACAACTAATGCTATCAAAATTTAAAATTTGAGGGTTTTTTTTGTTAAAGCTATTCTTTGAAAATTTGGCAATAGTATAAACATTGCAAAAATTTCTGATTTCAAGATTCTAAATTAAGTTTTGATTCAGATAAAAAGACAACCCTCTTATTTTGTAGTATTCAATTCTAGCATCCTGAAACCCCTTTTCTGCACAAATTTCAGTCTATTTTTGTAATTTTGACCTTGTGCTTAGACATACTGAACATAAAACCCATAGAAATTTCCTTTCCTTATATGTGACCATAAATCCAAGTAAGTTTGCAATACCAATATGTAGGATTTGATTTAGATTCTGGAAACCACTTTTCTGCTAAAATGTCAGTCTATTTTTAGCAGCTACGACCTTGAGCTTTGACATGGTGGCCTCAAAATCAATAGGAATCTTCATCACATTTTACATGTGACCATATATCTAATTAATGTTGCGATCTAATATAAAGCATACAAAACAGAAATGACTGACATAGTGACTTACAAGTCAAAATCTATATACCCCTATACTATGTTTCGTGGGATATCATAAATATTGAAATACTTATACTCTACACACTATGTTTTAGTTCCCATTTCATAATTCAATTTCAAAAAAATCCAATTTCTTAAAAAAAAAAATTTCATAAACTTGAAATCAAAGATGAGATGCATGTGCTCTATTTCTTACATCAACTGGTTCCTTTTCTGGTAAGAGACAAGGCACAATATTCATCTTCTCTCCATCCTCTGGGATAGGGAAAGTCAGATCGAATGCCTCTGTTAATCTCAACATCCACTGATAAAGACTGGAGTCATAATCTTTCCATATCTGTGGTATATACTTGTGGTAGAGTCTTCCTTTGGTTTCCTTAAAAGTTAAAGGACATTTGTATTTATGAATTTAAATTAATTTATTTAACTAGCAAACCACCTATAGGGTTGACTTGTGTGATGAATAAATACAGCAACATTGACTTCACCAATCTGGCAGTAAAACCTATACTTAAGATGGGTGACCATTTGATTGTAAAGTTTGAATGAATACATAGCTATGTCTGGTGGGATGTTGAATCAGATGCCCTGTCTTACGGGAATGTGCCATGCTCTCTGCATGTTAAAGACCCTTGCAACACTATACAAAATATTGCTCCTGGATATTAAGCAAACAAAAATCAATCAATCAATATCTCTAAAAATCTACAATACATTTTAAGTCTGGTATAGTTAAAGTGATTCCAAGCACAATCTGATTAAATTACAGATCCTGTGTCCAAGTTTTGCTTTAATACAATGATCAATTCTATTTTCTCTTTTAAAGACTTTTAGGGGTCCTCTGGTTTTGTTGGATTAATACAGGCAGCTTCAAAAATTTGAAAGCTGAAATTTAATTGGCTGATATAATAATTACCAGAACAGAAAGTAAAACAGAGTGGTGTCAGTTCTTTGTAAGCAAAGCTTGGACACAGGATTTGTATTTTAATCAGTTTGTTCAAAGCACCAATTTAATTAACTTACTAAAATATATACTGTGTTTTCAGAAGACTTTTAGACATGCTCTATGACTTTATGACCTTACCCTGATAGATTTTTCATTGACAGAGACAACTTTTGCCATCACATCTACAATCCACTGTGGATTTATGACAATTTTGTCATTGAGAACCTCTGTGTCAAAGTACTGGACAATACCAAGGTCGTCTAAAAACTGCACAGCAAGCTTGATCTATGAGCATAATAGAAATCATTTTAATTTGAAACACAATGTTGAAGTGAAGAAAATATTTTATGGAGTTAATATTTAAAATCTGTGTTCATTTTCCGGTAGCATTTTTATTGCATATATAAACTACATTTACATAGATTTTGAAGATAACAATGATAATTTCACAACAATAGTGTTGTTGTTTCACTGGTGTGCAAATATTCATGAACTCAAATAATTTTTAAAAAATTGCATCTGGCAACAAGATATATATTTTTAAGAAAAATCTATGTACTGGATTTAAAAAGAGTTTTCAAAGATAATTTTGATATAGTTTTTGATAGATTTTATGTACATTCTATACAAATATTGAACTATTTTTCAGGATTTTCTTTCATAACATTTTTTAACAATTGAAAGGATTAATTAAAAAAATTCAGTTACAAATTAACATGTAAAATTTGCATGCAAAATTTAAGCAAAATCTGTGACATAGTCGATTTACTATTCCTTGACCTTAATACCCATCCATAATACTCATCTTAACCAAAACATTGTCACAGGCCAGATAATAATGAAATGATCTGTTTGAAATATGTTCATAAAATTTAAGAATAATTTTTTATCTTACATCTTTCTCATCGTTGATGCCATTTTCCTGTGAAAATTCTTGAATTTTTTCCCAATCTATAATGTTACTTTTATGTTTGTTTCTGGCACTGTAAATATAAGTACTATGATCATAGTAATTTTTAGGAAAATAAATAGTACATAATAATTACAATTCTAAGTGCTTACTATGTCAATTTCCATAAGGTATAACTAAATAAATGGAGAAATGTGTCCATGGGACACAGATGATGCCACCGTTTGTATATAGCATTATAAAGGGGCATAACTCAAGAACGGTAAAAGTGACTTAATCTGTATTATGTGGTAATTAGCATTGTGTATAAGTTTCATAACATTTGGTTCAAGCACACTAAAGTTGAAGAAAGGAAACTAATTTTGGGATGTATGTACGTATGGATGTACGGACAGACTAGGGTAACACTAAATGACCCCTCCGCCGTGGCGGGGGCATAAAAAGTATCATCAATCAAGAGTTGGAATTTAAACTTTTAACATGATTTTATAGAAATTTAATGAGAAGAGTGGCCATTTAATCCCTTGCTACCTTTTGCAGCATGAGACAATAAACAGCTGCGCTATGAGCGCATGATACGCCCGTCGCTTTTTTAAAGAATAAAGTTCAATAACTTCTCAATGTCATTTCAGAAATTTATGAAAAACTAAAGGGAGGTTAGCTTAATAGATATAAACAAAGTTTCATGAAAACTGCTCAAAGCACATTAAAGATATAGTCCGAAAACTGGAAAATCACCCCCTTTTCATGAATAAAATCGGAAACGTAAAATCTAAAATTTATAAAAATCAAAAGGGAGCTTATGTCAATAGATATAAACAATTCACCAAACTTTCATGAAAACTGCTGAAAGCATTTTTGAGTTGTTATCCGAAAACTGGAAAACACCCTTTTTTTTAATGAATAAAACCCAATAACTCAGAAATATAAAATCTAAAATTAATAAAAATCGAAAGGGAGCTCATGTCAATAGATATAAACAATTCACCAAAGTTTCTTGCAAATTGGTGAAAGTGTTTTTGAGTTATTATCCAAAAACTGGAAAATCCCCCATTTTTAATGAATAAAACCCCATAACTCGGACACTTAAAATCTAAAATTTATAAAAAACGAAAGAGAGCTCACGTCAATAGATATAATCAATTCACCAAAGTTTCATGCAGATTGGTTAAAGCGTTTTTGAGTTATTGTCTGACATGTTGACGACGGACGGACAAAGGTATACCATAATACATCCCATAAACGGGTGTATTATAAAAATGTATAGAATTAACACATCTGATGTACATTTATATGTGAAAATAATAGCATGACTACATGGATCATAGAAGTATGATCCATGGAATAACAATAAGTTAATTTGTAAGTAAACTAGCTTACGTGACTATACTTTCTTCAAGTTTCAGCCACAAAAGTGGAATTTTCATTTTCATTTGAGGACAATAATTCAAAGTAACATCTACCAGTGTCTGTTGTAATTCTGCTATATTCTACAAAAAACAGTAGTACATGTACAGCAAAAGGACAAAGAAACTAGCTACTTGAATGAGAAACTTCATCAGTTTTTCAATTATAACTGCAAATATTATATATAGAAAACAGAATAAGAGTGTGGGACTTCAGTTAAAAACCTGGAATTTTTTAGTTCAGATTTTTCTCATACAATTATTATTTTTTACATACTTTATCAATCTATTTGCTACTTTATACATTTTTGAATAAACATTAATCTACTATTTAACCTACAATGCCCTGTATGGACCCGGCATAATAACATACCATGATCTTTAAGTATTTCCATTTTTTTACATAAAGTTCTTCAATCTTTTTGCTATTTTAAACAATTTTTACCATAAATAACATTGATCGATTAAAAATGCAGTGCCCTGTGTAGAAATGACAGCGGTTTCTTTTTATCTGAGGGTACTTCTGTAAACATTTATCTATTAATTAACTTACAGTTCCCTGTGTAGAACTGACAGAGGTTTCTTTTTATCTGAGGGTACTTCTGTAAACATTTATCTATTAATTAACTTACAGTGCCCTGTGTAGAACTGACAGAGGTTTCTTTTTATCTGAGGGTACTTCTGTTAACATTTATCTATCAATTAACTTATTACAGTGCCCTGTGTAGAACTGACAGAGGTTTCTTTTTATCTGAGGGTACTTCTATAAACATTTATCTATTAATTAACTTACAGTGCCCTGTGCAGAACTGACAGAGGTTTCTTTTTATCTGAGGGTACTTCTATAAACATTTATCTATTAATAAACTAACAGTGCCCTGTGTAGAACTGACAGAGGTTTCTTTTTATCTGAGGGTACTTCTGTAAACATTTATCTATTAATTAACTTACAGAGTGCTGTGTAGAACTGACAAAGGTTTCTTTTTATCTGAGGGTACTTCTGTAAACATTTATCTATTAATTAACTTACAGTTCCCTGTGTAGAACTGACATAACAGAATTTCTTGATCTGTGGGTATTTCTTCCTCAATTCATCTTCTCTAATGTCTGGCATTGGAATCTGAAGATGTCAAAAATAAGTAACAAACAAGATTCACTGACTTGAAGCTCATTGTGTACCCAGATTACTCTTTATATTTGGTTTAAGAGTTTATTGACAACCTAAGTTTTTAGCTCTGAACCTTACATAGGTATGGGGGTATGTATCAACATAATTATTTTCACCAATATATATCAGGTGTTGAAAATAATAACTTATTCTATCAAAATATCTTCTCAGAATTGCTCCATACCACAATAATCATCAAGTTAAATACTTTGTTCATTAACAGACTACTGATTGGGAACTTTCTGAAAAATTGGTAAAGACACAATATTTTTGAGCAAACTAAAAATAAACCAATCCTGACCTATAATTCTTTAGTAAGAAACCCTACAAAAACACATATGTTTTGGTTTCCCATATCCAGTTTTTATTGATAACATTTCATTTTTTGTAGTTTATAGCAATTTTTTACTAAAAACATTGCATATGGTATGGCATAACCAGATGAAACTTGGTGCCATATTCAAAGACCCTACGACTTGGTAGTCACTTACAAAATGTTTAAAAAATTTCATAAATGTGAAAGCTTTTTTAAATATAACTTTTTCGACAAAGAGGAAGTATAATAACAAAGAAACTGAAAATGCCACATGGTATGGTATACCAAGATGAAGATTGCTGCCATTTATAAAAAAGTTAAACTAGTAATTATAACAGTAATGTGTTAGGCAGATGAATGGATCATGAACAGTGGGTAAACCAGTATACCCCCTCCTTTGGGTATAATCTTTGAAATATACCTATCATTTCCTTTTATTTATATGATGATTTTTTTACTTACCAACATTGGTCATTAACATTAACATCAAATTGACACAAGTTTTATTTGACTTTAATTACCTGATCGAGCTGGGTTCCAACAACAATAACAGGTGAATCTGGACAATGACAGACAACTGAACTAAGCCAGAAATCCAGTCCGGAATGTTCAAATCCCATCCTCATATTCCATAGTAACATGTAAACAGCTTGTTTAGAGAGGAAAAACTAAAATACAGGAAATATAAAACATAAACTGTGAAAAATTGTGCAATTCCAACAGTAACATACACTCATTTGGTTTTATCCAGAAAAACTAAAATTAATTGAAATAAAAGAAGAATGTGTCTGAGGACACAAATGCCCCCGCTCTAGTATTGCAATTTTCCAAGTTTAAAGGGGGTATAACTCTAGAACAGTAAGTGACTCACTGCCCAAATTCGAACTCTGTCTTCGAGTTTTGGTTCTTAGCATTGTGCGTAAGTTTCATAAAATTTGCATGAGGCAAACTTAAGTAAGAGTGCGAAAACGAAAAAATTTGCAATTTTCCAAGTTATAAAGGGGCATAACTCTACAACGGTAAGTGACTCACTGCCCAAATTGGGAACTATGTTTTCGAGTATTGGTTCTCAGCATTGTGTATGAGTTTCATAAAATTTGGATGAGGAAAACTTAAGTTAGTGTGTGGAAACTAAAATGGGATGGATGGAGGGACAGAAAGATGGTCAAGGGTTATACTAAATGGCCCATTCATCTAGCAGTGGGGGCATAAAACTTTGCTACAAAAATTATAAATGGGACTTTCAAAATCTCATGTTTTCCCATAGTCACATAAATGTAGCTTACCAACCAATGAAAAAACAAAATAAACGAACTAAAGCATGCATGTGGAAATCAAGTACTGAATTTAGGCATCTGTAATCCACAGTTTTTTGCCTGAAAATCTAAATTGCCAGTCAGGGGTGTAGATTATATAAAGTACTAAATGGAAAAAATAAGATAAAATGTTGATTCCAAGGAATTGCATTTGCCATCTGGACACCATACAAATTTCTATTCATCATATATAATAAAATGTTACAAGTATGATTTTTGGACATGTCTTGGAAATGTACTTTAATAATAGTTTATTCTTACCTGATGTGTATTGTAGTATACTGTCTGTCCAGCAAAGTCCCAACAACTAAATCTTATGCTCTTATTGCCATCCTCATCAATTGGCACAATCCAATCTTTGATCACAATTCCATCAGTTAATTTAGGAATAGATCCAGAGAATTTCTTGTTTGTAGCTTGTAAGGCCCTCAGTAAACTTTTAACAGAAAAATAAATAATTAATTTGAAATAAAGAAATGATAAATAATATTCATTTTGATAGATGTCCTGAAGTGAAAATTTTCACCATATTAGTATTAATGAGAAAAAGATTACGCAAAAAAAACATAAAGTGCACATGCTGAGTTGTCTCACCTGCTTTACTGATCATGATTGAATTTTATGTTAAAAGTCTTTAAGATCAAGGTATTACTACAGATATCACATAAACTTAACATTATAAAGATCCATAAAAAATAAGGTTAAGGTCCCTGCCATGTACACCTTCCAATCATTCCATAAAGCAAATATAGGTGACATTCTACTTATAGCATCTGAGAAACAGACCCAATCATGAAAACTTAATATTCCTATGTCTCCTATTCATTGTAGGCAAAACAAAAATGTATGTAAAGTTAGTCAATGAAATTTATAATGGAATTTCTCCTAATGTCAAGGTTATTCAAAAAGCCTTCTTAATCTTGTAAACATTTTAACTTTCACCCAAATCATGAAGAAAAGCAATTCAAGTATTCTTTGGTTATTTTTCTAAGTATTTAATGACATTGCTGTCTGGTATACAACGACTTCGTAATCATTCTTCTTCAACTCCTGTTCTACTAAAATGATGCTTTTGTTTTGTAAGTTATGACATTTTTATCTATTTCAAACATTTTTCAGTAAAGTAGGTGCATTGAAGACCTTAACTGTAAAAATAAATGATGTATTAATTGATTTTTTTATGACTTTTTTTTTGCTAACCTGTATTGTTAGGTTACTGCAACTCTAACATGAATTGAAAAGTATCATAGAGAAAAAACTCATACAAAAACAACTTACGTAGTTTTTCCAGCTTGTCCTAAACCAATAAACATCAGTTTTGTTCTTAGACACTCAGTGAAACCTCCAGCCATCTTCTGTAAAAATGCTTTGACAGAATCAAACCCACGATTAACAATGTCTCGTGGAGGTGTTTCTAAAGCTGCACAGCTGTTCAGATTTAAAGCTAAAATAAATACAAACCTTCATCACAAGTTTGAAATAACCTAAAAGTTACTCTATTTCTAAGCAAAGTTCTGTTATTTGTTCATTTTTATCATATTTATTTTGGATATTGAAGAGTGGTTTATTTTTAAAGATTTTAAGTTTTAAGATTTCTAGGACTGAACCCTTTTGCTAGATTTTATTTTCTGCATTTTTCTTGTCCCTGATTCTAATTTTCCTTAAAGATCAGGTTAACACCATGGAATATTTTCAAAATTTATCTTGAAAGCAAAATTAGCAAAATTAACCCCTCACAAAAGAAAATATACCATCTCACAATACAAAAGAAAATATACTATCTCACAATAATATCTTATATCTTTTCTTTTTCTACACTTACTTCTGAGGTTTGGTAAGAGACCAACATCCCCGTCTAAACTCTCTAACAGAGGACAATGTTCTAAATTGATAGTCTGAAGGGTCAGGATTTCTCTAGTCATCATAGGAAGCTGTGTTACAGCCGTGTAGGACAGGTCTAAAGTTTGTAACAAAGTTAATTTAAAAACTCCAGCTGGGATTCCGCCATATTCTGTATCACCTGTAATAAATGTCTTCCAACTTTTAATGAGAAAAATCTAAAATACACTGTACCTTAATCAATATTGCTAATCCTAAGTGTTTCATCTGCTGTATAGTAAACTTGAAAACAATACGATTAATTTCAGAGGCAAATTTAAAGCCTGCAAAAACCTGATATTGGCCACAAATGTAATAAAATGCTTCACTGGGTGCAGCTTGATACGACCGCAGAGGTCGAACACTGAACAGTTGGGGCAAGTATGGACACAACATTCAAGCTTGATACAGCACTGAATTTGGATTGTGATTAAATATTTGACACAGCATAGGTTTCTGACACAGAATGAATGTGGTCTAAGAACTTAAAAAATTTTTAATTTACCTATTCAAACCATATCATTATTATTTGCTTTTATATATAAATCAGAAATAATCAATTTAAAATGGAAAACTTTTAAGAAAAAAAAAGGAAAAAAATATCCCTCCCCCAAATTTTTTGAACCCCCTTATGATTCATCACCCCCAAACTCAATCCCAGCCTTCCCTTTGTGGGATGGTACCTTGCAGTACAATTTCAGAGAGATCCATACACTTGAACACAAGTTATTGTCTGGAAACTAGAAAAATGCCCCTTTTTGGCCCCAAATTCCTAAACGTTTAGGACAATTATCCCTAAACTCAAACCCAGCTTTCCCTTTGAGATAGGGAACCTTGTAGTACAATTTCAGAGAGATCCATACACTTATACACAAGTTATTGTCATGAAACTAGAACAGTTGTATAAAAATGCTTGTTTTTTGCCCCTTTTTAGCCCCTAATTCCTAAAATTTTGAGGCAATTCCCCCAAAATCAATCCCAGCCTTCCCTTTGTGGTATGGTACCTTGCAGTACAATTTCAGAGAGATCCATACAATTGAACACAAGTTATTGTCTGGAAACTAGAAAAATGCTTATTTTTGGCCCCTTATTCCTAAACGTTTTGGGCAATTACCCCCAAACTCAATTCCAGCTTTCCCTTTGTGATATGGAACCTTGTAGTACAATTTCATAAAGATCCATACACTTACACACAAGTTATTGTTATGAAACTAGAAAAATGCTTGTTTTTTCCCCCTTTTTGGCCCCTAATTCCTAAAATTTTGAGGCAATTACCCCCAAAATCAATCCCAACCTTCCTTTTGTGGTATTGAACCTTATGGTAAAATTTCATAGAGATCCATTCACTTAAACTAAGTTAGAGTGCGAAAACTAATGTGTCTTTGGATGATGATGACGACGACGACGACGACGCCAACGTCATACCAATATACGATAGCAAAATTTTTTTGTGGTTGTATAAAAACATAACATATTTTTTTTCACAAAAAGTTGGAGAATAATTACCAGAAATTATCAGATTATCAATTCTCATTAAACAGTTTTATCTATATTGGGAAATACCAAATTTTCTTGAAATAGGTGACAATTTCCATTAAAATGTAAGTTATTTTGTGTAAATTGTTCGTATATAGACTACATACATCTTTCTCATGCCATTATCTATTGCATCAAGGTCTAAAATAACAAATAATTCCTGTAACTAAGGGACTTACTATAGTTTATAGACAAGATGGTCATCACCAAAGAGCTAAATGATTAAATCTTAAAATATATGTAGGCTCTTAAAGGGAAACTTCGCAAAAAAATGAAAAATTGATATTATGTTCATTATGTATAAAAAAGCACAAATTCATAAATATTAAAGTTTTATCCTGCTAGATAAGAGATCACCATCGATTTTAAATTTAGAGTATCAATTCTCCGCATGCGTCCATTTTGACGTCCTCCCTGAATAGAGACCACGATATATCTATAAACCACAAAGGACCAAAACAAGCAGTAACCTAACGTAGCCGTAATTGAGTGTATATATATCTTGTCAAGCGTACGGTTGTTTTATCCGACAAGGAAAGCATAAACACTTTCCCGGGTCACAAAAAAGATTATAATAGACATGGTTGTGCAACCTTTCCTAACTAACTTGATACGGAAAATGTAATTATATATTTTTTTTAAAAATAACTAGTGTTTTCAAACTTTTTTTTTTAACTAAGTTTTTGAAACAAGAAATTTTAATGGAAATTAGTTAATAGTCAAAGTTCAAAGTCATAAATAAGTGTTCCGTGTAAAATTGTTTTCGAAAATCGAGTTTGTTCATAATTCTTTTATGTAATAAACTTATTTAAATAAATTCGGACCTTCCCTTATCTGATCACTAGCATGGCTAAAGAAATCCCAGAGGTATTGTGAGGTGACACGTCCAGGTATTCAAGCGATTTCCTGTCGGGCTTTAAAACTCTTATTACACAATTACATAAAGAAATTTGTGCATCACTTCACTTCTGAGGGTATTGATCAGTGTACACGGCCGACTAACTTGCCGGTAAACTTTCCATTTTGAAACTATCAGGTGTAATATACATCTTTGTCTTGCGTGTCCGATAGTGATAAACTAGTCATTACTAAACTCATACGCTTGTTTATAAATAACATTTCTGGTGTTAAGAATGATATTTATGAAAATCTAAATAATTCCAAAAAAAAGATAAAATAAAAAATCTATTTACATATTTTCCAAGGGTAAATTGGGGGAAATGTAAGTATATTCTCGTTGTCAATAAGTATGGACATTTTGAAACCTACAAATATTGATTTAACAAAATGTACGCACTTGTCGATCATTGGTTTATACGCCTAGATAGAAGGTTACGGAACTATAGATAATCGCAATTTAGAATATATACATGTAAATTGAATATACGAGAGAAACATCCAGAACCAATCTGATTTTAATACAGTTCGATATCTAATTTGCTTTGGTTCATCGAAGTTATGGACATAGTAAAATCACAGATTTATTTTTCAATAAGATTATTTTGAACAGTTTAAGAAATTCTTCATCATCACAATTGTTGGGTATAATCAGAGACATATAATATATATTATATTATATGTCTCTGGTATAATGTATAATAATGTGAACATGGTTCTAAAAGTACCTGATGTCAATTTTCCTGTTCCGACATGCATGTAATATATATGCCACTGGACGTACACTAATGATCCCCAAAAAGCCTATTTGAAGAAATAAAGAAACTTCACTGCGGATAGACTGATAGTAGTTGTATTAACGTCTGGTCAGCTAGAGGGTTGATTAATTTATTTAGTTAGCTTGTGGTGGTAATAAACCATTCCCAATATTGCACTTATGCATAAAATATCAAATGAGAGTAATATAAGAGAAAATATAAATACGAAAAGTCGCATATCTGGTACAAAAAGTCTCACCATGAACTATAGGATTTTACGTACGATTGTCATTCTTAATCGAAATAACGGACAGTCATTTAAATACATGCATGTACGCTGTGATAAAAAGGGGTGTCGCAGTTGCATAGTATTCATCATAAATCTATTTCAAGTTTATACTTTCCTGTTATTTTTATAAGTTAACGCAGAGACATGTATACATCTCTAGCTAACGACAATCAACTATATAAATATCTGAATCTGATGTGATTTACCGTTCATCTCTTTCTTTTTCTCCTTTTTTGTTATTTTGGCAGGAATATATACATTGTAAGATATACATTGTACTGTTCCCAGGTTTGGGGGGGGTTGGAGTTCATGTCTATCGAAAGTTACAAAATAAGAACGGTGTATTTATGAATTTACAAGAAGAATTCTGTTCTTGGGCGTAGTTTTCTTCTTTTTTTTTTTAGTTCAGTGATTTAAATTGAGAAGAAAAAAATCTAGTCAGAATTTAAATTAAATCGTTCCGGCAATCCCCCACCTGAGACGCCTCTAAAATCATGAATGGTCATGCTTCACAATCATCAGAATTTTCTTTGCATTGGTACATTCTGTATCAGAAGTGATTACTCTTGACATTTCCGGGTATAACAGAGCTACTTGTATATTACCTGTATGTGGTTAGGTGATCTTAGTTGACGTCCCATGAGGTCTTACGTATACAGGTTCACATTTATAATGGTTTCTGATATAACAATTAGGTTTTATGACATTCACACTTCTGCATGTTCAATAGATATAGGAAGATGTGGTATGAGTGCCAATGAGACAACTCTCCATCCAAGTCTGTATACCAAATTCTTATCTTTTTTTCAGACCGAATGAGGGTGTGAATATTTTCCAGGAAAAATATTGAGTATCAAATTAATTTCGGGATTTTTTTCTTTCTTGGTATTAAATCACAGAAATTTAAAGAATATACTGCTTGTCCGTTTTAGGAGTATTCTTGTCAGTTTTAACAGACGTATATATGTCTCTGGTCTAGAGTGGGTTTATGAATGAATGATAAGTCTTGCAAAGGTACAAGATATAAAGCACATTGAAAATTGATTCCGCCGGTCTTTCTCCATTCAAAAAAGGAAAGTTGACGTTAGATTGATTCTGTTAATTTTTTAAAACATCGTTGGTCAAATAGCTAAAGAATTTATACGTTGTGAGATTTAGAATATTTTAATCACAGCATTTCCGATTAGGTAAATGCAGATCGCTTTGGACGGACCAAACTATATTAATGTAACTGATAATTTTCTCTGCACATTTAAATAAGTATTCAAGGTTACTGATGATAATTTGAAATAGTACAGTTTTGATTTATACGCTCGTTATCGTGGGCCATTTTTATCTATAAAATTATTTAATTGAAAGTAATTCAGAATTTCGATGTTACAACAAATTGATCACCTATTTATTAAAAAATTGAGCTAACGCAAAATATTAAAAAAAAATATATAACGGCGATTCAGTTATTTTGCCACCATATTCCTCCCCAAACAATTAAAAAAAATATCCTGTCTCAAACCCGCACTTATGTTTTATCCTTTTTTTCAATGTTTTTCATACCTACAACGGTGAATCCTTGAGGCCAAACAAAACTCTTGTGAAGATCAAAAGATTAAAATTACATAATGCTAATCTTTTAATAACCGTGAATTTAACCACGCCTTTACCAGGTGGTGTCAGTATAATACACATGCATTGTATTTACACAGTACTAGACTGAAGCAAGGATTTGTACAGTAAGACAAATCCTCGACTGAAGTAATAGGTGAGAATACAAACATGCATTTTTATTACACTATCAGTAATATATGTTTGTTCAACATATCCGTCGGAAAAAAAATCATAAAAACATTCTATTGTATGATTTACTTTTATTACTATAATCATATAAGATATCCTTAAAATATAAAAGGTGCATTTTAATTTTAAAAGTTGCACGGCTGATCAATTTTCTTTCTGAATTATTAGTTGGTTAATAGCTACGCCAAAAGTAGTCGATGCGCTTTAAATCGCGTTATAAGATGATTAACGAACAAGACTTAAAATGAGATTAATCCACTCCCGGCATGCAAAAAGACTTAAACTACGTCACAGAAGTCAGGAAGTTCGAATAAATAAAATTAATAATTCCCAATTTTCTTCTTTATTAGTGTTCATATCCAGATAAAACTTGGTGAATATGTTTTTTATGGTATTATGAACAAAATAAGATGATAAGTAAAAAATCGTGAATTTTCCCTTTAAAAGAGTGGTATTGAATATGTTCAGTTAAATATAGAATGCTGTCAATAAACTTCACCTATTGACTGACAGCCTAGTCTTGGAATCTTTTTCATAATCTGCAAGTTAAGTCTAGCTAATTCTGACTTCTCCAAAATGTCATTATTGTTGACATCACATTCAGTGAACATCCTATCCACTTCCTAAAATAGATATATGTTTTTGTATAAATAGTAATGCTGTGTATCAAACAGCAAGTGTATAAAAGTTATAATCTATCCAAACACGTCTAAGCCCAGTAAATAACTGTTGACATCACACAAGTTCTTTGTATGGAATCTACACCCATATCCCTGTGTATGCATATTTCCAACCTGTCTGTGCCCAGGTAAAGACTACTCACATCACTAACACTATGGTTTATTATAGGGCACAGGCATGTTGATCAATCCAAGCATGTGTTTACTAATGTGAATCCCTACAGTGTTTAAAATATCAAAAGCATATCACCCCTACAAGGTTTATACCTAAAAAAATACTGTAAATTCAGAAATTATTGCATGCATTTATTATTGCGATTTTTGAAGAATAGACAAAAATGCAAGATTAATTATTGCGATTTGAGGAAAATCTGCATACAGATATCCGAACAGATATCGGAATGCGAGTTCTTATTATTGCGATAATCACCAAGTCGCATTATTCGCAATAATAAAAACCTCGCAATAATTTCTGAATTTACAGTAGATAACATATGAGCTGCATGGGATAGAAATCGACCTTATGCAAATGAATACCAATACATATGTCAACCTCTTTCCGGTTGAAAAAATCTCTACGGAAAGTCTGTAACTGTTCGAAAATTGAGTTGTTATAAGAAGCCTACAAAACAGACCAACATTCATCTTTTATTTCGTATTTAAATGCTCCAATATCAACCAGTCTTATACATGTACATGTATATGTGTACTTGCATAAGGTCGATTTCTATCCGATGCAGCTCATATGTTCTCTTCTATGTTGTTTTGGACTTATAGAATACTTTCTCTACTGTAGATTGTGTTCATACCTTATGACAGTGGTTGATTACAGTTAAATTGGACATTTGTGTTTCATTGGTAGCAAAATAAAGCTTCAGTGCCATTGTGGCGAGCTGACAACCAATTACAAGTGTTGCTTCTTCTTATAAATGATTTATTTTTGTTTGAAGTATTGAAAAAGAATATAATGTGAATGAATTGGACAAAGTTTCACCTTGTAGATCTTTAAAAGAAAGTTGGAAAAAAAAAAACTGACACTTCACCCTGTCTCTCAAGGATTATTCTCAAAATAGATAAATATTTTTTATAAATGGTTATTAACAAAAAAAGATAGCCTAGAGTCTATCATCGTTTTTTTAAAGATAATAAATAACTTACATCCTCTCCAATGTTGTTTTTTACATATGGATTTTCAATGTGCCACATGGTGTAGACTTGTTTTGGCATTTGGTCAAACTTTCCCTCAGGAGCAATCCATGGTACTCCTAAATGATAACTTATTCTTTAAGAATTTCATGAAAATATTATTCTATTTATACTTAATGCAATAAGACCAAGCAGTTTTCAAACCATTTTCTTGACTTGTGATGTTTGAATAGATATACCACTAGGTAGATAATAAAATTGGAATAGTTAATAGTTAAAAATTCTTTATCAATAACTGACTTTCCAATTTCAGTTTTATGAATGAACTGCCCCGATGGTCCGTGGGTCATTTGGGGAAAAACACATCATAGGACATTTTGACATGCAGATATTTACTGTGTGAAAGGTTCCTGGGAAAATTCATTAATTGGAAGATCATGTACACAGTGTATTTATTGCTCAGCATATTTTAAGAATATTTTTTGTCTTGAATTTTACCAAATAAATAAAAATCCATAACACGTTATATATGTTTAAACCTTTCCATATTTACAGGAAAATTCCTGCTAAAATTTAGAAAATTATACATTTTTTTGGCATAAGGGAATTTGTTTCCAAATAACCTGATAGATAATGCAGCAAACAGTTCTTAGAACAAATTTAAAAATAAATCAAGGCCCACAACCCTGGAGACAGGGCAACATCCATTTGTTATGTTTAAAAGATATTACTGTAACATAAACTATTTTGTATTATCGTCATGCAAATGTAGGTGTAATCCAAGATTACAATATTTTTTTGACAACTGTTTAATTTCATCAGAAAAAAAGGATGAAATACATACATCTGCATGGGAAACATTATGCAAACCAGGGGCATAAAAATTCGAATTTTCAATTTTAGGTACAAATTCACTGTTCAACAAGTTGGATTTAAGGACAATTTGGCCTATAATCTTATCTTCTAAATAGACAAGAAAAACAAATATATGGAGAATACAGGTAAAACATCATTCTAAACTGCAGATATCAAATTTCACTACAATTCATTGGTTCCTATCTTAAACATTCAAAAATATCTATTTACCTTTTACACTTAAAAACCTCAGTTTTGTCAAATTCTCTATTTCTTTTGGTAAGCTGGTAATTGGATTGTAATCTAAGCATAATTCTTCTAGATCTTTCAACCTTCCAATATTAGCAGGAATATCTTCTATCAACAGTCCTTTCAAGGTCAAATTAGTCAACTTGTTTTTGACTGGCCAATCAAAGTCCAGCTTTTTTACTGGGCAGTTGTGAATGAAAAATGTTGACATCAATGGGCCACTGATGATGTCCTTTGGTAGCTCAATGATGCCCTTCAAATTGGCTAGAATGAGAACTTCTAAATTGTTACACTTTGATAACCCACTTGGAAATATATGTGTGTCATGCAAGGCAACATTTACAATTGAAATTACTCGTATATTTCTAAACGTTGTCAAGAGGTTACTTGGTAATGTATTCAAATCCTGACTTTGAACTGTTAAAGTTTCTGCAAATTGTTCATATGGTTCATAATATGCAGATTCAAGAGAGTAGTTTGGTATGGATACATAATCGCCACGACTATATGCATGTGCTCTACATGCTAGAATATGGCCATATTCCATAAATAATGGTTCCTCAGCTGTCATTCCTGATCTAACTTGTTTCACTGGGACATCTTCACCAACAAGATCAGTAATCCAGTCAAGGAGATTTCCTGGTGCACCCTGGGAAGATAGGCCACCATGCTGGGTAGCAAACAAACCACATAATGAGGCATAAGGTTGTAATAACTGGAACAGTAATGTCTCTATCTGAAATTTAACATTTTCTAAATTATTGCAAAAATATATACTTTTTAACCATTCATTAATGTTTTTTGTTTCAGTTGAATCACTTAATATCATTGATGATAATTTTCCTGAATTGAGGAAAATTTTTAGAGGATACCTTTTGTGGCTTTGACAAATTCTGTGTATAAGCCTTTAGAAATAAGTATTTCATCAAAAAATTGAATTTGTTGTTAACATATAACCACTGAACCCATGAAAATTGGTACCCTCAGATGATAATGATTTGGAGAATTTGGTGTTGATGGCATATTTCAGAGGCTCTGTTAAACTTGTTTAAAATTCAGGGCAATTATTAGCTTGACAAATAAACCCTGGTTTTTGTTTAAGACTGTATCACTAGATATTGTTAGGTTATTTGTGTTGTTTGGCTGCTGTCTCATTGACTTATATCCTATATACCAAAACCAATAAGAGACATATGTTTGGCAGGTTGCACTTGACTTTTAGCACAATGAGTATGAAATTAATCCCCTTTCTTTACATGCAATTGCATGTGAAGTTTTGAGTATCAAATATCCATTTTTAACATGTTCTTCATGTGAATATATACTTATTTAAATTCAAAATTCAATTTATATAGAAAAACCTTCTAAAATTATACTTTTTGATGGAATAAACTAATCAACATACTTGCTGCTGCTTCCATTTCCCCTTGTTTTCATTTAGCATCTTCATCTTAGGCGGAATTTTCAACTATACACAATATGAAATGTAAATAGTGATATGAAATGAAATTTCAATTTGTAATGAGAATTGCACATGTGAACTATTCATTCAAGCACAGGATTAATAAAATTCAGAACAATTTACATTTTTAAATACAAAAAAAGAAGTTTGAACATGCATTTATTATTGCAGTTTTTTAACAATGGACAACAATGCTAGATATATTATTGTGATTTAAGAAAATGCTGCATATATTGATTGACTGTTAGTTGCTTAGCATCCAGTGGCAAATATTACATGCATATTCAGGATGAGTGCTGCTTAAAAAAATATTGCTATCAAAAATTTAAGTTTACAGTTTTGATGAACCTTTCCATTAGCACTTTTAGCAACAATAAAAACATTGCATTAATTTTGTTAATTCACAGTAGATTAGCATACCTTGTGTGTCAGAAGTGCAACATAATTCCATGCCTGGTATAGATTGCCATAACTGTATTCTACTGGGATATTCTTTTTCATAGGAAAACCTGGCAAGTCCATGAAGTGTATAGATGTCTGCTTCGGTTGGTTCAAGTGGTAAAGATTTGGTCTGGTACCATCTACAATGATTACTCTATGCAGTAAATATGTTACACCTAGAACCAGTCAAGTGCCAACCACTTTGTATGGTTTTCATTCTATTCATATTGTTACAGAATGTTTTTGAAAATTTGTGAATGTTTAAACAAAATGGCTTTATGTGGTGTAGGTGACTTTATTCTACATAAAATAACAAGATAAAGCTAATGACATCACTAATGGTTTGGAATACTGCTGGAAAGTCTGTTTCTGCTAATTTCACAATTAACCAAAAAAAGGCAAATTTGATCTTCATGGAAGGCAAATTAAGTAAAGGGGACAAGAAAATCATGAAAAATAAAACATTACAAACTGGTTTGTTTTTTGAAATTCTGAAATTAAAACCCGAAAATCCTAGTTAATAAAGATTGGAGTCAACCACCACATGCAGGATTCCAACTCACAACCTCAGTGTTGACAGGCTAGTGATACATTAGTTCGACTACTTAGACCACTCAGCCACCAAGCCACCTCACTTCATGTACTAAGTTTCATGCTGATGTGACAACACTTCATAATGAACATGTCTACTAAGTTTCATGCTGATGTGACCATACTTCATAATGAACATGTGTACTAAGTTTCATGCTGATGTGACCACACTTCATAATGAACATGTGTACTAAGTTTCATGTTGATGTGACCACACTTCATAATGAACATGTGTACTACATTTCATGTTGATGTGACCACACTTCATAATGAACATGTGTACTAAGTTTCATGTTGATGTGACCATACTTCATAATGAACATGTGTACTAAATTTCATGTTGATGTGACCACACTTCATAATAAACATGTGTACTAAATTTCATGTTGATGTGACCACACTTCATAATAAACATGTGTACTAAATTTCATGTTGATGTGACCATACTTCATAATAAACATGTGTACTAAATTTCATGTTAATGTGACCATACTTCATAATAAACATGTGTACCAAATTTCATGTTGATGTGACCATACTTCATAATAAACATGTGTACTACATTTCCTGTTGATGTGACCACACTTCATAATGAACATGTGTACTTAGTTTCATGTTGATGTGACCACACTTCATAATTAGCATTTTTACTAAGTTTCATGTTGATGTGACCACACTTCATAATGAACATGTGTACTACCGGTAAGTTTCATTTTGATGTGACCATACTTCATAATGAACATGTGTACTAAGTTTCATGTTGATGTGACCATACTTCATAATGAACATGTGTACTAAGTTTCATGCTGATGTGACCATACTTCATAATGAACATGTGTACTAAGTTTCATGTTGATGTGACCATACTTCATAATGAACATGTGTACTAAGTTTCATGTTGATGTGATCACAAACTACCTTAAACCAATACTTTAACATGAAATGGGATGGACAGATGAACAGACATTATGCAAAAATTAGAAAAAACAATGCCCCTCTAATATCATTGCCAGTTCTTAAAAAGTGAATGCTTAGTGCTTACATGGCAAAAAAGACAATGCAGATCAAAATGAATACAAAAGCAAGGTGTTCTTACAATCACCAGTCTTTTGATTCACAGGAGTCCTTCAATTAGGAAATGTGATAAAAGAAAAATAAATCAGCAATTTTTCTATTTGTAAATGGGCATAACTCTAGAACAGTAAAAGTGACGCCACCAAAATTCAAACTTGATCTGTGTTTTGTGGTAATAAGAAAAGTGTATAAGTTTCATAACATTTGGTTGAGTCAAACTAAAGTTAGAGAACGGAAACCAATTTTGGGATGTACGGAGGGACGGACGGACAAGGGTAAAAGTTAATGCCCCTCTGCTACGGGGGGGGGGGGGGGGGGGGGGGGGGGATTAAAAATCTAATATGTGGTATGGCCTTTCTTGAAAAGGTGTTTATAATGACAAACAGGTTTTATATGAGGCATTGCCTTTCATTAGGGCTGCTTAATAATGGGTTATTACTTCTACTTACCATGAACATAAACAGGGCTTTATAGTGGGTTATTACATTTACTTACCATGTACATAAACAGGGCTTTATAATGGGTGATTACTTTTACTTACCATGTACATAAACAAAATTTATAATGGGTGATTACTTCTACTTATCATGTACATAAACAGGGCTTTATAATGGGTGATTACTTCTACTTACCATGACATAAACAGGGCTTTATAGTGGGTTATTACTTTTACTGACCATGTACATAAACAGGGCTTTATAATGGAAATTACATTATATTGGGTGATTACTTCTACTAACCATGTACATAGACAGACTGTAAATTATCATTACTATAATCTATCTTGACTTTAGGATAAGCAACTGTAGGCTGTATGTAGTTAATTCCTAGTTCATTGTCATCTGTAAGGCAAGTATTCAAATATTTTAATATCATTTGCATACATATTGGACCAAGTCGTATTTTCTTAGTCATTTTGTATTTTTTAAAAAGGGCTAATATTCAACCATGGCTGTATTATCAGATGTATAATATTAGGATATTTTCTAAATGATGTGCTAATCGGAGTGAAGTTATTTCAATGTTCAAATCAATTGTTATCTTATTGGTTGCTAAACTGTGCATAATTTTCTTATTCCTGTATTTTCTTTTATGACACACAGCATTGATGGTGCAGGATCGAGTACCTGACAATAATAAACTTTCTGAGAACCAAAATTTGGGATTTGAAAATAACAGGAGACAGATTTTATGCTATCTTGAGAGTTAAAATACTTACAACTTGGAAACCATGGAAAGTTCAGTTTTATTTATATTTGTTCTTCGTACAGACATCTTAAAAAAAGTTTAGGTGATCATGGGACACAAAGAACATTTACAACAGAAGCCATTGTCAATTCTGGGCAAACAATTGTTTTGATCCACAGTGATTTATTGACACAAGTTTGCATACAAGCTATTTTTTACCTGGTAAATTCAAATATGTAATAAAAATCATACCTTCATGTGCTACTTTTTGAGATAAATGTTGTCATTATTTAAGATATTTTCTCAAAATTTCTATATTTTTTACATTTGTATATACTGTAAATTCAGAAATTATTGTGTGCATTTATTATTGCGATTGTTAAAAAATGGACATAAATGTGAGTTTAATTATTGTGATTTCAGGAAACTCTGCATACAGATATATGTATCAGATATCAAAATGTGAGGTCTTATTATTGCGATACTCACCTAGTCGCATTAATAAAAACCTCGCAATAATTTCTGAATTTACAGTAGTGTTGGTAGAAAAACCTAACTTTTTTGTTTAAAAGATACACAAAAGCTGTTTTTTTTTGTAAAACCATTTGGAATATCTTCTTTTAAATAAGTATACAGTAAATTTGTGAAACAATTCTTTGAAAAGAATTCATACTTTGAAGTTTTCCATGATTTCAGAATAAACTGATATATTTGGCTGTTAATTTATGTACTTTTTTAAACATCATCAATTTTTCCCCTCAAGATTGATACAAAAAATCTTCCTAACTAATTAAGCTTAATGTCATTTAAAAAACAGGGGTCCATGAACTTAATTTCAAGCTAATTTAAAATACATCTTTTCCCAATATGTTACATTTGGACTTCATGAAAAATAACATTTTACTTAAGTGACATCATTACCTCCCCTATAACTGTATTGTATGCCCTGAACAGATTTTCTTGATAGCAGTTAATATCTTATAAGTTTGATTGTGCCTTGTAGTAGCTCAGTGACTCTTTTCACAAATACAAAAAGTACTTTTTCTACTTTAATAAACTTACCATGCATACAACAAAGTCTGTGAACATTAACATCATCAAACATTGTCATGGCAACAGGATATCTCAAGGTCTCATCATCCAAGCCAGAAGGAAGGTACACCAGAGAATAAGGGATCTCAAAGTTAGTTTTTCTAATACTTGACCACTCTTGCAAATGTCTAGAATGTAATGTTATGATTTGTTCCTGAACAGATGGACGTGTAATCACCTGGCAACAAGAACTGTGTGCAAATATCGCCTTTGTTTTCCATTCATTATCAGCCACGTCTAAGGCAGAACTACTTCCCTAAAATATTATGGATACTCTTTATCAATTAATTCATTTGTTTTAAAATAATTACAGTGAACCAATCGCAAGATTTCAAAAGTGGCCTTTCACATAATTCATTGAACAATTATATAATTGCCGGTGTCATATGGTATTTGAAACCCCATGGAAAATTTGCCCAGGTGTCTTTTAGGGGGGTTTAAACCAACATAGGACACTGGCACCAAAACCTGTTTGTCTTCAGGAATTTAAAATTTTTATTATGTAAAAATATTTTTTTACCTTTTAAATGGTCATTTTTGAGAATAAAACTAATTAATGTGCTATAAAAGTAGTATCATATCTGTAATACCTTAGTTATCAAGAAAGGTGGTGCTGGTACAAAGGTCTTCTCTAAACGGTGCTGTTCTTTAGTTCCTATAAAACATATCATACAGTCAGTCAACTTTGTGGTAACACCAAATGTCTGTTACTTTTAATAAGGGGAGGAAAGGGGAGAGCTGATATAAGAGAGATAACTCTTTAAATAAATAACCTTTGAAGTTATTCTTTTAACTACTTTATTTATCAGTATTAAATTTTTCAAAGAGATTTGACTCATCTTTTCTATTCAAAAGAAACATCAATTTTATGACTTCATCGTATATTTTGACAAATGAGACAGCATTCAAACATTTCCTTCAAAGTCAAAATTTTCTTTCTATCATGGTTTACAAGAAAATAAGAAGACAATATTTGCAATTTACCCCCATGTTCTATTTTTAGCCCTTTTTTAGGATGACTGTGGTAAAGTTCTGTTCCAATTGGCCCAGTAGTTTTAGAGTACATGATTTTTGTAAGAGTTAACTGACGACCAAAGCCAGATGAGCTAAAAGCCAATATTTGATGAATACTTAAAATAATTAGAAATTATTGCTACAGTTTATACTAAGGACCATCTTGATCTAGCCATGATATTTGAACTCTTTTGTTAATCAGTGACCTTTTGGCAACTTCAAAGAAGAAAAGATCCATAAAAACCAGTTTCTTTATTATTTATTTTTTCCTCTCTTACCAGAATACATAATGACATTCCCAGCCTCCTTTTTCTCCCTTCTAAGAGTCTGTAAGTCTTTATAAGCTTGGTCCGTTAGAAGCATACATTCAGATTGTCCCAAACTGTCCTCATCTTCATCGTCATCTTTACTTAGCATATATTCAATTTTTCCGTCATCTTGTACTCTACTTATAACTTTCTCTTCATACTTCACAGTCTCAGATCTTTGAAAACAAAAAAACAACATGTGCTATATGAAACAGGTCTTTTTGGGCAGGTGAAAATGGACAGCAATATTACAAACAGTGATGCATTACATATAATTATATTTATATAAGTATTTACTAATTTTCTTTAAACTATGCAGTTCAATTGGTACATTTTTCTTATTTCGACTGTCTGTCTGTATATCTGGTTCTGAGAGACTATCAACTACCCATTTCAGAAAAAAATACAATGCTCCTTAGACTTCTATAGCAAATATATGCTACATCCCGTTCCAACAACAGTACAAAAATATTATACAGTGAAACCTGTCTGAAAACTTGTTCGGTTTAGATAGGTGTTTGGTATATACTGATGTTGGTATAAAGTAACTTTGGAGCATGTCTGAATTAGACAGTGTCATGCCTGCACAGGTTTTAGTTTTTACAGCTAGGTTCATGCATTAATATTGTATAGACCGTTGGTTTTCCTGTTTGAATTGTTTTACACTAGTCATTTTTAGGGCCCTTTATAGCTGCTGTTCGGTGTGAACCAAGGCTCCGTGTTGAAGGCCGTACTTTGACCTATAATAGTTTATTTACAAATTGTGGCTTGGATGGAGAGTTGTCTCATTGGCACTCATACCGCATCTTATATCTAATTTATGTGGATATTTAGACAATTTGGATTAAGTCTGATTCAGTCAGGATTTCAGTTTATACATTATGTTGGTACAAATATCTGTTAAACCCAGTCTGAGTAAGACAGGTTTACAGTATTGTCAGGGTTTCAGTTAATACAGCATGGTTCATACATTGATGCTTGTATAAAGATACTTTGGAGCGAGTTTTGTTTAAACAAGTTTACAATTCAGTCAGGATTTCAGTTTATACAGCTAGTTTTATACAATGACATTGGTATAAAGACCTTTGTTTGTACAGTTTGTACAGGTAGGTGCATACATTATTATGTGAGTATACAGAGTTTTTGGAGCAAGTCTGGTTTAGAACGGTTTACAGTTTAATCAAGATTAGGTTTTAGACAGGTATTCACTGTATTTAATTCGCTCTATATCACTTTATCATATACATACCCCTTAACTTTAACACAAGTAATAACTTTCAATCCTCTCTTCAATATTGGTGGGTACATAAAGGACTGAAATGCACAAATCAAAATGTGTGATTTTATCAACATGACATATACAAATTGTGACTTGGATAGAGAGTAGTCTCATCGGCACTCATACCACAGCTTCTTATATCTATATACAAACCCTACTAAAAGTGCAAAAAATCAAATGTAAATCCACAATAAATTAGCATCTTGTATGGATATAATTGAAATTGCAATTATAATACAAATGTTACAAGATAATGAGTTGTTTTTTTTTAAAATCTGATCTCATTGTCATATTACAACATTATAACAGAAGACATAATCAGGATCATCAACACATTGTCTGCATTAAATATCATATTATGGGTTTGTCATCTGACCAGAGGTTCTTAGCAAAGGTAAAAGGAATCAAAATAAACAAGTAGAGATGAATTTTTAACCAGGAGAATTGTTAAAATGTATATTTGCCAGTGAGAAGGAATAGGCTAATGCATAGAAAAACATCACATGATATGACTATTTTAACCTCCACATTGAAGACCGCTTTCCTAAAACTGTTTCAAATAAACTGCTTCGCTGAGTGCAGCTAGATACGTCCGTAGAGGTCCAACCCTGAACAGTTGGGGCAAAAATGAACACAATATTCAAGCTTGATTCAGGTCTGAATTTGGATAGTAATTAAATATTTGACATATTATAGGTTTCTGAATAAATGTAGTCAAAGAACTTGAAATTGGTTATATGAATTGAATTTATATTCAATTAAAGATTTCTTGCTGTTGTGCAATACTTAGTAAATCTGTTGTCAGACTATAAACAAATAAAGTTCAATTAATTATCAATGTCATATTAGAAATTAATGAAAATAAAAATTCGTAAGGGTTCCCAGTGTCTCTCCTACTTTTGCTGTTAGTGCAGGCTCAACAAAAACGGGGAAAAAATTATTAAAAATTTTTCCTCTAGATACTATCTTTTGATTGTAAGAAGATCTGTTCAAGTTTGGTAAAAATCCAAGAAGGTTTATGAATCTAATAAATGTTTTAAAAACTTTAACTGCAGACTGTACGTAATGTTAACTGGAATAAAACTAAGTCCATCTATAAGTAATATACGGAAAAACAGAAAATAAATTTTTACAAAATTTCCTTCTAGATACTAGCTTTTGATCATAAACAAGCTTCTGTCCAAGTGTGGTACAAATCCAAGATAGTTTAAGAAAGTTATTAAAGTTTTGAAAGCTTTAACCACAGAGTGAATGTAATGTTAACTGGCAGAAAAACTAAGTCCATTTATAAGTGAAATACAGATAAACAGGATTTTTTTTTTAACAAAATTTACTTTTGAATACTATCTTATGATCACAAACAAGCTTCTGTCCAAGTGTGGTACAAATCCAGGATAGTTTAAGAAAGTTATTAAAATTTGAAAAACTTTAACCACAGAGTGAATGTTATGTTAACTGGCAGAAAAACTAAGTCCAAATATGAGTAAAATACGGATAAACAGGATTTTTTTTTTACAAAATTTTCTTCTGGATACTATCTTATGATTATAAACAATCTTCTGTCCAAGTGTGGTACAAATCTAGGATAGTTTAAGAAAGTTATTAAAATTTCAAAAACTTTAACCACAGAGTGAATGTAATGTTAACTGGCAGAAAAACTAAGTCCATTTATAAGTGAAATACAGATAAACAGGATTTTTTTTTTAACAAAATTTACTTTTGAATACTATCTTATGATCACAAACAAGCTTCTGTCCAAGTGTGGTACAAATCCAGGATAGTTTAAGAAAGTTATTAAAATTTGAAAAACTTTAACCACAGAGTGAATGTTATGTTAACTGGCAGAAAAACTAAGTCCAAATATGAGTAAAATACGGATAAACAGGATTTTTTTTTTACAAAATTTTCTTCTGGATACTATCTTATGATTATAAACAATCTTCTGTCCAAGTGTGGTACAAATCTAGGATAGTTTAAGAAAGTTATTAAAATTTCAAAAACTTTTAACCACAGAGTGAATGTAATGTTAACTGGCAGAAAAACTAAGTCCATTTATGAGTAAAATACGGAAAAACAGGATTTTTTTTTTTACAAAATTTTCTTCTGGATACTATCTTATAATCATAAACAAGCTTCTGTCCAAGTTTGGTTGAAATGCAGGATAGTTTAAGAAAGTTATTAAAATCTCAAAAACTTTTACCACAAGGTGAATATTTGTGGACGCTGCCATCGCCGACGCCGACGGAATGTAGGATCGCTATGTCTCGCTTTTGCAACAAAAGCCGCAGGCTCAACAAAAAGGAAGCTCACATCAATAGATATTAACAATTCACCAAAGTTTCATGAGAATTGGTGACAGCATTTTTGAGTTATTGTCCGAAAACTGGAAAATCACCCCTTTTTTTAATGAATAAAACCCCATAACTCAGAAATGTAAGATGTAAGATATATAAAATTCTAAAGGGAGCTTACATCAATACATACAAACAATTCACCAAAGTTTCATAAGAATTGCTGAAACATTTTTGAGTTTTTGTCCGAAAACTGGAAAATCACCCCTTTTTTTATGAATAAAACCCTGCAACTCGGAAACGTAAAATCTTAAATTTATAAAAATCGAAAGGGAGCTCATGTCAATAGATATAAACAATTCACCAAAATTTCTTGCAAGTTGGTGAAAGCATGCTTGACTTATTGTCCGAAAACTGGAAAATCCCCCTTTTTTTAATGAATAAAACCCCATAACTCCAAAACGTAAAATCTAAATTTTATAAAAAACAAAAGGGAGCTCACGTCAATAGATATAAACATAAGTTTTATGCAAATTGGTTTAAGCATTTTTGAGTTAATGTCCGACATGTTGATGACGAACAGATGGACGGACAGACGGACAACGGTATACCATAATACGTCCCGTAAACGGGCGTATAAAAATTGCTTGTGCTGATGTATACTTATTAATTTATCTATCACTAAGCATTACAATATATCAATCAATAAAGACTCTGAGCATCTCCTATTACTTTACTAGTTACTCCATGAAATTGTTTCATATAATGTATCTTCAAGGATTGTATGGTTGCATTATATACATTAGAAAAAAACAACTTTAATTGAGAGCTTAATAATAAAACATATCTAGCTTACTTTCTGAAATCTTATTTTGACTTCTCAATGTCCTATGTTTTTTTTGTGTCGTTTGGGTGCTGTATTAGTGACAAATACCCACATCTCCAGTCTTTTCAGCATATTATTAATTATATAAACCATTTGCAAGAATAACATAAATTGAAAAATGAAAATGAGACGTAGTTAGGTACATGGAATTTTTTAAGTTGTCATTGGTAAAATATGCCAGTAATCTTGTACTTACTGGGCATTTTGGTCTCTTCATTAAATACTCATCTGTACCATCTATCTTAGCAACCTCAATACAGTATCTTCCTTTTTTCAACACATATGAGTTCACTAGAGTAGAATTCTTTATCACATCAAGTTTATACCCATCCTAAATAAATACAAAAGTTAAGTGAACAAATTATCCCATGTTGCTTGCTACTATAGTTCCATTTAATTTTTATCATAATGAACAAATTTAACTTATTGTAATATATTTTCAATGTTTTGCAACAAGAATGAATGTCATTCGTCTGTAAAGTTGGATTCTTTAACCAAACAAAGAGGCCTGAGAACACAGTTATTTTGTAGTGCATTTCTTTTAAACAATAAATGAAAATTTAAAAAATCCCACCTGCGCTTTTACTCAATATTTTTACAGTGTGTTGTACTACTTTTGGGACAAATTATATCAAAATTATAGAAAACTTCATCAGCTCTAACTCAAAATATGGACAATTTTATTAAGTGGGTCTTGAAATCTTTTGACAGCTTCGGAAATGCTATTTTTTTTACCTTTTTCAGCTGGACCAAATCACTACTTTACTTTAAAATTCATGACCCAAATTTTTCTAGTGTAATTTCATCCCCATACTTGCTATTTGAGGCATAAAACATGAAGAAATAAATTTGGAATGGGTATAAAAAAAATTGGCAAGTAACACACTGTCCACACCAGGGACTATATTCGTGGACAACAAAAATCAAAGGATGATAACTGTGTTCCCGGTCCAAGAATGTGTCCATAGTACACAGATGCCCCACTTACACTATCATTTTCTATGTTCAGTGGACCATGAAATTGGGGTCAACACTCTAATTTGGCATTAAATTAGAAAGATCATATCATAGGGAACATTTGCACTAAGTTTCAAGTTGATTGGACTTCAATTTCATCAAAAACTACCTTGACCAAAACTTTTAACGTAAAGCAGGCACTAACATTTTCTTGAAATTTGGGTCAAAACTCTAATTTCTGCATTTAAATTAGAGAGATCATATGATAGGGAACATGTGTACCAAGTTTCAAGTTGATTGGACTTCAACTCCATCAAAAACTACCTTGACCAAAAACTTTAACTTGAATCGGGACAGATGGACGAACAAACAGACGGACAAACGAATGGATGCACAGACCGGAAAACATAATGCCCTTAGGTGGGGCATAAAAAATATAAGTAAAGAAGGTTAGTGAGCTATTTAAATTATTTTAATACTTGTATAGATAATGAACTTTACTAAGGTTAACAGCTACCTGGCTGAAATAAGGGATCATAGATTTATTCTTACGAGGAAGCTCCGAGCATGCTCGGAGGATGCTCGGAGCTTTTTAAGTAGGCTCTTCTCAGCAGTTAATGTGACAATAATTATCATGATCCATTAAGATGTCAATCAAATCTACATCACTTCTATGATAAGGAAAGTAGAGCATTATAGAGGATGCTCCATAAACACCTGTGTAAACATCTGGTCTATTCTAATACATTTTGCATTAAATTTTACAAAACTATAAAATAGATTAGAAATTCTTCAACAGTGCTGTGTAATGCTTAGAAAGAAATCTCAAGTCTCCACAAAAAGTAAAAGTCATTTAAATATTTTCTTATTATATTTAATAATCATTCCTTTTTTTATAATAAAAAAATTCTCAAATTTTATAATTAGATGATATGATTTAAAAATAGATATTATGCTACATAAAAGTTATCAAGACACAAACAACAGTCAGGTGGCGATACTTAACAAGTAATTTTTTTTAGTCACGTTTATAAATATTTTTTGTTTTTAAAAATTATTTAATAACTCAATAGTTATTTTAAATGACAAATAAAGCATGGACTAAATGTAGTTTTCAAGAATTTTTATATCATTTCATTAAATAAAATTAAGTATTTATCCAATTTTAGATGAGTTTAGAGAGGTTACTTTAAAAAATAATGACAAAAATATTACTTTAATAAATTATTTTATACAACTTCAAAAAACTTAGTACTTACAATTATTTAAGGAATATATGTAATTGCTTTCGATTAAGATTCAAATTATAAATAACTTCAAGTCTTAATTAAAGGTTCCATATCTAGTTATAACTGTCTATCTCTAAGATTTTAAGGGGAAATGATATTATAATAGCCCCAAGAGGCCAATCTTTGACCAAGAAGTGTGGCATCAGAAAAGCAATTAGTGCTTGTTGAGGATTTAAATAGCTTTACAAGTATATTTCATGGGGAAAATAACCAGATGTCTGTGAAAATTTGTTAAAGCTAGTAAAACCTGTATGAATGAACACCTATAAAAATAATATTAACAGAAGTTACTTATTCATGATATAGAAGTAATATTTGAAACAGCCTTGTTTTCAACATAACTTGTATAGGTAATTTTGAAAATTACTTGTTTAAGTAATGCCCCTAACTAAACAATGGTAATATGTTTTTTTTAAATAGCAAACTAAGTTCTTTTATAGAAAATTATGGCTACTTTAAGAAAAGTTTTAATTCATTAGTGGATGCCTGGTTTGAGGGGGTAATACCACCATTGTTTTCCCTCTAGTACGTCTCTCTTTACTTGGCATTTTATTTTAATTGTGCAGATTTAGTTTTGTTTTAAATAAAGAAATACTTGGCATGAGTAAAATTATTTTCCCCCTATGAGTCTTTGTTTAATTGTCATGATTGTTATATTTCAAAAAAATGTGCAGAATTTATCTATGTTTTAAATAAAGAAATACTTGACATAAATAAATGTCCTGTACTACAGTGAAAATATAGCATAACTTTTCAGTGCATATAAGAAAGTAAACATCACCAGAAGTTAACCAATCAAATTCCATCCCCCTTTTTTCCCTGTAGAATATAATATATTTTTATTGCTTTGAAACACCCAAGAAACATGTTTGCGTCTCAAAAAAATTTTCTGCAATGAAATGGAGGATTTATTTCAAACAACTGTCAAATTAAATGGAATATAAAAAAGATCAACCCTTTTTCGTATGAAACTGAATGTACTATGTTTTGGTATTATGGTTATAAATCAATAACCATAGTTTGCGTCTTTGATGACTTTTATATTTCATTTTATATAGTATAAATTTAAAATATATCTATATTTCAAATATAAAATTTGAGTGTATTTTTATATCATGTGTATTGAAAAAGAATGATAATTATTAAGAAAATGTTTTGAAATCATTTTCTTCCTGTGAAGACTTGATACCAAGCATTGTACAGTAATATTGAAGAATTTCTCATCTATTTTATAGTTTTGTAAAATTAATGCAAGATTTGTTTGAATAGACCAGATGTTTACACAGGTGTTAATGGAGCTTCCTCTATAATGCTCTACTTTCCTTATTATAAAAGTGCTATAGATTTGATTGACATCTTAATGGATCATGATAATTATTGTCACATTAACTGCTGAGAAGAGCCTACTGAAAAGCTCCGAGCATCCTCCAAGCATGCTCAGGGCTTTCTCGTAAGAATAAATCTATGATCCCTTAAAGGAAAATCCAAGTTTTACATATTCTTGAGTATTTAAATTTGCGTTACTTTTCTACTCCCGAACGTCACGAAAATATTAAAATCACTCGCAAAAATTAGTTGGTTTACAGTATGTCAAATGACATTTAAAACACCACTACTCACAATATCTTCAGTCTCACTAAATGTTGGTAAGGTTTCTGTACTTGAAGCTTTCCCGTCTTTTTTCACTTTTAACCTATACAAAAACAAATTACAACATGTTGAAATAAATTTGACTTTTAATGACTCACTTATCACTTAGTCCTTAGATTTACAAGCTTATCCACAAACATGTACATTTCTAATTGGTAACAAATTTGGTTGTTGAAAAATAAATAGTAACCTGCTTGTAACAATTGTTTTCTGTTGTCATAAGCATCAAGAAATAGCTGGTTTTTTTTTTTTGCCACATGAATCAGTAAATCTTATTAATTAGTAGCAGTGACCGAAGGTCCGGAAACGGTCATATTTGCCAGTCATGTCCTAAACTGAAAGCTATATGTCTTAAACGAGTAATTGGGATTTAGGACAAATTTTATTGTTTAACAGAAATAATTTTGGTCATTTCATTGACTCAATGTTTGAAATCGGATTTCTTAATCGCCATTTTGCACTTGTGATCACTTGTTTTTGTTTATAATCCCTTTCCTGTAATAAAACTGCCACTGCAGTATAGTTTGATAATCCTGAGGGCCCTCCTAATAACTATATCAATGCCTCCGGGAACATTGGCTAATGATCGCTAATTACTTTTTACCTGTGTTTTTTTTTTAATTCACACCTGACATTGATCACAAGCTCAGAATAATATCTTAAAGCAATTAAAATTCCCTGACAAGTGTATACATTATTTAATTACTTTTCAGTAAAGACAATCATCAATTCTGATTTAAAAATTAAACCTTAAATTCAATTTATGTAGAAAAAAGTGTTTTTTTCACAAGTAACACATGTGCTTTATGTAATACGCATGCATGAAATTGTCTTCAGCAATTAAAAATTTAATCATAAAATGCAAACTGATTTCATGCTAAAGTAAACGAGTGCAACTATTATCTGTTATATTCAAACACTTTTAAAGGTAATAAAATTAAAAAGTAAGTGATTTCCTGTCAATTTGATAAACAAAATCCCGGAAATGAATCCGGAATTATCAGTACTTTAATATTATTGCAAAACTTCCGGTTTTAATTTCGTCAAATCAAAAGAAATGGTAGCAATGTCTGAGAAATTAACTATTTTGAGTCCTTAAAATCATTTCAATTTTAAACTGTTGCTTTCCCTTATCTGTTCTTGAGGGTTATTAGAAAAATGGTAAGAAATTTACTTAGTAAATGCAATGAAACAGCAATTCAAGTTGGTTGATGCTATGATATGAATCTAGTTTGACATCGACAATTTGAAAAGGGGCACCAACTTTTCAATCATCTCAAAATGACCGAAATTGTGTGAAAAAATTTCCAGATCCTTGGCAGTGACATACTTGTGACTATACTTTCTGTTTTCGTGAGCCTCAGTAAATAGTTGTTTTATATCATCAATACTATAATCTTTGATCTTATTTATTGCAATCCATTCAATCACTACTTCTTCATCTTCTGGAGCTTAATGAAAAAAAAGACAATTATATAGATTATGCATTGGGTCCCTGAATAATACAAGAAGCCTTGCAAATATTTCTTTTTATACATTCAGAGATTTCAACAACAAATTTTCTGTTCTTGTGACTAGCTTTTAAAACTGTTAAAGATCTCATTATCAAATATTTTGTCAATTTAAGCTGATGTTTGTAACAGCAGAGCATAATTTTTCTTCCAATTTGCCTATTCAGAATCTAATGAATTCTGGGTAATATTTTCAAAAACATACACCAAAATGTTGTGATTGGTTTAAAACGTTCTGAACAATGGAAATTCAACCAATGACGAAACGTTATTTTCACAATGAGAATACCCATAGTCCTTTAGCTTCTGAAAAGGGGAATTACCACTGTATTAACAAGAGGCCAACCCTATCATATGCCATCGATCTATAAGACAAGAATAGAAATCAATAAAGACAAAGAGAATTATTACAATTTCTGTAAGAGTGTTCTTTGACAATAAAAATTTTTGATTTTGAAATAAACATAACATAAATTATTTCAGGAAAAGCCTTCCACTGCTCCATAGTTGCACAGTTGTTGTTAAAAGTTGGATTTCAACCTGTCAATTAATAGTATGCTCATTTGAGTAGGCAGAGCTGAATAAAATAGTCAGTACAGTTGGTTTTAATAGTCTACTTGTTATTTAAAATTGACTGTCAGTATAATGTTAAAAATACTGTTATGTTAAGTATTGACTATAGGAAACAGTAGCCTCAATTGAAGACAAAGTGCACTCGGGTAGTTTCACATGTAGTCAGTGTAAACACAATATTATTCTGTAATTAGTAAAATCTTTTTCTTATTAATCTGAGGAACGTATGAAAAATACATTGATATCAAATACATGTTGAGTTATTGCCCAATGTTTATATGAAAGGGTTAAATGAACACCAGTATTGGTCAAATACACATTTTGACCAGCTTTATCATAACAAGAGTGTACACGCTGAAATGTCTCGCCTTCTTTACTAATCATTGATATTATGTTGATAGTCCTAAATATAAAGCTTTATTACAACTGTCACATAAACTTAACATTAACCAAGTAAACTAGACATTGACCAATGAACCATGAAAATGAGGTCAAGGTCAGATGAACCATGCTAGGCAGGCATGTACAGCTAACAATTCTTTCATACAACAAATATAGTTGACCTATTGCTTATAGTTTAAGAAAAACAGACCAAAACACAAAAACTTAACACTGAGCAATGAACCATGAAAATGAGGTCAAGGTCAAATAAAACCTGCGTGACTGACATATAGATCATAAAATATTTCCATACACCAAATATAGTTGAACTATTGCATATAGTATTAGAAAAAAAGACCAAAACTCAAAAACTTAACTTTGACCACTGAACCATGAAAATAAGGTCAAGGTCAGATGACACCTGCCAGCTAGACATGTACACCTTACAATCATTCCATACACCAAATATAGTAGACCTATTGCATAAAGTATAAGAAAAACAGACCAAAACACAAAAACTTAACTATAACCACTGAACCATGAAAATGAGGTCAAGGTCAGATGACACCTGCCAGTTAGACATGTACACCTTACAGTCCTTCCATACACTGAATATACTAGACCTATTGCTTATAGTATCCGAGATATGGACTTGACCACCAAAACTTAACCTTGTTCACTGATCCATGAAATGAGGTCGAGGTCAAGTGAAAACTGTCTGACGGGCATGAGGACCTTGCAAGGTATGCACATACCAAATATAGTTATTCTATTACTTATTATAAGAGAGAATTTAACATTACAAAAAATCTTAATTTTTTTTTCAAGTAGTCACTGAACCATGAAAATGAGGTCAAGGACATTGGACATGTGACTGACGGAAACTTCTTAACATGAGCCATCCATATACAAAGTATGAAGCATCCAGATCTTCCACCTTCTAAAATATAAAGCTTTTAAGAAGTTATCTAATGCCACCGCCGCCGCCGTAGCTGCTGCCAGATCACTATCATTATGTCGAGCTTTCTGCGACAAAAGTCGCAGGCTTGACAATAAAATTACATGTCATACATACTATTTCTTTTCAAGTGTAAAGGAAGAGATTCATTTGGCCCAAGTGATCCAATTTCTATAGATTCTAGAAGTACTCCGGGATTAATCTGGAAAGCCAAAAAAAACAAGTTAAAATAAAACACTTTAATATAATAAAAGAAGAATGTGTCCATGTGGCAAAGATGCCCCTGCTTGTAAACATACAGCAAATTCAGCATTTTATTTAATTTATAAAAGGACGGTGAGAGTGGTGCCACCCATATTTTGATCTGAAATTGGTGGTAATAAGCATTATGTATGAGTTTCATAACATTTGGTTGAGGCAAATTAAAGTTAAGAGTGCATAAACGGCAAATATAACAATGTTTATAAAGGGACATAACTCTAGAACTGTCAAAGTGACTTCAGCCCAACTTAATCTGTGATTGGTTGTAATAAGAATTGTGTATAAGTTTCATGGCATTTGGTTTAGGTAAAGTAAAGTTAAGAGTGCATAAACAGCAAATATAACAATGTTTGCTATTTCGGGACATAACTCTGGAACTGTGAAAGTGACTTCAGCCAAAATTAATCTGTGATTGGTTATAATAAGCATTATGTATAAGTTTCATGGCATTTGGTTAAGGTAAACTAAAGTTAGAGTGTGGAAAAGGCAAATTCAGCAATTTTTCCATTTATAAAGGGACATAACTCTAGAACAGTTAAAGTGACACCACCCACATTTGAATTAGACCTGTGTTTGGTGGTAATCAGCATTGTGAATAAGTTTCATGACATTTGATAAAAGCAAAACAAAAACCAATTTTGGGATGTACGAACACACAGACTGACAGGGGTAAAACTTTATGTCCCATTCATCTAGAGGTGGGGGCATAAAAATAGGAAGAACACGAAGATCAAAAAGTCAAATTTGATAGCATTAACTTGGTGAGCTTGAAATTATAAAGGACATAACTTGCAAAAGCTAGAAAACTGAAATATTGAATCTTATGTGTCTGTTTTTATTATCCTATGCCCAAAAAAATCAATGCTTTTTTTTTAGCTCACTCAGGAACGATCATTTTCAATTTCTAGGTGTTAGTTGAGATATGATAAGGAAATTACCCTTTAGATTGTGAAATAGTTTTAATTACCTGATATCCTATGAGTCCTTTGGTAGGATTATGTAGTATAACCCATCCGGTTAGAAAATCTGTTTTGTCTTTCGCTGTCATTAATAAATTCTTTCTTGGACTACATGAAAACAGAAAAGAAACGAAACTGTTGACATTGAGATATGTATGGCTTTTCATAAGTGATTCCCTTTAAACTAACCTAAACACAAAATTTATCTATGCAATGAATCATGATGATGATAGGGCAGGGCCATATAATCTCATTGAAAATGAGAATTGCAAATGCTTAACAACTGCATATCAAATATTATTGACTAAAATTAGTGGTTCATCTTACGATGAACTTATCACAAACTTTATCATGTAAACTATGCAAAATACTCAGTCAACAGACCATGACTGAGAGAAGCCAAATAATCTCCGAGAAAATGAGATATGCCAATGCTTATATATCTGCATAACCAATATCATTGACCTTTCACTAATGGTTCCACTTTAACTGACATAATCACAAACTTAAACATGTAAACCTGGGACTAATAGATAAATGTATGTCCCAGATGTCAATTAAGCAAAAGTTTCAAAGTTAATAGACCATGACTGAGGGGGCGAGGCAAAATAATCTCCATGGAAAAGAGTCGCCCCAATGCTAAAACAACTGCATACCAAAAACCATTAATATACCACTAGTGGCTCTCCATAAACTGACCTAAAAAATAGATGACTGAGGGGGAGCTAGGGGCCAAATAATCTGCAATGAAATAAGGTGTGCTAATGCTTATACAACTGCATACTAAATATCATTGACCAACCACTAGTGGTTTTCCATAAACTGACCTAATCACAAACTAATACATTGTTGACGTTGCTGCTACCAAACTCCATGCTTAAGTCTTGCTTTTTCAACTTTGTCGAAGCTGGACAAAAAATGTTCCCAAAAATATAAGTTTTATTTTTCATATACCTTCAAAAACATCAAGACATCTATGAAAACTACAGATACAGATGAAATAAAATGCTTCGTTGAGCGCAGCCTGATACGACCGCAGAGGTCGGACCCTGAACAGTTGGGCAAATTTGGACACAATATTCAAGCTTGATACTGTCTGAATTTGGATTGTGATCAAATTTTTGACATAAAATAAATGTGGTCAAAGATCTTACAAATCTATTGCGCAATACTGTGCAATTGAAGATTTCTTCTTGAAACTTTTCAAAAATTCGAAATTTGAAAAATTTTGAAAAAAAAATATGAATCCTTTAATAAAATTGTAAACAAAAAATCCCCCCCCCCCCAACTTATTGAAACCCCCCTTGGAGCAATAACCCCAACACTCAATCCCAGCCTTTCCTTTGTAGTATGGAATCTTGTAGTATAATTTCAGAGAGATCCATACACTTAAACACAAGTTATTGTCTCGAAACTAAAAATATGCTTATTTTTGGCCCTTTTTTGGCCCCAAAGTCCTACATGTTTGGGAAAATTAACCCCAAACTCAATCCCAGCCTTCCCTTTGTTATATGGAACCTTGTGGTACAATTTCTGAGAGATCCATACACTTACACACAAGTTATTGTCTGGAAACTAGAAAAATGCTTGTTTTTGGCCCCTTTTTGGCCCTTTATTCCTAAACTGTTTGCCCCAGTACCCTTTAAATAAATCCCAACCTTCTACTTGTGGTATTAAACATTGTGGTACAATTTCAGAGCAATTGAAATACTTATACACAAGTTATTGTCCAGAAACTAGATAAATGCTTCTTTTGGGCCCCTAATTCCTAAACGGTTGGGACCATCATCCCTAAAATCAATCCAAACCTTCCTTTTGTAGTATTGAACCTTCTAAAAAAATTCCATAGAGATCCATTCACTTAAACTAAAGTTATTGTCCAGGAACAAATGTGTCTTCGGACGACGACGCAGACCATTATACAATCCCAAAAAATTTTTTGCGGTCGTATAAAAGCATGTTTTATAATTTATAATCTATCTGTCTTAGATAGGACAAGTAAGTTTCTTTTGTATCTGTGATTAAAAAAATTAGAGGAAAATCTTTAAACACAACCCATAGTAAATCAATTTTGCTATATATAATGTGATTGGACAACATAAACTGCATGAAACATAAATTTGTCTGAGAAAATCTTTTTTTCAAAATAGCCATTTTACCTTATCCACATGTTTCCATACTTGTAAGAGTCATAGCTCCATTTCCATGAATTACTGAAAGTCTGAAATAGAAATGTGACAAGAGAATTTATCAAAAATGCTTATTTTGCCAATATTGTCTTTCTCAAAGGACATGTGAGGTAAATGAGAAGTTTAATGAATACTTTGTATTAATCACATTCAGTGAAAATAGTGCTATAATACCAATTTTGAGATTTGATGGATTTTCAGAACCATTTTTTAACCCTTCATAAAGTTATTCCTTCAGATATGTTACCCTTCATAAAGTTATTCCTTCAAATATTTTACCCTTCATAAAATTATTCCTTTAGAACTTGTAATACAAAAATTTTGTAAATTTAGATCTGTTTGGCACTGATATAATAATCAGAATTTGATTTAAACTTATCAGGCATGAAGTCTTTCTGTATAACCTGTTTTTAAAACTTGTCTGACCAAGCATCTGTTACAAACTCTCTTTGAGAAAAAGGCTGACTTGAGATAACAGAATCATTTTTTTAAGTGTCTTTAACTCTACATAGATTGATAAATGTTTAACAACACGTTCAGCACTATTGTGCTATTTTTTTGGCCCTCAGTTTTATTGGTGGAGGAAGCTGGAGTGCCTGGAGAACCACCTACCTTCGGTAGGAAAACTGACAATCTTAGTCAATTAAGATTGGGGTGGAGTGCACCTGGCAGGTACGGTATTAGAACTTACAGCCTCAGCATTGACAGGCTAGTCCCTGCCATGTAGTATGTGGTCCCCCCAAGCTTGCAACTGATCAGGTCAATTCAAATCTCATCAAAAACTATCATCTTACAAAATTAACCAAACTGGAACTCAAGGATGTACTTAGGTGAGGTTTAGGAATTTTAGTCAGAAGTTCGGACTCCTTGGTATTTTTCCTACGATAGAGGGTAAAATATTTTGTCCAATAACACCCATTTTTCTTTTCATATAAGACTTCAATAGCTCATTAAAGGTCATTTACCAAAAATTTAAGCAGACTTTTGTTTTGTTTTCTTTTGATTTGAGAACCAAATGATACCAATGCAAATATAAAGTAAAAGTCCACGTCAACCTTTTCCCACCATTTTTTAAAAATTAAATATCTCGAAAAACCTTTCAATATTTTTTGCTGAATTGTCTGGTAAACCTTTTCTTAACAGAATTTTGATCTCATCACAATATTAAACTTTAGGGCACTTACACGATTCGATCGAAGTGTCCATGGTTCTTTCTCCAATAGTTTTACACATTCTCCGGTTGAATGGAGAGACACCATGGGGAAAAATCCATTTATTGGTACAGTGATTGATTCTTCTGGTACTTTGTATATCTATAGAAAATAGTTTTACAAACATTAAGTTCAAAATAACTAATTTCTAGTACTGATAAATTTTATAATTACCACTGAAAGTTTCTAAATAAAAAAAAACTATTGAATAGTAATTAAAATTAAATCCTTTAATTGCTCCCTTTCTGATAAGCTGACATTAACGATCTAATGAATTACAATAGGGAGATCAAATCCTGTGATTTAGGTTCACAAACTTTAAATAAAAGTCTAAAATAGTTCAACTGAAAGGTTAATTTGTGAAATCAGCACCAACTTTAAGAGACTTACTGTGGATTCATTATTAATCGTTGGATACCAATTTTCGTGGGTTTCGTGGGTACAGGTGAATCACGAATTCAAATGTTCAACAAATAACAAATTTTCAATAGGCTTTGTAAACAGAGATTGGCAAAACCACGAAATCAAATAAACACGAATATGCAAGTTTTCAGCAATCCACGAAAATTGATACCCACAAAAATAAATGAATCCACTGTATATTATTGAAATTCCTGGCACAGTGGATTCATTATTTTTTGTGGGTTACCAACTTTGGTGGAATTGGTGTACCCGTAGAAAGGCTTGTATAGTCCGCGGTTTTATTCTCCAAAATTGGACCTTCCAGACGGGGTGCGGACTATAGAGTACAATAAGCAAGAAATAAGAGAAAAATTTCAATTTCGCGGTCGAGGTGGTTTGTTTACGTTCCGCCATCTTTGTTATTTCTATTGTAGAGGGCGCTCTTATCATTTTTCAAACTAATAATTTTAACTCATCCATATTAATAAGTTATTTCTATTCAATATCAAATTAATACTGATAAATATAAAAACTAAACCTTTCATTACAAATTTCTCGTTTCTTTTCAATGCATTGGTTGAAATAAACTGGTATCTGCTCGATTGAAACGATACAAACATAGTGAAAAAGACAACCGTAAACCAGCTTAGAATTTGTAAACTACAAAACGAAATCGGTTATTGTTCGTTCCGTTTTGGTGTTTCATACTGACTAATATGGTTTGTATTAGCTTAAGACCCTTCAACATTAATGTGATATATATATTAAAGACTGTTTTACAAAAGGATGGAACTGTTTTACTTTCAAAGTCGTATTATAGTGATATCTGTTATGTACGGATTTCGACTCTCACCGGTTAATTTCTTCTTTTACACGTGCTTTTTAAACTTCCTGTTTAAACATACACAAGTTTCTAATTTGTTTTTTAAGTAAATTAAACTTATTTTAACAATCATGAAGCGTTCTAGAATCATTAACAAGCAGTTTCAGCTTCTGTTTGATGATGGAAAACAGGTTTTTCCAAGGAAATACCGCAAACGACCGCACAGGATTTGAAATTACCGGAGTTTCATTAGACCTTTTCTAACAGTTACAAAAAGTTTTTTTACCTAAAATTTCGTGGGGAGAAGGGGGTGCGGACTATGTATCATTGCGAACTATACAAGCCTTTCTACGGTATATACATTTGCAAGTCGTCATTGGCAAAACCACATAATCAGATATCCACAAAAGTATACTTCCTCTTAATCCAGGATTTTTTTTTCTTCACAGTATTAGTTTATTTCTAAACCTAAATCTAGGAAAGGACATTTTTAATTGCTATCAGAAATAGGCTTAACTTTGAATCGGAATACAGAGGAGTCTTTAGTATCCTTCCATAAATTTGTATCATGATGTGTTGTTTCAGAAAAGAAAATTGTTCTTGCAAAATATTTAATGCAACATATGCTAAAAAAGAAAAGTGATGTTCAAACAAGGAAACAGAAAAGTAAAGTTACCATTTTATCATTCTTGTAAAATTTGATATCTTTGGCTTCAGTATCACAATACACAGACATTATGTCACCTTTGTAACACCTGGCAAATTTTGTATTGGATGAACTTTTCCCTGTATAGACTCTGTAAACAAATAATTTAAGATTTGACATTATAAATATTGGTGGATTCCACAATCTTCCATTTGATATAGCAAAAGATAACATATTACCCTTATTTAATTGATTTTGTATTTACATTGTGTCATAGATCAAATTCATTCGTTCAGTGAATGTTCACTTGTTTGTGTTAATATGTCTTGTGATTGAGTTAAGCCATTTCAATTGATATTTTATAGTGTGTCTTTCTATGTTGTGATGTTACACTATTGTTTCAGATAAGGGTGAAGGTTGGTACCTATTAAAATATTCAAACCTGCTGCATTTGTTTGCACCTGTCCTAAGTCAGGAACCTGATGTTCATTGGTTGTCGTTTGTTGATGTGGTTCATAAGTATTTTTTCGTTTTTTATATAGATTAGACCATTGGGTTTCCTGTTTGAATGGTTTTACACTAGTCATTTTTGGGGCCCTTTTTAACTTGCTGTTTGGTGTGAGCCAAGGCTCCATGTTGAAGACCGTGCTTTGACCTATAATGGTTTACTTTTACAAGTTGGGACTTGGATGGAGAGTGTCTCATTGGCACTCATACCACATCTTCTTATATCTATATAAAAAATTTTCTCTTCTGCAATAATATAGGAATCAATCTTTTTACTATGAATAGACAATGAACTCTTCTATGGTTAACTTAATGGAAAAAATTATGAAATCTGTAGGAAGGACCTGTTCATGTGCATATAATTGATTCCTATGCAGAATATTTTCAATTGATCATTGATAATATCTGAGGTATACACTTAATCAAAACACTTAACACATATTGACCAAGAATGTGTCCATTGTACATAGATGCCCCATACGCACTATCATGTTCTATGTTCAGTGGACCGTGAAATTCGGGTCAAAACCCTAATTTGGCATTAAAATCAGAAAGATCATATCATAGGGAACATGTGTACTAAGTTTCAAGTTGATTGGACTTCAACTTCATCAAAAACTACCTTGACAAAAAACTTTAACCTGAAGCGGGGACAGACAGATGAACGGAAGCACAGACCGAAAAAACATAATGCCCCTAAGTGGGACATAAAAATTCAAAGTATCCGCAAACAAGACGTAGGTGTCTGATAAATCCAAAAACTGCTCACAAATTACAACTCATCACTCTCAAGCTGCTGAGTAAATATGTACTCATTCTGTTCAGAAGTACATGTGTAAAATGTGATGGAAATATATTGATGAAATGGAGCTGTGAAAGGAGGAACTGAAAAATGGCCAGACCAGGTAAATGCTATTTAATCACTACTCTTAGGCCAAGTTCGCTTAAAACTCTAGAGTTGACTTCAGAGTTTCAAGAGTATAATATGAACGCACTCGAGTTGCTATTCGGAACAACTCTAAGTAACTCTAGGGTAAGGTCCTGACCAAGCATAAAAGAATGAGAAAATATGATCGGTTTGAGGTCATTCAATGCTTACCCGAGTTTAACCCTGGCTCAGTGAGGGTTGGAATCGGGGTAAGATGGATTCACTTGAGAGGTTAAAGTAAACTTAGATTCTTAAGAGTTGGGGTATAATAATAATAATGGAACATATGAACAAAGGGATAAACTGACAAGGTGATTGCAGTATGCCATCCATTTAGTGAGTAGATGTTTAAAAATCAGTTAGTTGAAATCAGATGTCCTAAAATGCATTAATTATGACCTATCTTGACCTTTCAAGGAAACTAATTCACACCCAAACAATAAGTGTTTACCCTCCATCATCAGCATGGTATCCATATGAGGTTGGGTTCCATCCTGGCATTCTGTTGGGCGCATAATCCCTGGGAGCAACTCCTATGCCAATAAACCTGCTTTTACCTTCATGAATTATTTCTGAAAAAAATATTTAAATTAGTATGATCCTTTATTTAAGTTTTAAAATAAAAGTTGCATATGTTTTATATACTTGAATAGCCAAGCTTTACTATGAAACACATGTACATAAGACTTTCTTTTACAAGGAAATTCTTTATCTTATCCAAATGCACTGCTATTATATTATTGTCTTCCTGTACTCTAATTCACCTACAGATTTTCCATTATGCAGTGACCTTAGTAACCATGACCCCTCTGATTAGAATTTCACAGTGAAAGTGGTAGGGAAAAGCTGTGATGAAAGAGAAGGAAAAAAATGTGGACAGTACTAAGAAAGTATTAATTGATTAAGATGGCGGGAAAAAATGAATACTCAAAATAATTTGAAGACTGTTGTTAGAAAGTTTATTTAAGAAATGTGAACGCATGGAAACTATAAAAAATTAACAAAATAAACATTGCTCGGTTACACCACTTATTTTTCACATGCTCCATGATTCTGTCTTGATTGCTTAATTAGGTCATGATTGATTAACTTGCTAAACCTTGCCATAAAATACTTACATATTGTTTATATCAACATTATATCCATAGTTCACAAAACAGCACAAGACAAAAAAGTAAAAGCAGTATATATATCCAACACTAGAGATAAATTTTTTTGGGTTGGTTACTTTTGGTGGTGTTTAACAATACTTCCAGTGATGTTGATTTAATTTTGACGAAAAAAAGTGTTGAAAACTGATATAAGTGAATTTTAAAAGTCCAAGGACCATAACTCTGCACAAAATCATCAGACTGGAACTAAATTTGAACTTGATTTGTAACTTGTTATGATAAAACTATATACCAATTTTCAAGTCAATATCTTCAAGCATGATGGAAAAAAAAAAACAGCTGCGCCATGAGCGCATGATACGCCTGTAGCTTTTTCATAGAATAAAGTTCAATAAATTCTCAATGTCATATCAGAAATTCATGAAAAATAAAGGGAGGTTATCTTAATAGATATAAACCAGTCACCAAAGTTTCATGATAACTGCTCAAAGCATTGTAAGAAAACTGGAAAATCCCCTTTTTTATGAATAAAATCACATAATTCCGAAAAATAAAATCTAAAATTTATAAAAATCGAAAGGGAGCTTACGTCAATAGGGCAAAGTTTCATGAAAATTGCTGAAAGCATTTTTGAGTTATTGTCCGAAAAAAATGGAAAATCCCCTTTTTTTAATGAATAAAAACCCCATAACTCGGAAACGTAAAATCTAAAATTTATAAAAATTAAAAGGGAGCTCATGTCAATAAATATAAACAATTCACCAAAGTTTCTTGCAAAATGGTGAAAGTGTTTTTGAGTTAATGTCCGAAAACTAGAAAATCCCCCTTTTTTAATGAAAAAAAACCCCAAAACTCAGAAACTAAACATCTAAAATTTATAAAAATCGAAAGGGAGCTAACATCAATAGATATAAACAATTCATCAAAGTTTCATGCGTTTTTGAGTTATTGTCCGACATGTTGACGACAGACAGACGGACAACGATATACCATAATATGTCCCGTAAACTGATTATTTATGTGAATTTTCAAAGTCAACAATCATCAGACCAAAACAAAATTCGAACTTGATCTGTAACTTGTCATGATAAAACAATGCACCAAATATCAAATCAATTTCTCCAAGCATGTAGAAAACTGATTTGCCGGACTGACGGATGGACAGACAGACAGGCAAACCTAAAGTCCCCTTCAAATTTCATCGGTAGGGGACTAAAAATAGTGACCCCTTTAATAAAATAAGGACCTTGTATTCATCAATACTCACTATAACTAAATTTTTTAATGTTTTCTGAGAAGCATTCTACTCCAATAAACTGTGCAACTGGTGAAGAAGATGATCTTGGTTCATAGCTAAAAAGATATAAATTAAAATACAAAAATAAAGCTTAAGGAAAGGTAAAAGGGTACAACCCCTAAATGTAAAAGGTAAAACATCAAAACTTAAAAAAAACAAAACAATAAATGCTAAAAAAAATCAAAGGAGAATGTGTCTGAGGACACGAATGCCATCGCTCAAGCTTTGCAATTTTCCAAGTTTAAAAAGGGGCTTAACTCTATAACCGTCAATCACTCACCAAATTCAAACAGGGTTTGGGTGTTGCGATACTTAGCATTATGTATGAGTCTCATAAAATTTGCATGAGGCAAACTTAAGTTAGAGTGCGGAGGCAAAAATGGGACAGACAGATGGATGGAAAGACAGAAAAATGGAAGGAAGAACAATCAAGGGTAACACTTAATGCCCCCATCGCCTAGTAGCGTAGTATAACTAGAGGCTCTAAAGAGCCTGTGTCACTCACCTTGGTCTATGTGCATATCAAACAAAGGACACAGATGGATTCATGACAAAATTGTGTTTTGGTGATGGTGATGTGTTTGTAGATCTTACTTTACTGAACATTCTTGCTCCTTACTATTATCTCTATCTATAATGAACTTGGCCCAGTAGTTACAGTGGAAAATATTATGTAAAAATTTACAAAAATTTACAAAATTTATGAAAATTGTAAAAAATTGACTATAAAGGGCAATAACTCCTTAAGGGGACAATTGACAATTTTGATCATGTTGACTTATTTGTAGATCTTACTTTGCTGTACATTATTGCCGTTTACAGTTTATCTCTATCTATAATAATATTCAAGATAATAACCAAAAGCTGCAAAATTTTCTTAATTCAGGGGCAGCAACCCAACAACGTGTTGCCTGATAGGTCTGAAAATTTCAGGGCAGATAGATCTTGACCTAATGAACAATTTTATCCTCGTCAGATTTGCTCTAAATGCTTTGGTTTCAGAGATATGAGCCAAAAACTGCATTTTACCCTATGTACTATTTTTTAGCCATGTCGGCCATCTTGGTTGGTTGGCGGGGTCATCGGACACATTTTTAAAACTAGATACCCTAATGATGATTGTGAACAAGTTTGGTTAAATTTGTCTTAGTAGTTTCAGAGGAGAAGATTTTTGTAAAAGATAACAAAAATTTACGAAAAATGGTTAAAAATTGACTATAAAGGGCAATAACTCCTTAAAGGGGTCAACTGACCATTTTGGTCAAGTTGACTTATTTGTAGATCTTACTTTGCTGAACATTATTGCCGTTTACAGTTTATCTCTATCTATAATAATATTCAAGATAATAACCAAAAACAGCAAAATTTCCTTAAAATTACCAATTCAGGGGCAGCAACCCAACAACGGGTTGTCCGATTCATCTGAAAATTTCAGGGCAGATAGATCTTGACCTGATAAACAATTTTACCCCATGTCAGATTTGCTCTAAATGCTTTGGTTTCGGAGATATAAGCCAAAATCTACATTTTACCCCTATGTTCTATTTTTAGCCATGGCGACCATCTTGGTAGGTTGGCGGGGTCATCGGACACATTTTTTAAACTAGATACTTGAATGATGATTGTGTTTAAGTTTGGGTGCATTTGGCCCAGTAGTTTCAGAGGAGAAGATTTTTGTAAAAGTTTACGGACGACGGACGACTGCCGCAAAGTGATGAGAAAAGCTCACTTGACCTTTCAGGTCAGGTGAGCTAAAAATATCTACTTTTTGCATTGCCAACATATAACACATTATAAATATTGGCAATGATATTAACAATAATTCAGAAACTGTCCTTTACATTTAATTTAATTTGAATTAACGGCAATAGACAATCAAAATAGGTTAATTAAACCATGTCAAGACATTCATTTAATATACTAGACCATACCAGCGACTTCACGGGTCCTTGACTTAATTAAAGAACCTATGCTTTATTTTTAGCCTGGATTTTTAGAATTTGTATTGTCATTTAGTAAAGTCAGTTATTCCCTGTATAATGACAATGTTCAGGTGTGATTATTACCCATGTTTATAGCAAATCCTGAATACACTGTTTGGTTGTGCGCCTGACCGAGGCGTAACATACAGATTAGGTAACAGGTATCAGGTAATTTTGTGACATATACTATTGGAATGGGTATCGGATTCGACCCGGAACTTGTTAATTATTGGTAATATTAGTTATGTGTAAAACAAAAGGGCTTGGAATGGTGTAGTTTTAATCTACACCATTGTACTAGTATATCTTTTACATATCAAGTTAAATTCTCCGATCAGTACGTCGACTGAGCATGCACGAAAGTGTATAAGATATGAATCGATAACGGTCTCCGAATTTGGATATTTTCTCAAAAAATTGTGTTTTCTGTGGAAAAAAGATTGTTTCAAAGACAAATTTAGGAAGTACAAAACACTACATTTATACGTCATATCACAAATATTTCCGACTTTGTATGATTTCAGAGGAAATCGGTCTCTTCCTTTAGTAGTATAGATACATTATAAAATGAATTTACAGGTCAAACATAATTCACCTATTCCTTATGAGAAATTAAAAACATCATTTTATCTAGAAAACTTAGTTCTGGTTAATGAATGATGACAAATATGTCAACAGTCATGTATTCTCTGTTCAGCTTGAAATAAAGAATTAAAAAAAAATGTATTTGATGTACAGTTACCATAACAATCCAGTTTCATGGCTGACTTTAAGATCTCTGCTTATTATTGGCTGATAAACAACTTTGGACTCTTTAATTGCTGTCAAGTCCAGTTCACCATCTTTAGCAATTATTCTCTGAAAAAGATTTGATTTATTTGATTTATGGTGTTTTAACGCCACTTTTAAACACCGCTTTTGGGCTATTTTGTGGCGGACAGTTTTTACTGGTTGATGAACCCGGAGTGCCCAGAGAAAACCAACGACCTTTGATAGGAAAACTGACGAACCTAGTCATAAAAACAAGAATATCTATTTTCATTCAATTTAGAAAAATCCAGCATGAAAATTAGAACACTTGAATACTTAAATTCATGTTTAACTTTATTGACAAAATCCACAAAAAGTAGACAAATCGTAATGAAGGGCAGTATTAGAGGGTGTAATCCCGAAATCCTAAAAACATTAAGTATTTTTTGCCGGATCCCAAAATTTTATAATTAATTCCAGAGTCCTGATAGGTGGAAACCCTAAAATTCCCATGAAAATAAAGGCCCATTCCTGAATTACCGCAAAAATAAAGGCCCTACCTACCCTGACGTCCCAAAAAAATGTCCTTCCACCCTCAATAATGAATCCACATACAAGATCTTTTCTCAAATAGACTTTATTTCTTTTAATTACTGACTTGGTGACAATTCATTTTTAAAGTCATCTTTGCCAAAAATTTCAGAAAAATAGTATTTCTGTACATTCCCTATGGCATTATCATGATTATGTTGGATAAAGATTGGCTATCAAGTTGGAACTGAAATCATGGTTTACAAAAGGTCTTAATATTAATGGAGTTATACTGAAAGCTTCCTTGCCAACTGACCACTGTGTAAGTCTACATTCTACCATTATTTATATTAATGAACTGTGGTCAAAAGTAGACAAATGCCTTCTGGGTCAAAATTTGAAAAGCCTACAGCAAAAATTAGATATTGGTTAAAAATGTCCTAAATAGAAATCAAACCAACTATTTTCATTTTGGAGTACAAACAATGAAATATTACCCACAGTCCTTTAGATTCAGAAATGGTTAATCTTCTTCTATTTATATGTATTCATTCAATGAGATCTCATAAACATGTTTAACCCCGCCGCATTTTTGCGCCTGTCCCAAGTCAGGAGCCTCTAGCCTTTGTTAGTCTTGTATTATTTTTAATTTTAGTTTCTTGTGTACAATTTGGAGTTTAGTATGGCGTTCATTATCACTGAACTAGTATATATATTTGTTTAGGGGCCAGCTGAAGGATGCCTCCGGGTGCGGGAATTTCTCACTACATTGAAGACCTGTTGGTGACCTTCTGCTGTTGTCTGTTCTATGGTCGGGTTGTTGTCTCTTTGACACATTCCCCATTTCCATTCTCAATTTTATTCAAATATGAACATTTTAAGAAACCATGCTCCAAGCAAACAGTAGAGTAAATACTTTTGTTTATGGAACCAAATTCTCATGGTTGAGATAAAAAATATTGGTTTATAGGTCTTTGAATTTATAATAATGTTTTTTGAAATAATAAATGTAATATTAAAATATAAAATATTGACATGCCAGATAAACATTTTGAAAAATAATGTCTTCATTGGTGCAAGAGACAAAATTACCTGATATTATGAACAAGAAATGCTGAAATATAACAATGCTAATAATTTTTATACCACTACTTCTTAATTGCAATTTGGCTTTAACCAATACTATGGAAGCACTTTCATTCGTAAGGCACTTATTTTCATGGTTTTCTTGGATGGATTTATTCACGAATTTAAATCAGCTGTTGTTCAAATCAAGACATTAAAAGATCCCCATGTAGGTTTTACCACATGAATACGGACATATAATCTAGAGAATACATTGAATATCATCAAACGCACTTTGAACTAAATTAAAAACTATATATACAACTTCAGACAGGATTTTACTCTTTAAATCTTTTAAATAATTTACAGATATGTAATACTTTTAACCTTTTAATTATCATGAAAAAATTACTTTAGTTCGATGAAAGTCAGACTTCCAGTGATGAAGTGTTAATTACATCTCAAAATTCTCATACGAAAAAAAATCATATTGGGCTTGCTTTTTCAATTCATAAGAATTAACTCTACAATTCAAAGTGCATTTGTAGCATTTTTTATGTAACCATTTTTCTTTAAGTGGTATGTTTAGGGCTCAATTATCACCTATGATGATCGTCAATCTGTTGCTCATTCGATCTCGGGTTAATTAGTGTCATCACTTTTGACAACATGTGTGCAAGAATTTAAATGTTGACTTTGCTATTTCCTTCAATCCAGACAATTTGTGAGCATAGATAAATCAGCTTATTTACTTATTAAAAATTTAATAAATGTTGTCAGTAATAAAAAAACAAACGAGTAAGTAAAATGAACTCCTTATTTTGCAATGTCCCACAAATCATTATAAAATAATATATGATTATATTCAAGAATCTTTGTTTCTGATGGCTTCAAACTGCTCATTCACAATTTTATCAGAAAACTGAAATCCAGGTATCTAAGAACCCATGAACATGTTACTTTTGCTCAAACCACAAAAATTGATACCAACGAATAAAAGTACTTTCAGAGTAAATAAAAATAAACAACAGGTCAGGAAAAGGATAAATTGAGTAAGAATTAGAGAAAAAGTGATATGCACTGGGTGCAATTGGCCAGCTAGGCAAGCTAAGGTAGTCAATGGATATAGGGGAGATAACTTTGACAAGTTTATTTGTTCTGGCTGTGAGTGAACACCTGGTCCCTCATGGTTCTAAATGTGTACTTACACAAGGATCTGATATTCTGATTTTAACACAGTCACCATAGTTACAAAGATATAAAGGGTCTTCCACATCCTTAATCAATGTCTTAAACTTCTCAACAATTTTTCCAGTGGTCACTTGATCAGCTGATGACAAAGCAGTGGCCTTCCCAGGGAAAATGCTAATAATAGCACCATCTTCTGCTCTAAAATATAAATATCACTTTTGAAGTCACTTTAATCAGATACACAATAAGATGTCCAATCAGATCTTAGCATATGAATTTGTTTGTGTTTATATAATTTGGCTACTACACATTCTAACCAAGAAAACAGTAATGTAAAAGATAAACTCTGAGGATGAATGTGAAATTTTGGAAATGACTAATTAGAAATTCTAAAAATATATGACATACTTTGTATGCTTGAAAAATGAGTTTGTACAAATAAATCTTAATTTGATTTAAAATCCCATTTATAATGTCTGATTGGCCCATGTGCCTCCAATTGACTGTTCAATAGAAAGAACCAAATTCCAATTTTTGGGGCATAAGTAAATATTGTCTGTCCTTATTAAGGCACTATCACGCCGGATAAAGAACTTACTCTCTAAGGAATATACCCTTCCTCCCGTCTGTGCTATAAATCATCTCTACTTCATTGTAAGCTAAAGGATCTAGTGGAACCTTGTTTAATACACTTTCCAAATACGTGGATGGACTTTGCACAACCCTTTTATTGTTGCAATAAACCTGTGGTCGTAAATAACTTCTAAGTTCCTGGAAATTACAATTCAAACAATATTATTTACGATAACTTTTTGAACGATATATTAGCTCTTTTATATCATAACAATCATGCACACTTGAGGTATTTACTTTATCATATTGAATATTTATGAGGCAGTGATTTATTCTGGTCTTTAGAGGGGCATAAGCTGCCAAATTATGTACACCGATTTGACTCAAATTCTTATATTTGATTATAAACATACTAAAACACATATCTTAATTATAAAAAGTCTAAAATAAACAAGTTATGGTGCATGGACTCGATAATATGTATCAGCATTCTGACCGTATTCCAGTCTAGACGCCATCTAATTAACCATCAGGTGACCTCCAAAGACTGTCGACAGTCATATAAATGGATACAAACATAAATATAGATATAAATAAATAGCAAACATATGCAATTTTATTTTTCTAGGTCTGTTTGATTTCATATTATAGGTTAAAAAAATATGCTAATCATCGTTTTTACCAGTGTAAGAATGAGTCTTTGTGGGTCAAAATCGACCAAATGGTTTACCCTTAGCTATGGGATTAAATTGAAGGTCACATGAATACAGATTCAATGAGATTGAATTATTCACTTGCAAGTTTGTTAGCTTATTTTGACAAAATTGAATTAAACTGCTGTTAAAAGCGAATTATTATTTCACTACTTCACTCTAATTAATGATTAAACAAAAACAAAAAACATTTTTTTTTTATCTCTAGAAGCTAATGCCCTTCTAATATATTATTATGATAATGTTTTTACAGATAAGAGCTTTTGAAGGGTTAAATTACAATTTTCCATTTTCTCAAGGCACCTAACATAATGAAATAAATTGGTACCCTAAAAACTGCATTTATCTTAGAATATTTATATCATAATATTAATAAAATGCTCCGCAGGGCGCAGCTTGATACGACCGCAGAGGTCGAACCCTGAACAGTTGGGGCAAGTATGGACACAACATTCAAGCTTGATACAGCTCTGAATTTGGATTGTGATTAAATATTTGACACAGCATAGGTTTCTGACACAGAATGAATGTGGTCTAAGAACTTAAAAATTTTAAATTGGACATTCACCTATTATGGTCCAATATCCAAAATCTAAATACATGGTTAGATTCAGCATATCAAAGAACCCCAAGAATTCAATTTTTGATGAAATCAAACAAAGTTTAATTTTGGACCCTTTTGACCTCAATGTGGACAAAGTTGATAACGGGGCCCAAAAATCAAAAATCTAAATACATGGTTAGATTCAGCATATCAAAGAACCCCATATATTCAATTTTTGTTGAAATCAAACAAAGTTTAATTTTGGACCCCGATTTGGACCAACTTGAAAACTGGGCCCATAATCAAAAATCTAAATACATGTTTAGATTCAGCATATCAAAGAACCCTAAAAATTCAATTTTTGTTAAAATCAAACTAAGTTTAATTTTGGACCCTTTGGACCTTAATGTAGACCAATTTGAAAACGGAACCAAAAAATTAAGAATCTAAATACACGGTTAGATTCAGCATATCAAAGAACCCCAATAATTCAATTTTTTGATGAAATCAAACAAAGTTAAATTTTGGACCCTTCGGACCTCAATGTGGACCAATTTAAAAACGGGGCCCAAAATCCAAAAACTTAATACACGATTAGATTCAGCATATTAAAGAACCCCAAGAATTCAAGAATAAAACCCCATTGAAATTGATCAAGAAATAAGCAATTTATACGAAGTATCTTCTTTTGCACAATACTGTGCAATTGAATATTTCTTGCTATTGCGCAGTACTGTACAATTGACAATTTCTTGCTATTGCGCAATATTGTGCTATTGGATATTTCTTGCTATTGCGCAATACTGTGCAACTGAAGATTTCTTGCTATTGCGCAATACTGTGCAATTGAAGATTTCTTGCTATTGTGTAATACTGTGCAATTGAAAATTTCTTGCTATTGCACAATACTTATTATATAATAATTTACACATCCTGTTTGGTGTGTATCTCCTACCATATCATTATTATTTGCTTTTAAATATTAATCAGAAATAACCAACTTAAAATGGAAAATTTTAAAAGAAAAAAAAAAGGAAAAAAAGAAAAAAAAAAGAAAAAAAAAAAAATCCCTCCCCCCCCAAATTTTTTGAACCCCCTTATGATTCATCACCCCCAAACTCAATCCCAGCCTTCCCTTTGTGGTATGGTACCTTGCAGTACAATTTCAGAGAGATCCATACACTTGAACACAAGTTATTGTCTGGAAACTAGAAAAATGCTTATTTTTGGCCCCTTTTTGGCCCCCAATTCCTAAACGTTTCGGGCAATTACCCCCAAACTCAATTCCAGTTTTCCCTTTGTGATATGGAACCTTGTAGTACAATTTCAGAAATATCCAAACACTTACACACAAGTTATTGTCATGAAACTAGAAAAATGCTTGTTTTTTGCCCCTTTTTTGGCCCCTAATTCCTAAAATTTTGAGGCAATTACCCCCAAAATCTATTACAGCCTTCCCTTTGTGATATGGAACCTTGTGGTACAATGTCAGAGAGATCCATACACTTACACACAAGTTATTGTCTGGAAGTTACAAAAATGCTTATTTTTGGCCCCTTTTTGGCCCCTAATTCCTTAACTGTTGGTACCATAACCCCCAAAATCAATCCCAACCTTCCTTTCATGGTATTGAACCTCGTGGTAAAATTTCATGGAGATCCATTCACTTAAACTAAAGTAAGAGTGTGAAAACCAATGTGTCTTCGGACGACGCCGGACGACGACTACGACGACGCCAACGTCATACCAATATACGACCAAAAAATTTTTAATTTTTGCGGTCGTATAAAAACAACAAATATATGGTGACTAACAGGACTACAAAAGCACATTTTAAGATTGGTAATTTCCACCCATTTTCATTTCGGCGACATATATTAAAGGTAGATTGAGTGTTTCTCGCCATTTTGGATTGTAAAATAGCAGAAAAAAATCTGATCTTAAATGAAAAATGCACATTTTGAGAGATTTGATTTTGATTTTTGGTGTTTTAACACAACTTTTAAGCACCGCTTTTGGGCTTTTGGCAGCCAGTTTTTATTGGTGGAGGAAGCCGGAGTGCCTGGAGAAAATCACCGACCTTCGATAGGTAAACTGACAATCCTAGTCAATTAAGATTGGAGTCGAGTGCACCCGCACGAGCGGGGTTCGAACTCACAACCTCAGTGTTGACTGGCTAGTGATTACAGTAGTAACTACTTAGACCACTCGGCCACCGAGGCCCCTCACATTTTGAGAGAGGAATGTCATTTATTTTATAAAGACTTTTCATATAAATGAAGAAAATAATCTGTTCTATCTTATTGTAATAATTGAAAATATTTTTCTTCCTTTCACATTTTTCAACTTAGACATGTAAGGGGAGATAACTCATGATATAAAGTTATAAGTAATGAAATGTAAGGTAAAGTTACCTGTTACTGTAAATTCAGAAATTATTGCATGCATTTATTATTGCTATTTTGTCATTTTAGACTAAAATGCGATTTTATTTTTTGCGATATTGAGAAAAATCCTGTTTAATTCATATTAAAAAATTTCAAAATGCGAGTTTAAATTATTGCGAATATAACCCTGTCGCATTTTTCGCAATAATAAAAACATCGCAATAATTTCTGAATTTACAGTATATGTTTTGTAGCCAGAAAACGTGTCACATTATCCCATTTTTTTCTTTTTATTGACTGAAAGCTGATTATAAGAACTATCTAAATCTCATATTTTATCTTAAAAGTCTATCATTTAGTTGTCTTTCTATCATACAATTTTTTTTTCCATGTGTAATTTATATAAAATCTGACAATTTTGCACACAACCAGAAGCTTGAATACACTTTTGACACAGAGATATGTCTTGCCTGTTTGCATACAATTCAGAGAAAGACAATCTGTTGGACAGCAACATTGCTAATTAAATCAAAGTCGCTGGACCAACTAGTGGGTGACTACTAGGGTCTCGAAATGGGTGACAAACTGAGATGTACAAACAGCAAAGTAACTTCATAGAAAGTATTGTCTATTGTAAGTAGTTCCTATCAAAACTAACTTAAACATAATACTTAACACTGAAAATTGTTATTTCATTGAATGTCAATGGACAATGACTGAGGGGGCAGGGCCTTAAAATAGTCTTCAAACCGATATGTACTGAAACTAAAAGTAATGCAACTTATAGAAAATATCATTGATCTATCACAAGTAGTTCATATCAAACTAACTTAGGCAGAAAACTTATCATTGAAAATTGCCAATTAATTGAAAGTCACTGGACCATGACCTAGGGGGCAGGACCTCAAAATAGTCATCAAACTGATATGTGTTGATAGCAATGTAACTTCGCAAAAAATATCATTAATCTATCACTTGTAGTTCCTATCAATCTAACTTAAGCAGAAAACTTATTTAAAATGACCTATCAATTCAAAGTCACTGGACCACGTCCTAGGGAGCAGGGCCTCAAAATAGTCTTCAAACTAATATGTACTGATAGTATTGCAACTTCATACAAAATACCATTGATCTATCAAAAGTACTTTCTATCAAACTAACTTAAGCAAAAATCTTAACATTGAAAATGGCTAATTAAATCAAAGACACTGGACCATGGCCTAGGGGGCAGGGCCTCAAAATTGTCGTCAAATTGATATGTACTGATAGTAATGCATCTTCATACATAATACCAAGATCTATCACAAGTAGTTCCTTTCAAACTAACTTAAGCAGAAAACTTAACAATCGTTGACGTCGCCATTGCCATCTTCGGAAAAGCAATTCCTATGTCTTGCTTTCCGCAACAACAATCGCAGGCGAGACAAAAAGGCTCCATGACTCATACTTCTTATTGCATATTTGAAAAAATCAAATCACCTATATTTTTGCAAACTTTAAAAAAAATTATCTATTTTAATTTCAACCTTCCATTTACCTTCATAGATTATTTCGACTGTCATTTTGTCAGTTTTCAAGTAAGTATCAGAATAAAAAAAAATTTTTTTGCAAGTATTATATTGTTATTCTAATTGCAACATTTACCCATAAGTCAGCAGCACAATCTGTACAAATCCCACAATCCACACATCCTGGTAAAGATGTTTTACACAGACACTCTCTAAAATTATCTCCCATAATTCCATTGTATTTACACTTCCTGCCTAGTCCACAGCATCTGTTACACATGGAACAAACAGACTGGTTGAACATACTGTCAATTTTCTTCCAAAGATGTTTGCAACCAAAAGAGTTGTGAACTGAAAAATTAAAACAATCATATTCATCACAGATTTTTGTGAACATCTTTATTTTTAATGTTTATTACAAACCTGCTCGTGCATTTTTCATTGTTATTCAACGCAAAATAATTATCTAAGACACCTGGGACAATCTCATTTCACAAAGGATTTCTATTGTTTACTTATTGTACCTCAAACTTATTTACGGTTTAGGTCTTTAAGTTGAGGTTCAATTTACTAAAAGTTAATCGGGCATGACTAATTAGATACACCCTCTTAAAATCAGGGGGTCCGAAATAGGATTGGGAAAAAACACCCAGCAAAATACCATAATTTACAATTTTAGAAAATTTTTGATTCAAAGTGCTTTTGGTTGCTTTAATATCTCAGTCAATAATCAAACGTTATTTTAGTGCATATACTAACCTTTCCCGAACCAAGACATGTTGGCTGCAATAGGAATTTATTTACAAAAAAAGTCCATATCTCATTTACTTATAGTGGCCATTATTGGTTGTAAATTCATGAAGTTTTGTTTTTGACATTCGTCTACCGTGGATAAAAAAGAGTGGAGGGCTAATAGCTTAGCTTACGACTTTGATCATGGTTCAACTGTATTCTATTGAGGCATACGTTTTACCTCTAGCGAACGCTCTGCCTTATTGTAAAAAGTTCCACTCTTATTGCGAACCCAATGAAAGTTTTCCACAGTGCCATCTCTATATGGTCAAGGTATTTAAACTTTTGTAAGTTCACCTGTCCTATTGAATAAATACAATAGCTATTGTTCTATGTGTAGTTTATTCTCTGGGACCTTTAAATTTCTTCTAAGACAAATCTATCACTCATTGATTAATTTACCGGAGTAAAAAAAAATCTTCTAAATAGACGAAAATACATGTTTTATACTCAAAACTGCATGTGATGTTGTATTTATTCAATATTAATAAGATATTTTCAATTTGTTGAATGTAAACAGTGATTCAAACATTAATAAAAGTTGATTTCTGACAAAACTTTAGAATTTGTTTTTTTGTGTGTTTGACAAATAAAAACTTGAAAATTATGATGTTCAAATTAAGACATACTTAAATGTATTCTATAACTAAACAAAAACAAAATAAATGCAAATTTCAATGGGAACATTACTTAAACTTTTGTCAGAAATCAATTTTTTATGATTAAATCAGTGTTTATATTGAAAAGATTGATAATATATTATCAATTTTAAGTAAATACATCATCACAGGCAGTTAATGAGTATAAAAAAAGTATTTTTGTCTATATATAAGAAAAAAATTTTCATGACTCAGGTAAATTAATCAATGAGTGATAGATTTCTCTTAGAAGAAATTTAAAGGTCCCAGTGAATAAACTGCACAAAGAACAATAGCTATTGTATTTAATCAATACGACAGGTGAACTTACAAAAATTTAAATACCTTGACCATATAGAGATGGCACTGTGGAAAACTTTCATTGGGTTTGCAATAAATTGAATTTATTTGCCTCAGGTTGATCCACTTTGCATCTTGTCGTAAATATGCATGACATATTTGCCACTGGACATGAATGGAGCAATTAATTAATCAGCTTCATTTAGTGATGTATAATCATTTGTTTTCAGTTGATAATCGTCTCAAACAGTTTTCCAATTTTTATATATTTCATTTTTATTTACATATGAATTTTTAAGCGTAAATCTTAGCATTTCTTCCATCATTTTTCTCATTGCATTTAATCTTTTTTTAAACATCAAAAAAACATTGTCGTAGTACACATCAGGGGTTACATTGTATCCTATCCAGCAAAACAAAGAGGAGATTGGATAAGAACGGAAAAACAAATTATCACAGAACTAGTGCATATTTTTGTTTGGGGGCCAGCTGAAGCAAGCCTCCGGGTGCAGGATTTTTTCGCTGTATTCAAGACCCATTGGTGGCCTTCAGCTGTTTTCTGCTCTTTGGTCAGGTTGTTTCAACTCGTTCAACGATCATATTTCCCACTAATGTTTTTTAAAGTATAGATAGCGAGAAATTCTCACTACACCAGGCATCGGATATCCAAAAATCACAAGCGTTTAGTTGAAAAATTACATCTGCCCTATTTTAATTTTGATCGGTGAAAATTTAAGAAGTTGTACTATAAACCAGTAGAAGAAAAACACTTCACTGTATAATATAACAGTAAAATAAATGGTGATAAAGAATGACGACCAGCGGCAAATAAAATGAATATTCAGGAGGAAAACATGTATATATAATATGAGTAATTTTGTATTAACCCTGCTTTTTATTAGACTGACACGCTGAGTAGGTGTTTTTACACGTAAGTTCACAAGATATTAGTTCACAGGAAGAAAAGTCACCCGACCCGGACACATTTACGACTCTGAGCCGACCAGTCTGTGCTCTTACTCTATGATGCCACGTGTTTAGAGTTGAAATAGCAAATGCCAATGTAAAGTCTTTGTTTGACCCGGTCAGGATTCGAACAAACGACCTCCCGCTCTCAAGGCAAACACCCTCACATGAGACCAACCAGGAGAGCGGTAGTACATAATATCATACCAAAAACTCAAGTACAATAAACAACACAGTTTCACAGAATTCTCACAGTTACTAAAGCCAGCTAAAAGTATCTAACCTAAATTAAATGCGTGAAATGATACTATAAACTACACGTAAACATCGATGATCGACTTCAGTGTAGATTTCATGGATCAACGCTCTTGGTAAATTAAAAACTCTTGCACCAGTCCGAATGTGGCCAGCTGTTGCAAGTCTAAATTTCTGTCCTTATTCAATAAACCCTCATTTTCCAGTGGTATTTTAAAGTTTCACGTCCAACCTCACTGTCGACCTCCTATTGTATTTAAAGAATTTATGTGTTATAGTCATGAACATGCATGAAATATTTGCCACTGGACGTTAAGCAAACAACAATCAGTCAACTTTATAAATTGTTCCATGGACTTAGCACTCAAAGACAAGATCTTGTAAAATGCTATAATGTACAATTTTCATTTAAATTTTTTTTTTTTTTTTTGTGGTTTATTTTCTTCAATTTATTACATAAATGACTGCTTATAAAAAAGTTTTAAATATTTTTTTACTATGGTTCTACTGTTTTAATACGATTTATAACATATGATTTTTTGTCAGGCAAGGATAAAATTAAGAAAGGAAAAAGTTTTTTCAGGTGTTTTTGCTTCATTTAAACATGAAAAGGGAATAACGGACAACTAAAATAAAAGAGTTTGTTTTCATATAATACATTTAACCTGCGAAAATATCTCACCTAAACACGTTTTGATCGGGCCAGTGAAACCTAGTTGATGCTATAGATGTTACATTTATGCTTTTTAAAACGATTTTATTCATTGAAGTTTGCATGCAATTTTTTTATTTAAAAAAAAACAAAAAACAAAGCAAGATCTATTAATTAAATGGACTGAACAGACAACACTAATTATTTTGCATTCGCATTTAACTTAGTGTAAAAAAATTACAGAATCAAAAACAGAATGAACATTTACCGCATGAATACAATATTGTGAAGGACCTGGTGCATCTAGGTCTGTTCGATTAGAAGTTCTGAAACAAGAGTTTACTTACTGTGTTCTAAGGTCTGGTCTTTACGAATCTATTTCATGATTACTGACAGATTAAAACATCAAATATATATAACAAGAAGTTGTTGTGCACAATATTCATTGGTCAGTTATAAATGAGGTCTGTATAGGGTTTTGATTGCCTTATTTATTAAATAAGAAATCTTTATTTTGAAAAGTTGGATTCAAAAATATAAATTTACCCCCTAATTTTGTAAAACTATAATTTGGTGATATTTTAATGCTAAAAAATTATAATGAATAAATAATTAAATGATGTACTGCCATTTAATCGGTCCGTTTCCATTGCAATTTGGTAACTGTTAAAAATAAAATTGTATATATCAGTCTGAGTACTGTTTAACTATCATTTAATTTGAACATATTTAGACTCGTCCAATTCAGGGGCATTAGGTTTCTGTGAGTGCTTTTTGTGTACTTTTCTTATGTTTTTGACGGTTTGTAAGTCAGTAAAAGTTCAATGATTAAAACAATGTTGACATTAAAAGACCTCCTCACAAAAAGGGCTGTTCAAATCCCCTCGCCCTTCGTAATTATCCATACCTTATTTGAATACATATTTTTATCAATTTTTTATTTTAGTTCAATTATATGTTTCAGAATTTAGTGTGATGGATATTTTCAATGAACTAGTAAATATTTTTGTTTAGGGGCCAGCTGAAGCCCACCTCTGGGAGCAGGATTATGGGAAATTGTATTATTTTGGATACTTGGTTTCATGGTTTTAAAAAATTCTGACCTCTATAAAACCTTTATAAAACTCATCTTTTATTGAGAAAATAAACATATGGTAACCTAATGATTGATTGATTGTTGGTGTTTTACGGCCACTTTTAAGCACCACTTTTGGGCTATTTCGTGGCGGCCAGGTTTTATTGGTGGAGGAAGCTGGAGTGCCCAGAGAAAACCTCTGACCTTCCATAGGTGGTAACCTAATGCACAGAATCACCATGAATATTAGTACCTAAATTTTAATAATAATGATTCACAGTATAACCTGAATGACCTATCACTCTCAATATTTAACACACTGGCAATAATCCTATTAATAGATCTATACTGTCCGTACTTATTACATGCTTGAATATCATACAGTAACATTATATCATTTTTGTTACAATGTAACAATATTACTATGTGAAACATGATATTAAGGTCTGACAGGCTAATGTCCTTAGTAGCATTCTCTCATAATTCAATATGGCAACCTTAGGAGATAAAATTGCAATGCATTTATAAATTCCAACACCTACACGCATTAGTATTGCTTTTTTCAGCATTAAAACCACAAAAATGAGTCATATGAACAAACAATGACAGATTTAAAAGATACAAGGTTTATTAACCAATCAAAAATTTAGAATATCCTCTGCCTATGGCCTCAGTCAATATGTCCAGGACTACACTTGAGTAATGAAAATTAAAATACAGGTAAAGCCACTTACCAAAACCATTTGGAACATCTCCTGATTCTAGATATATGATATCACGTTGTTTTAGAACTTTATCAATCATGTCTGTGTATAAGCAAAAGATGTTCCAAGTGTACTCTTTAACATAAAACTCTGTTTCATCATTGACAGGCTCTGTTTTTAAATCAGGCAGGTAACATTTAGTCTGAACTACAATCTCTCTGTTGTCTAAAAGTACAAAATGTCATGGTAACTACTGTGGTTGATATTAAAAAAAATGAAAAATTTGTGAATTATTAAACCAATCTACACAAACCATTTCAAGTACATTTTTGTACCATTTGACCTCAAATTGTGCCACCTTAAACTATAGATAGGAAGAATTTAGAACTATTATATTTCAAACTAATGAAAATTCGTAAGGGTTCCGCGGAACCCAGTGTCTCTCCTACTTTTGCTGTTAATCGCAGGCTCAACAAAAATGAGGAAAAAAATTAACAAAAATATTCCTCTCTATTCTATCTTTTGATTGTAAGAAGCTTCTGTCCCAGTTTGGTAAAAATCCAGGATAGTTTATGAATCTAATAAATGTTTTAACAAGAGTGCACACGCTGAAATGTCTCGCCTTCTTTACTAATCATTGATATTATGTTGATAGTCCTAAATATAAAGCTTTATTACAACTGTCACATAAACTTAACATTAACCAAGTAAACTAAACATTGACCAATAAACCATGAAAATGAGGTCAAGGTCAGATGAACCATGCTAGGCAGGCATGTACAGCTAACAATTCTTCCATACAACAAATATAGTTGACCTATTGCTTATAGTTTAAGAAAAACAGACCAAAACACAAAAACTTAACACTGAGCAATGAACCCTGAAAATGAGGTCAAGGTCAAATAAAACCTGCGTGACTGCCAAATAGATCATAAAATATTTCCATACACCAAATATAGTTGAACTATTGCATATAGTATTAGAAAAAAAGACCAAAACTCAAAAAACTTAACTTTGACCACTGAACCATGAAAATGAGGTCATGGTCAGATGACACCTGCCCGCTAGACATGTACACCTTACAGTCCTTCCATACACCGAATATACAAGACCTATTGCTTATAGTATCTGAGATATGGACTTGACCACCAAAACTTAACCTTGTTCACTGATCCATAAAATGAGGTCGAGGTCAAGTGAAAACTGTCTGACGGGCATGAGGACCTTGCAAGGTACGCACATACCAAATATAGTTGAACTATTGCATATAGTATTAGAAAAAAAGACCAAAACTCAAAAACCTAACTTTGACCACTGAACCATGAAAATGAGGTCAAGGTCAGATGACACCTGCCCGCTAGACATGTACACCTTACAATCATTCCATACACCAAATATAGTAGACCTATGGCATACAGTATAAGAAAAACAGACCAAAACACAAAAACTTAACTATAACCACTGAACCATGAAAATGAGGTCAAGGTCAGATGAAACCTGCCAGTTGGACATGTACACCTTACAGTCCTTCCATACACCGAATATACAAGACCTATTGCTTATAGTATCTGAGATATGGACTTGACCACCAAAACTTAACCTTGTTCACTGATCCATGAAATGAGGTTGAGGTCAAGTGAAAACTGTCTGACGGGCATGAGGACCTTGCAAGGTACGCACATACCAAATATAGTTATCCTATTACTTATAATAGAAGAGAATATAACATTACAAAAAATCTGAACTTTTTTTTCAAGTAGTCACTGAACCATGAAAATGAGGTCAAGGACATTGGACATGTGACTGACGGAAACTTCGTAACATGAGGCATCCATATACAAAGTATGAAGCATCCAGACCTTCCACCTTCTAAAATATAAAGCTTTTAAGAAGTTAGCTAACGCCGCCGCCGCCGCCGCCGTAGCCGCCGCCGCCGCCGCCGCCGGATCACTATCCCTATGTCGAGCTTTCTGCAACAAAAGTTGCAGGCTCGACAAAAACTTAAACTGCAGACTGTATGTAATGTTAACTGGAAGAAAAACTAAGTCCATTTATAAGTAAAATACGGAAAAAATGGAACAAAATTTTAACAAAATTTCCTTCTAGATACTAGCTTTTAATCATAAACAAGCTTCTGTCCAAGTTTGGTACAAATCCAAGATAGTTTAAGAAAGTTGTTAAAATTTTAAAAACTTTAACCACAGAGTGAATGTAATGTTAACAGGCAGAAAAACTAAGTCCATTTATAAGTAAAATACGGAAAAAATGGATTTTTTTTTTACAAAGTTTACTTCTGGATACTATCTTATGATCATAAACAAGCTCCTTTCCAAGTTTGGTAGAAATCCAGGATAGTTTAAGAAAGTTATTAAAATTTCAAAAACTTTAACCACAGAGTGAATGTAATGCTTCCTGGCAGAAAAACTAAGTCCATTTATAAGTAAAATACGGAAAAAATGGATTTTTTTTTTTACAAAATTAACTTTTGGATATTATCTTATGATCATAAACAAGCCTCTGTCCAAGTTTGGTAGAAATCCAGGATAGTTTAGAAAGTTATTAAAATTTCAAAAACTTTAACCACAGAGTGAATATTTGTGGACGACGCCGACGGAATGTAGGATCGCTATGTCTCGCTTTTTCGACAAAAGTCGAAGGCTCGACAAAAAATGAGACACTCAAATGTTCTAAACAATTTTACTTCAATGATAACAATTCATTTCTGCCTTCCAAACCATAGTTATGCACTTTAAGGTTCATGTGGACCCTCTGGCTAAAATGGCTGCATTTTCACCTCAAAATTTACTCTGAGTGCAGACAAACCTGTGTATATGGAAAAGTTTTAAGGCATTTTAGCCAAAGGGTCCACATGAACCTTAATCTTAGTGACATATATTATAACATTTTAGCCATTTTAGCCAAAGGGTCCACATGAACCTTAATCTCAGTGACATATATTATAACATGTTTTGAGGTTATTGCAGATTTCATACATAATCAGGATTTATTTGGCGGCATTTCCTGGCATTCCTTTGATTTATTGTTTTTTCTCTTATATCTTTACAATTTTGGCCAAATCTCATGCATTTGCTTCATGAAAACTTGGCAGTATTGCATAGTACACATGTACCGGTATCCTAATGACAGCATTACAATGGTTTTCATGATAGAAGTTTAAATAAAGATGCTTCACTTACCACCTGACCAATTCAAAGTTTTTACAACAGTCTGTACACAACCTATCTGAAAGACAGCACCATCTGCAGTTACCAGTATAGGTCTGCCATATTTAGCAGCAGAAGACACAACACCTGGCAACACTTCCTTGGCAACAGGGTAGATAAACTTATAAGACTTTTCCATAACAACAAAGTTTGATGGTTTCTTTTCACTGTAAAATGTATCCTGTAAGTGAACATAGATAAGTAAATAAAATTTCCTTTTCATTTAAAACAAAATTTTCATACAAATTGGTTTAGGCGTTTTTTAGTTATTGTACGACATGTGGACGACGGACAGAGGAACAGACAACAGAATACCATAATATGTACCGTAAATGGGCGTACAAAAATGGAACTGCCTTTAAATTTTGATAAGTAATATGTAAATATCCAACCTGTTTGATAGCATCTTACTGTCTGCAATTAAAGAACCTTAGTAAGCGCGCTCACATACCCCACGTCCCCACATTGTCATTGGAGAAATAAAATAAGTGTAAGAAAAAAAAATTGAATCATAATTTCCTGTCAATATGCACATCTACATAGTATGTCCTTATTATCTACACAGTTTCATGAAATTCTGTTGTGTGGTTTGAGAGGAGTTGCGATGACAAACTGTTGCAGTAGTACATTAAAGTAAATAAGTTCAAAGGGCGTAACTCCTAGAAAAAGAATTGAATCGTAATTTCCTGTCGATATGCACATCTACATAGTATGTCCTTATTATCTGAAAAGGTTTCATGAAATTCTGTTGTGTGGTTTGAGAGGAGTTGCGATGACAAAAGGTTGCAGTAGTATATTGGGCAAATAAGTTCAAAGGGGCATAACTCCTGGAAAAAGAATTGAATCGTAATTTACTGTCAATATGCACATCTACGTAGTATGTCCTTATTATCTGAAAAGGTTTCATGGAATTCTGTTGTGTGGTTTGAGAGGAGTTGCGATGACAATAGGTTGCAGTAGTATATTGGGCAAATAAGTTCAAAGGGGCGTAACTCCTGGAAAAAAAATTGAATCATAATTTCCTGTCGATATGCACATCTATGTAGTATGTCCTTATCATCTGAAAAGGTTTCATGAAATTCTGTTGTGTGGTTTGAGAGGAGTTGCGATGACAAACTGTTGCAGTAGTACATTAAAGTAAATAAGTTCAAAGGGGCGTAACTCCTAGAAAAAGAATTGAATCGTAATTTCCTGTCAATATGCACAACTGCATAGTATGTCCTTATTATCTAAAAAGGTTTCGTGAAAATCTGTTGTGTGGTTTGAGAGGAGTTGCGATGACAAGAAACAGGACTGACGGATTGACGGACGGACAGACGGACAGACGGATGGGTCAAAAACATTATACCCTCCGCAACTTGGGGTATAATAACGTCATTACACAATTTATCATTCTCAACGTGTAAGTTATGTTGACACAACTACTTTTAAAAATGCATACAATTGTTAAAAAAAATTGATGTTTAAACTCCTTTTAACTTTTCTGCACTCAAAGGAAGCAAAAAAAGCCTTGATGTTTACTTTTCAATATAATGGAATTTTAAGCGACTGTCATACAAGTGAGAGGTTTAGCACTATAAAACCAGGTTCAATCCACCATTTTCTAATAAGAAAATGCCTGTACCAAGTCAGGAATATGACAGTTGTTGTCCATTCGTTTGATGTGTTTGTGCTTTTGATTTTTGATTACGGACTTTTCCTTTTTGAATTTTCCTCGGAGTTCAATTTTTTTTTTTGTGTTAACTTTTTTCATCAGCAATCCCTTTTCAATTATACTGTGGATTCCTTTATTTTTGTGGATATCAGTTTTAGTGGATTGAGATCAAATTGGATGTTCATAGATGCTTGATTTCATGGTTTAGCAAAATTCATCATACAAGAAAAAATTGTATTTCATTGAACATTTAAATTTGTGGATAACCTATATAACATCAAAATCCACAAAAATAGTTACACAATGAATGATAATGAATCCACTAAAAACAAAAGAAAATGTAGGTTATTTATCAATAACCCGAATAATTCAGTCCCTCCCTGTGATCGACTCTCCCACTCGCGAGGGCCTGAATTCTTTATACAATAAAAACGTGTCATGAATCCAGGATTTTGATTGGTGCTCTCTGTGAGAGAGAGCCAATCAGCTAATAGCTCAATGTTATCCAGATGGGTAAATCCCGAGCTAATTCTGAATGATTATTTGACATTTTTTTATTGACAAGGCCTTCAGGCGTTAATGTAGTCATTGTAGAGCAGTGGAATATAACGACTGAATTATTCGGGTTAATTTATCAATGAAACAACAACTCATAAACACAAGAAAAGTCAAAAACAAACAAAACATTTTTAAGGGGTTACCCTGTGTCATTTTCAGTATAAAAGTGTAATGTTGACAATTAAAAAAAAAAATCCATTTATCAATAAATGTATACAAAATTAAAAATTAAAAAAAGGAAAAAATTTGGTTGGGTGCATTCGCTTGATGATGAAGAAGCTTCTGTTTAAGTTCTGCTAAACCCATGACATTTTTCAATCTTTTATCACAGACTATAAGTTAAAGAAGCCTTGCAACAACTATATGAGGTGTCTGAAGGGTTCCTACTGCAGGTGAAATTTCTGTTCCTATCAAATCTATCCTCATTTTTTAATTGCATTTCAATTTTCTTGCCCTACATCCTGGTCAACACATAATGCAGGATTTACTGATTGTTTATATTGTTCATTTGTTCTTGTCCTAAGCATACATGAAATATTTGCCACTGGACATTAAGCAAACATCAATGATTTAATCAATCATATTTTTACTAATTTGATCTGGTTTAAAAAAGATGCTGTCTAAAATGATTTTTTTTTAAACATATAGTGTATTGGGCTTCTGGTACATATTATTAGGAATTTTGGTCTTCAATTTCTCCTCAAGCCAAATGAGCAGGCCTCAGACTGACATCTTCAGGAATACAGAAACAATATTGTAGTAATGCCATAAAATATCATGATAATTACCAATGAGACGGAGAGTTTTTCCAATTTTTCTTGAACAACATATATAAACTGTTGATCTTCTGGTTTCAATCTCCATACAGGTAACTCAACTAATCCACAATAATCCTGTAAAATCTTCAGTAACAATGTCGACTGAAATTATAAATATGTATTGACATAGAAAATAACTTTCAATTTAAAACTAGAACTTTGAGGACACTCACAACAGGACATTCTAGAGTCTGGATTCCAGATTATGCAAATTTGATTATCTCCCCTTTATCATGTTGTACTGGGATTATATTCCTTTTTGCTTACAACCACATCGTTTGAGCTCTGGTGGAGAGCTGTCTCATTGGCAATAATACCCCATTCCTTAGTTTTATCTGTATTCACATCCTAGGGTAGTGTTCAACCTGTGTAAAGTTTCATCAGTATCTATCAAGCTTTTAAAAGGGGCATTAACTATGAGATATAAAAAAAAATTAAAATGCGATTTTTTTTTTTTGTTCAATCATTAATGAAAGTGAAAAAGTAAAATAATAATTTGCTCTTGCAGCCAGTTTAGTTCAACTTTGTCAAAATAAGCTAAGAATCATCGCTGATGAATTATTCACTTGCTAAAAGGGAAAGAATTCAAGATTGAATGTGAAACAAGGGTAAACCATTTGAAAGACTGATTACATCCACAAAAATTCATTCTTATACAGGCAAAAACGATGATTATTAACATATATTTTAAACATATAATATGAAATCAAACAGACCTAGAAAAATCCAATTGCTAGAGATCTCTTTCTATTTATATTTAATGTTTATATCGGGTTATATGACTGTTGGCAGTCTTCGAGGTCACCTCAATAGTTAATTAGATGGTGTCTAGACTTAAATACACATGAAATGCTGATACATATTATCAAGCCCATGCATTGTAAATTGTTCATTTTAGACTTTTCTATAATTTAAATATACATGTACCTTTTTTATCTAAAAAATGTTGTAAACCAAACATGAGAATTTGAGTCAAATCGGTGAACATTAATTTGATAGCTTATGCCCCTTTTATAGTTGTGCATGTTGTGCTTACAAGAAACTTATTACCACATATTTCAATATTGAAGTAAGAAAGTTAGATAATCTTCACTTTGACATGCAGCACTGTTAGTTTTTTAAGACTGTTTTATGCTTCATCAACACCAGTGTACCCATTTCGAAGGTGATGCACTTGCAAGGCACATACACAGGGGGTGAATTTTCTGTACCTAGTAATAAAAGCCATACAGACATGAATTCTGTAAAAAAAAAGATTTGGATATAAGTAATAATGTTATTTATGTTTTTTTTACCTTTTCATCATCCTCTTTCAATGTACAACCAAAATGTTTTGATGCTCTGTCAAGTGTCAGTGCTCTCCCTTGATTTTTAATAGCAGTTGAATAGTTTAGGCTTGTTGAACTAGACGAATGTTTTCCAACTTTATCAACCATAGATTTTAAGAATTCTAGATCTACTATAAGTGTCTTTGAGCAAAGTTGCAGGATAACAACTTTCCCCTGTAATAAATTAAAATATTAAGTAACATGTTCAAAATATTTACCTCACAATTTTGAAAAATCAATATGCAACACTCATTTATAATTCGCTGTTTCAGAATCTAATGCATTCTGGGTAATACTTTCAAAAGCATACACCAAAACGTTGTGATTGGTTTAAAACATTCTAAACAATGGAAATTCAACCAATGACGTAACGTCATTTTCATTTTGATGTAGAACAATGAGATTACCCATAGTCCTTCAGATTCTGAAAAGGCGAATTACATTGAGATTTGATTCAAATCAAGTTGATAACAAGAGGCTGTCAGAGAGATAGCAAACCTGATTTTCCTGCAGAGGTCGAACCCTGCACAGTTGATCAAGTATGGACACAACATTTAAGCTTAAAACAGCTCTGAATTTGGATTGTGATTGAATATTTGATACAGCATAGGTTTGTGACAAAATAAATGTGGTCAAAGAACTGAAAAATTTGAAATTGGACATTTACCTATTATGGTCCAATATCCAAAATCTAAGTACATTACTAGAATCAGCATATCAAAGAACCATAAGAATTCAATTTTTGATGAAATACTTCTTAGTTAAACCATTTCTGTTCAAAGAGAAATAACTCAAACTTTATTTCCATGAACTAATAATGTAAATCTAAAATTAGACTAGATATGATTTAATCATAGTTTTCTAAAATTAGATATGATGTTATATTTATTTTCAATTTATAATCAAATATATCAAACTTTATATATATACAATCATTAATGTAGTTAATAGTTCCCAATATTTTTTCTTTCATTTGTAACAAACTAATATAGATCTGCAACTTATCTATGAATGTCTACAACTTTATCTACACAATGTTATGTAATGAAATATATATCTTTTAATAAAGATAGATTTTTATCTAATGAATCAAGTAAAAATTAAAATTAACACACACAACAAAAAGTAAAAATTTTAAAAAATGAGTTATTTCCCTTTGTACAGAAATGGATTAATTCATCAAAAATTGAATTCTTGGGAAAGGGCTATAACTGAACAACAAGAAAAGCTAAAATCATGAAAATTGAACTTGACCTTCATTTAGGCACAGGAAACAACATATCTAAGTATGAAAAAATTTCTTCAAAGCGTTTTCATGTAAATGAACGGACACTGTTTGGCAGCCTCCCGCCCGCCCGCTGCCCGCTCGCCTTACATCCCCAAATCAATATCCGATTTTTACTTCGAGGTATATTTCTTTACTTTGGAGGGGTGATAATATAGGTGTTTTTCTTCACTTTGGAGGGGTGGGAATATAGGGTATTTTTGGTTACTTTGGAGGGGTGGGAATAAAGGTATTTTTGTTTACTTTGGAAGGGTGTGAATCTAGGTATATTTCTTTACTTTGGAAGGGTGGGAATATAGGTATTTTTCTTTACTTTGGAGGGGTAGGAATATAGGTATTTTTCTTTTCTTTGGACAGGTGGGCATATAGGTATTTTTCTTTTTTTCGCTGTCTACTGTGGATTCATTTATTTTTCGTTGGTACCAATTTTCGTGGATTAAGGAAAACTTGCATTTTCGTGGATTTTTAATTTCGTGGTTTTGTCGAAACCTGCATTCAAGCCTACAGAAAATTTGTCCTTATTGAACATTTAATTTCATTAATTTCATGGTTCACCTGTACCCACAAAATCCATAAAAATTGGTATCCAACGAATAATAATGAATCCACAGTATGTGTCTGCCTCACACAACAGAAAGTACAAGCCAAGATGTAACCTTTAAATATTTTGAGTTTTTTTTCTAAAAAAGAAAATAAGGAAAACTACAGAAAACACCCACCTGTTCCTGTAAAAGTTTTGCAATTGAGAGGAACTCAGCTCCTGAAATGTCAAAACTTTCTGTAAGTCCAGAACTTATATCAATAATTTCATTTTTCTTCACAGTTTCTAAGACAACACTTAGGTATTTCTCAAACTTTTCTGCAATCTTGTATCTTATTTCCTGATGGTGTTTCCGACAATCCAAAACTTCTGTCATCTTGTCATAAACACTATTTAAACACTACAAATAAAATATGGAAAATGAGCATAAACTGTATAACTTTAGCTTTCAACCAAAAAAAAATTTGTAAGGGTTCCGCGGAATCCGGTGTCTCACCTACTTTTGCTGTTAATCGCAGGCTCAACAAAAATGAGATGAGGAAAAATTTAATAAAAATATTCCTCTCGATACAATTTTTTTATTGTAAGAAGCTTCTGTCCAAGTTTGGTAAAAATCCAGGATAGTTTATGAATCTAATAAATGTTTTTAAAAATTTAACTGCAGATAGTATGTAATGTTAACTGGAAGAAAAAAGTCCATTTATATTTAAAATATGGATAAACAAGTACAAAATTTTTTAATAAAAATTTCCTTCTAGATACTAGCTTTTGATCATAAACAAACTTCTGTCCATGTTTGGTACAAATCCAGGATAGTTTAAGAAAGTTATTAAAATTTTAAAAACTTCAACCACAGAGTGAATGTAATGTTTCCTGGCAGAAAAACTAAGTCCATTTATAAGTAAAATACGGAAAAACAAGAATTTTTTTTTTACAAAATTTACTTCTGGATACTATCTTATGATCATAAACAAGCTTCTGTCCAAGTTTGGTAGAAATCCAGGATAGTTTAAGAAAGTTATTAAAATTTCAAAAACTTTAACCACAGAGTGAATATTTGTGGACACCGCCGCCAACGGAATGTAGGATCATTATGTCTTGCTTTTTCGACAAAAGTCGAAGGCTCAACAAAAATTAAAATACTGTAAACCAACTTATTTTCATGGATACATAATTTTGTGCTAAGCCCTTCCTAGCTAACTTTGCAGCGATTTATTTTCAAAATTTTCTAATTTTCTTTATGTATCTATATAAGAAAGCTCCATGTTTTACTTATTCACGACAATTCACATTCATGTTATTTTTCTACTCACAAAAGTTAGTTGGTTTACAGTATGTCAATAATTGTATGCTAAAGCAATCCACAACTTTCTTTAAAATGGCCCCAAATGTTTGAATTGCTCACAAGGCATGTTAGTGACTTGGTGAAACAAAAAACTGACCATTCAAAAGGTATCAAGTATAAATGATTCAACATGTTGCATTTATCATAAATCCTGCACAAAAACATGCTGAATGAAACGTTGACATTTTATGGTCATATAGATAGCTCTTCAACTGTTTTGGTTCTCAAACATCCTTGGTTTTCAAATATTGGGTTTCCAGTGTTCCTGATGAATGGAAATCCAGAGATAGCACTTCAGACGCATTTTTCTGAATACATTTTCATCCGTTGAACAAGATAAAGAAAGAAATCATCAATAATAATTTAAAGTAAAATAGATTTGATTTTTTGTAAAATTAATAAAATTTAGGAGCAATTAATAAAACATAATAGTTATTCCTCTGTGTATACAAATAACTGTTTTCTACCTCTTCAGAATCCATATCCATGGACATGAAATGTATTCTGTCATTTTTCTGTGTATTGAAAGTTTCTAATTTTTCCTTAGCTGCACATAGTGATGCATATGCATTCTGCCCTACCATATCCAAATCAGAGAAATGTCTGAAAAAAAAGAAATATACACATTATCTCATATGTTTATATTTTGTAGATACATGTACTTATAATTATTTTCTTTAAAACAGAAAAAAAAAAACCTAAATTTTACTGTTATTTGGCAATAAATCCATTTCTGGATATTTCTTTGAAAAATAAATTTACTAAATATTTCCAATGCTTATCTTTTACAGGAAGTGCTGCCCGTTAATATGTATTTTTAATCCATTTTTTTTTTATGGAAGTTCGGTTATTGACAGTTGTTTCTGTGCAATTATAAATTATTAATCATTCAACCAATGTTTTTCAAAATGTTATATGTTGTCACGGATCTCAAAAAAAAGGTCAAGTTTGAAATTGGTGATTTTCACTTTTGCTGCTTAGGAGTTACAATTTGCGATTAATTGGAAAAAGTCATTTTAAAACGTTTTCATGAATTAGCTAATTACAAAATTAATAGCAGTCATATTTGATATTGACTATTTTTACTTTTACCGTTTTGAGTTATGGTACTTGATTGATTTTCAAGATTTTATATTGTTCAGAACATTATATAAAAGAATATCACAGATTTTATTGGAAGTGTGATGTATTAACTAACATATTAAGTTTTAAATCATTTTATTTTTTCAAAATAGAAAGGAATTGTATCCCAGGAGCAGATGCATGGCTGGAGAGGTAGGGCCATAATGGGGATAACTTTTCTCTATGTACATTATTCTGATTTTTGCAGATCCAGGTAGGAGGACATATTGTGCTGTTTGAGAACATATTTCTGATTTTTAGGTACCTGGTGAAACCAGTCCCCCTTATTTTCTTCTGCAGCCTAAAACAGCCTTTTTGAAAATCCTGAATCCACTACTGTAACCCCAGGATTTAGTAAAAGAATCCATATGTATTCTACTTACTGTTCATGGTACTCTATTGACTTGTCTAGAAGTTCTAATTTTGTTGTCAAAAATTCTCCTGATATAAACTCTTGTATCTCCTCAATCAATTTAGATGGTTTTCCTATTTGTATTAATATAAATTCACATTCTCTGAAATGTCTAACATCTTCTGGTTTTTCATCTATTTCTTTCACTGCTTCAGTCTTCTTCTCTTCAGGCTTTTTCTTTTCTGGAATCTTTATTTCTGATGTAACTTTCACTTCTTCTTTATTCTCTGTTTCTTCTGGGACTTCTCCCTCAACCTTCTGATTGAATTAAAACTAAAACTTTGATCATACTTTCAGTAACTGGGAGCATTCTTTTATGTGATATATTTTGCTTCCAGTAACTGAGAGCATTCTTTTATGTGATATCTTTTGCTTCCAGTAACTGGGAGCATTCTTTTATGTGATGTTTTACTTGTACCTGTTGTCTATTTTATCTCTATTATAGAACTTGGTGCTTTTTCTGAGCTTAATTTAATAACTAGTTTTTATCAGCCACATTCATGCTTGTCAATGGTTGTCTTCATATTTATCTTAATTTTTATTGTCGTTGATGAATGGCTGTTTAACTTCAAGCATATTCATGAAAAGATCATTTTAATGTCATATGAATATCAACCCTGGTTTGTACTAAACAGACAGCCTGAGCTGGATTTTTAACATGCTGGTTCTGACTCAAGAGCAGATCATTCTTTGCTCTTATTCCTTAATGCTGTGTAGCTAGCTATGAAAATGATCATGTCAAAAAAAACTGGCATACTCAACACCATAAAGCATATATATACAAAATATGGAACCTGATGTTCAGTAGTTGTGGTTTGTTGATGTGGTTCATAAGTGTTTCTCGTTTCTTATATAGATTAGACTGTTGGTTTTCCCGTTTGAATGTTTTTCCGCTAGTCATTTTTGGGGCTGTTTATAGCTTCCCGTGCGGTGTGAGCCAAGGCTCCGTGTTGAAGACCATACTTTGACCTATAATGGTTTTTCTTTTACAAATTGTGACTTGGATGGAGAGTTGTCTCATTGGCACTCATACCACATCTTCTTATATCAATTTAAAGCTCTTCTAGCTAAAAAAAAAAATATGGTATCATACCAATATTTACCAGACTAGAATACTTCTGTCTTGTTTTCAGCAGAAGATTTTACAGTACGAACAAATATGTCCAGTGATAAAACTCTCTGCATTTTAAGGGCTAACTGTATTACATCCTTAATTTACCTTTATGTTAAATTAGACTTCTGAAAAAAAGTGGTTTATTGTGCTGTGAGGATGCTGTCTGATTGATGATACCTCACTTCTCTATTATCATACAAACCTTTGTCTCATCATTTTCCACTTCTTCTTTTTTAACCTCTGGTTCTTTATTTTTGGGATAAACTGTGGTGAAAGCAGCCTGAAATTTTAGTTTTTAAAAGATTTAATTTCTTTATATATCTAATGTTTTTTTTTGATAAGAACGCACTTTTTTCATGTTAATTCAATTTCATGGATTCCAAACATGTCATTTCAAGTATATGACACTTTTTCATTATGGGAGAAAAGTGCATACTATATTTACAGCAAATATAATCATGTTGTTAAAATAACACTTACTGTTATCTTTTAAAAGTATACATATAAAGAGAATATCATATGTCTTTTTCAATATCACATCTGTATCAACCCGAGACACCAATATAATCCCGAGAGCTCTACTCGAGGCATTATGTTGGTTGAGGGTGGATACGGTGTATGATGCTGAAAAATCCCTATCATATACACTTTATTATATACCTCAAGTAGATATATTTATACAATCCTGAATTGACTCTCATTTTCCAAAAACAAATGAAATTGAGAATGGAAATGGGGAATATGTCAAAGAGACAACAACCCGACCAAAGATCAGATAACAGCCAAAGGCCACCAATGGAGGTGGGCCTCAGCTGGCCCCTAAATTAAAATGTGTACTACTACTAGTTCAATGAAAATGAACGCCATACTAAACTCCAAAATACTAACCTTTGTAACAACCCGTGTTATTGTATCAACAATATGTTTCTTAACTCCCTCCAAATCTCCTTTTGAAGTATTGAAGGTGATAATAACTTGAACAGGGTGGCTACTGACCATCACATCAAACATTGGCTGCAAAGATATGTAATTTTATAAATAAATAAAGAACTCTGATATCTACATCTGTTAAGCTTTTTTTAAAATATCACACCATTTCAAGACTAACATACTAATTTAGTCTTTTCTAAGTCTTCCCAAAGATTTATACAGTAAGATATATAAATCATTGGTCTTACAATCAAACTATAAATATGTTAACCAGTTCACCATGAAATATTCAATAGACCACTTTTGAGTTATGTCCTTCACCTGAAAAGTTTTTCAATTTTGCGTGCCTTTGTGACGTCATTTACCGGATAGAGGGGATGGCCTGTATCACAGCTTTATTAAAGTTCATCAAGCATCTATGTGATTGTCATTATGCAGGATAAAATAGAAATAATATTTGTTCCGTAAGCACTTAATCACAATTCCCTAATGACAGCAGTGTTGATTATCAATTATAATAGATATAAGAAGATGTGGTATGAGTGCCAATGAGACAACTCTCCATCCAAGTCACAATTTGTAAAAGAAAAACCATTATAGGTCAAAGTACGTATACGGTCTTCAACATGTATTCTTATCTATATTTTTTTATAGTCAGAAACCTGATGTTCCGTAGTTGTTGTTTGTTGATGTGGTTCATAAGTGTTTCTAGTTTCTCGTTTTTTATATAGATTAGACCGTTGGTTTTCCTGTTTGAATGGTTTTCCACTAGTCATTTTTGGGGCCCTTCATAGCATACTGTTCAGTGTGAACCAAGGCTACATGTTGAAGACCCTATATGTACTTTGACCTATACCGGTAATGGTTTTTCTTAGTGTATACATAGTGCTCACAACAGTTGATTCAAGGGGTTTCCTGGTCAAAACTTCTTCACTCACTGATCAGATTTCTTTTCAAATCATAAAAAATTAAGTAGGTAGTAGGAATAAGGCTGAACACTCTCTCATCTTGTATCAGTCCCATAACCAATACTTCTGTATAAAAATTAAAGCACTGACCATTGTTCCTATCCAAAGTATGTTAGCTGAGGTGCAGATGTCAATGGTTTTCAATGAGCATTTTCATTTGTTTATCTTTAAACAGTGGCGATATTTGGTCTTCTTTGTTGAAATATTTTACCACATATCATTGCATGATTAGAACCAGGGAAGCTAGGAGGCTAAGTTGAGCCAAAGTTTAAATTATGCACATTTGTGTTGAAGGTCATATAGTGATTGATTCATTAATTGTTGTTTTGTTAATGTCCAGTTGCAAATATTTCATGCATGTTCATGACAAAGGTCATAAAGTGACCTTGATAAATGACCTTGACGTTCATTTCAGAGGATAATTATGCCTCATTGATTTTAAAGCCATTTATCTGGGGTTTTTTATTCCTATACAGTAGAGTAGTATACCTCTATATTGATACATGTACTTACATGATCTAAAAGGACTTCAGTTAATGTTACTTTCCAGTCTTTTATTGGTAAATCAGTTTCTTGACTGAATGATTGTAGCGGTCCTGAACCAAGCTTCTGAAGAGTTTTCTTTGTCTTAACAAACTCAACAAAATAACCAGCTAAATGTCTTTGTGGTACTACTATTGCATGACTATGGTTCATATCAACTATAAAAAGAGAAAAGAAAACATTAATACATACAAAATTCAAATACATATTTAAGAACTATGTTTCAATGGCAACAATATTATTCGAACTGAATAAACTATTAATTATATAAAAATTTCAGCATATATTATTTAAAGTAATTTTCTTTATCTAATAGTACTGGATATCTTGCTTGGTCAAGTGAACATGGATATATAAATATTCTGAAATCAAGCAGCACAAGAACACAGTTTCATGAAGATTTCATTCATTTATATTTCTTTACTACAGAGATATTCACAATTTCATGGATTTGACACTTACTGTGGATTCAATTATTTTCGTGGATTGAGGAAAACTTGCGTTTTCGTGGATATTTGATTTCGTGGTTTTGTCAAAGTCTGTATACATTTTTAATGAAAATTTAAAATTCATTGTATATTGGAATTGGTGGTTCCCGGGTAACCACTAAATCCACGAAAAATTGGTATAATTATTACATACTACAGCATCTCAAAATAATTGAATATAAAAAAAGAAGATATGGTATGATTGCCAAATGACACAGAAATTAACAACTATAGGTCACCGTATGGCCTTCAACAATGAGCAAAGCCCATACCGCACAGTCAGCTATAAAATATTATTATTTTGGAGATGACAATAGTTATATCTCAATCATCATCGAAAACAGGTGGTTTTTCACCAAAACTTGCTTTTTTAAAGAACTGTGTTTAATAATCAGTTCCATGGAGCTTACATTTGATGATAATGTTGTTATATCAAGACAATTTATACATAAATGAGGGTAGGAATGGGGGTATAACATTACTACTAACAGTAAATATGTGGTTGAATTAAGTTAAAGTGACAAATGCAATAAAATATTAAGACTAGCTTGATTCTAATGGTAGTTTTTGACACTTGATCATAAAAACTATTCCTTCCCTCATCAATAAAACAAGATTGTTTAATAGTTACACTATATGCATTATAAGATTATCTAGTTTTCCTCTTTCTTGTTTTTTATTGAATTTTTAACTAACAAAAAATACAAATATTGCATTTAATACAATGCTATACTTAATCCTTGCAAAACCATGCATTTTACAGACAAGATATAAAGCATGCAAACACTAGCAAAATACCAATCAACTAAACACACTATCTTTAATCCTATATGTTGTAATAAATGTGTAATATTATGTAAATTCAATGAAAATTTACTTACACAACATATGAAAAAATTTCTGAAATGTAAGTTTTTAACTAGACTAAACTACACTTAAGTAGATTTGGCTATTTGTTTAATGTCCTTTTTTGTCATATAACTCTTCAAGTATTGAAGTATTAAAACATTGAGATAATCATGGTTATAATCAGAGACATTGAGATAATCATGGTTATAATCAGAGACATTGAGATAATCATGGTTATAATCAGACATTGAGATAATCATGGTTATAATTAGAGACATTGCGATAACCATGGTTATAATCAGAGACATTGAGATAATCATGGTTATAATTAGAGACATTGAGATAATCATGGTTATAATTAGAGACATTGAGATAATCATGGATATAATCAAGAGACATTGAGGTAATCATGGTGACATTTGGTAATAATCAAATACATCGAGATAATTGTGGTTATAATCAAATACATTGAGATAATCATGGTTATAATCAGAGACACTAAAATAATCATGGTTATAATCAGAGACATTGAGATAATTATGGTTATAATCAGAGACATTGAGATAATCATGGTTATAATCAGAGACATTGAGATAATCATGGTTATAATTAGAGACATTGAGATAACCATGGTTATAATCAGAGACATTGAGGTAATCATGGTGGCATTTGGTAATAATCAAATACATTGACATAATTGTGGTTATAATCAAATACATTGAGATAATCATGGTTATAATCAGACATTGAGATAATCATGGTTATAATCAGAGACATTGAGATAATCCTGGTTACAATCAAATACATTGACATAATCATGGTTATAATCAAATACAAATCTAATGACATAATTAATTCAGTCTTATAATCAGAAAAGGTTAGGCATTCAGAAATGTAAACTTATCTGTACTGTTCAAATGCCAATTATAATAGGGTAGGTAATGAATCATCATTCTTTGTTAATACGATGATATTCTGTGGTCATCACAATGACAACAACAGGCTATCAGATTGACAGCAAACCAGGAACATAACTGAATCAAAGAGCTGAAAGCTCGGAGGAAAAATGACGCCATTGTCTCTAATATTGGGATATTTTTGATGCAAGTCTTGATTTTCACATAATTTACCTACTGAATCTTAGGAGACTTTTCAGTTCATGGTAGGTAGGCTGACTGACAATAGAATAGATATGAATTGTTTTCAATGGCTTTTTTATTTTTTTGTCAAAATATATATATATATATATATATATATGTGTGTGAAGTGAAGATGACTACTGGTTGTTTCTTTTGTATAAAGAAATAGCTCAAGACTACCTTAACGATCTACAATATTCAAAGTAATATGTGAATTTGTTTCTTGCAATTTCATTATTCTTAGTCAAGGATACATTAACATACTATCCCCTTCTTTGTAGAATTATTTAACAATATGATAATGAAGAGCCTGTTAAGTAAGCAAGCTCTTAAACCCCACATAGTCCTTATTTAAGAGATAAGTTACAAGTGGCTTAGTGACATTGTTATTTCTGTTACTTTTAAAGGATGATCAAATTCTGTAGATTTAGACAATAGTATTGTTATACTTAAGTTTGACAATAACAAATATAGAGACACTATTTATACAACCAAATTTCATTGTTGATATATATATATTTGCCTTCTGGTTCATATGAGCCGTTCATCCTATTTTGACTCCTCAAATCCAACTTAGAGTCTATCCTAAATTGAGGTAAATTGTATGGCTTTCCAAATACTGTTTCGATTCCTAACATCACTGAAGAGACATTAATTGTCGAAATTCCGGATATGGTGTACTAAAACCTTTGCACCTTTTGTTTGCGGTATATCATCTTTTCCGCAAGTTTATTGTTTTCTGTTTAGTATTAAATTTATAATGAAGATCTACTTATTACATCAGTGATCCGTTTATTTGGCAATTGCCAATGGCAGTCAGCAGGGTTTAAAAACATTTGTTGTCCACCAGAGTCTAAATAATGTGACTGTTATAAGTCACTTCCTAGACCTCAACAATGAACTAAGCCAGTTCATTGTTTTCATGCACCATAGAAAAAAGAGGAGTTGTGTCTTGGTGGCTAACAAGAACATATAAGAAATATAATAATAATATAAATAAGAATAAATGTGGATAGTGTTCACATGTGGACGCAGATGATGCCCCCGCTTGCATATCATATAGTTATAAAGGAACATAACTGAAGAACCGTAAAAGTGACGCTACCCAAATTTGAACTTGATCTGAGTTTTGTGGTAATAAGCATTGTGTGTAAGTCTCATTACATTTGGTTGAGGCTAACTAAAGAAGAGAACAGAAACTAAAAATTCAGCAATTTTTCTATTTGTAAACACGCATAACTCTAGAACGGTTGTGTATAAGTTTTATAACATTTGGTCGAGACAAACTAAAGTTAGAGAATGGAACATAAAATTCAGCAATTTTTATGTTTATAAAGGGACATAACTCAAGAATGGTAAAAGTGTTGCCATCAAATTTCGTACTTAGTAATAAGCATTGTGTATAAGTTTCATAACATTTGGTTGAGGCAAACTAAAGTTAGAAAACGGAAACAAAAAATTTGTACTTGATCTTAGTTTTGTGGTAATGAATATTGTGTATAGGTTTCATAATGTTTGGTTGGGGCAAACTTAAGTTACAGAATGGAAACTAAAAATTTTGCAATCTTTCGATTTATAAAGGGGCATAACTCAATAATGATTAAAGTGATACTACCCAAATTCAACTTGATCTGTGGAAGTCAAAATTAAACATTGCATCGTATAAAGCATTGATTGTAGTTATAAACATGGACAAAGGAAGATAACTCCAATCTTAATAAAATTACTTGATATTTAGAAGAAAATAAAATTTTTGCAATTTTTCCAATTTCTTAAGGGGCATAACTCTAGAATGGATAAAGTGACGCCACCAAAATTCAAACTTGATCTGTGTTTTGTGGTAATAAGCATTGTGTATAAGTTTCATAACATTTGGTTGAGGCAAACTAAAGTTAGAGAACGGAAACCAATTTTGGGAGTATGTACGTACAGACGTACAGACAGACAAGGGTAAAACTTAATGCCCCCTCCGCTACGGCGGGGGCATACAAAAAGAAAAAACACAGGACTAAGACACTGAACTTTGTATAAAGTGCTCCATTACTAATCCTCAGAGGAGCTGCTGATCTATACTAGTACTAAGAAAAGAAAGATGTTGAGGACTTAGCCAGGGCAAGCTGAATTTTGAGACTTAGGAACATCAGAGTAGATGTACGTGGGACACCACATATATATTCCAATCTGCCCTATTTGCTGCCACCTAACAAAATTAATGCCTAGGGTGGTAATCAAACCCATGTGCATTTAATCTGTTGTTCTCTATGTACATATATGATATATTATATTAAATGCAAAAAATGCAGCTGTAATGTAAATATGGTAATTTACATCATTATAGCCTCATTTTTTTAAAAGGACCTAGCTAGACCTTTTTCTTAGGCAAGGTGTATTATATAACTCTGAAAGCAATACAATCGAGTGCTCTCCCCAGGATTTTTTTTATAGCACTGTGGTATTATATAATTATTGGTCAGAAAAAATTGGATTTTTTATACATGTGCCATGTGCATTAACAGAAATGCAAATAAGTGACATTTTAATTATTGATTAAGCTTTAAAAATTAAAATGCCTAGATAACTTAAATAATTTGATTTTATTACCACCTGTCCCCAAATGTAGCACAGCAGGTATATATTTTTTTCTCACTTTCAGTTGTTTGACTTATAAACTAGTTATGTCAATTTTAGTTTCTTTTGTATAATTTGGAGTTTAGTATGACGTCCATTATCACTGAACTAGTATACATATTTGTTTAGGGGCCAGCTGAAGGACGCCTCCGGGTGCGTGAGTTTCTCGCTGCATTGAAGACCCATTGGTGGCCTTCGGCTGTTGTCTGCTCTATGATCCGGTTGTTGTCTCTTTGACACATTCCCCATTTCCATTCTCAATTTTATATATCCTTTTAATACAGCTTCATAATTTTCTTACACATATTTAAAGAAGGTTTTCAATGACAAAATTGGAATTTCTTCATTAATTTTTATTAACATTTATCAAATTACAATTTTGCAATTCAAATTGGTATATCCTTTAATATCAAAGGAAAAAATGGAATAACTCTTTCCATAAGTACTGAAATGTTATTAAAGACATGTTTAAAAAGGCTAACATATTTGATCATATTCCAAGGTTACCTATTCTGACATCGGACTCAGACTTCTTTTAAACTGAGTTTTACTGTGCGTATTGCTATGTGTTTCTTTATTCTACATTGGCTAGAGACCCTATAGGGGAGGGTTGAGATCTCACAAATCATGTTTAACCCCGCCGCATTTTTGCACCTGTCCCAAGTCAGGAGCCTCTGGCCTTTGTTAGTCTTGTAGTCTTTTAATTTTAGTTCATTTATATGTTTTGGAGTTTAGTATGACGTCCATTTTCACTGAACTAGTACACAATTTTATTAAGAGGCCAGGTGAGGACCACCTGCGGGTGCGGGATTTTCTCGCTGCGTTGGAGACCCATTGGTGGCCTTCCGCTGTTGTCTGCTCTTTGGTCGGGTTGTTGTCTCTTTGACATATTTCCCATTTCCATTCTCAATTTTATGATAGAAATCTTTTATTTAAGAAGTTTTTTTTTTATTATTAAAGGTGGATTATTAAATTATAAATGTTTGCCAATTGAAACATTACAACCACCTTTAAAAGTTGAGTTTGGTAATTTTCTGAATATGTGAATTATCGCCACCAGAAATATTTTACAAGATTTGACAATACTGGTTTTAGCACTTTTGCCCACTGAAATTGTCTCACTTCACAACTTCCTGTTTACACATTATTTGCTGTATCTCTAGGAATCATTAAATGCCATTCCTTATCCAAGCCATCCACTGTTAACCTTGATTTTAAAATAATATTTAATTAATAGTTATTGAAAAGTGGATGGCAAATCTCAATATTTTTTATTTATTTTCAAGAATTTTTTTTATCCGATTTTGATAATAGCCAAGTACAAGTAATCATAAAATACGGGCTTGAAATGAACGCCTGGACAACGGGAATGCTTTTCTCAAAACAATACAGGTTCAATAGTTTAGTTGGTAACTCCAAAAGTAATGAAATAATCGTAGATCACTAGATGTTTCAAAAATAGACAAGACCACGTTGTCAGAGAAAGGGTAAAATTTTCCTTAAATACTTTTAGTATAATTTATTGAGCACTGCCTACTCCTTTCATAAAGTTTCTGCATCTTTTAATTTTTTTTAAAGTAAAAAAATCCAGAAAGAAATAAAGTCTTTTTGACAGAAAAACTTCTGCAAATATCATCATTTTGTTCTTTAATTGAACTGGCCACTGCGATATTTGACCTATATTATGTCTGCAACAGTAACTTTGTAAACAAAATACATACGCGCCCCGTGGATATAACAGTATTACTAATTTTTCGATTCTTAAAAACTTCTGAAATCTTGATAAAGACCATTATCTTTTGGATGATTTCAAAATGATTCCTATTATTATTTTTTGAACGATTTTAAAGTCCTGCTGACAATAAAGGTTGACATTCTTTCAAGGACTATTTTGTCTAGCGATAGCAATTTGTTATCATTGTATGCAAAAGTCCAAAACCATAACAATACGGATCTGTACAAATCTGTCGTCTAAGCCAAAGGGTTCACCAAAAGCATCTTCCTCGGATCTCGTCGAGAAAAATCGTCAATGATTTTTTCATAGTCCAAGTTCAATATCTTTATGGACATACAAAAGTAACAGGGCATTTAAGCGTTCTTCTCCCATTGTACTGCGCGAGAAGGTTTTAGTATACTTTAAAGACGAGTTTGCCCTTTCTGTAGAACTGGATGTTAAGCTGGTCAATGAAAGTAAGCTCAGAACTTTAACGATGTTTGGAAAAATAGTGCTACACACTTTTTTTATATCATGTGAGTATAATAGAGTATTATCTTCTGTTGGGTGGAATTGTGAAATAAGAGTCAATACGTCCTTGCTCCATCCTTTGTCGCTTTGAAGGCGTCATGCTTGTCATCCTCAGCATTAGCAATATGTTACTGTAATTTGAAATTTTGAAGTGCAAGTAAAGGGGGGCGTACGCCCTCTACGTCCCTCCTCTGGATCCGCCACTGTGGATAGCTCAAAATACCATTTAATAATTAACAGAAACATATAGACAGGTCGAGAATGAAATTCTGTACAGTACATAGGTATGTAAAATACGGAACCGAGTTCGGAAGGCGGCTTGGAGGCGATAAAATGACATCTGGTCAATGGTATAGGAAAATTGACGCTTTGACAGCGTCATTTTCCAAAAACGGTAAAATTTACCACAATTTGTACTTGATTAGAATTTTGTGGTAATAAGTTTATAATTGTGTATAAGTTTCATAACACTTGGTTGAAGCAAACTTAAGTCAGAGAAAGGAAACGAAAAATTCACCAATTTTCCATTTGTAAAGGGGCATTACTGTAGAACAGTAAAAGTAATCTGTATTTTGTGATATCATGCATTGTGTATAAGTTTCATAACATTTGGTTGAGGTAAACTTAAGTTAGAGAATGGAAACAAAAAATTCAGCAATTTGTCACTTATAAACAGGCATAACTCTGGAACAGTTTAAGTGACCACCAAACTTTGAATTTGATCTGTGTTTTGTGGTAATAAGCATTGTGTATATTAAAGTTTCATTTCATTTGGTTGAGGCCAACTTAAGTTAGAGAACAGAAACCAACTTTGCGAAGTACAGAAAGACGCTATGGTGGGATATAAAAATAAATGAATTTTTATAGGTTTCAGAAATGGAGAGGCAAAACACAATCTTATTATCACTTTTCACTCCTAAAAGATCTAAAACTCAACAACGATAGAAGCTAAAATGGTGAAAATCGAACAGGACCTTCATTTAGTCACAGGAAACAACATATCAAATTTGAAAAGATTTCTACAACACATTTTCAAGTTATTGCAGGGACAAAGCTTCAGTATTACTTTTCGCTACTTAAAGGTCTACAACTCAACAACATTATAAGCTAAAACCGTGAAAATCACACCTGACCTTCATTTAGTCAATTTAAAAAGATTTTGTCAAAGTGTTTTCAAGTTATTGCATGGACAATGCTCTAAGTATCACTTTTCGCACCTTAAAGGTCTACAACTCAACTACGATAAAAGCTAAAATCGTGAAAATTTAACTGGACGTTCATTTAGTCACAGGAGACAACATATCTAAATTTGAAAAGATTTCATCAAAGCGTTTTCAAGTTATCACAGGGACACTGTTTGGCAGCCGCCCTTCGTACATCAACTAATTAATAACTGATCTTTTCCTTTGAAATTCCTGTTAACATGGAAAATGGTTAATTTTGGTAAAGTAAGACTACATGGCGCATAAATCAATTATTTTGCTCAGTACTTGCACCTTTTATTGATGCCAAAGTGCTGTCGGCTTTATGAGTATAAATTGTTATTTATGTTTGCCATATATATAATTTTTGCCACACCTATGCAAGGTTTTGTTCAAGTCAAATTACTTGATCTGTGAGAAATTTTTTTTTTTTTTAAATGTGTCCTTTTTTAAATATAAGTATTTAAAAAATCATGACACAAATAAAATCTTGTAAGCCAGCAATTATAAATAATAATTAATAATTCTAATTTCCTTTCAGTCGGTATCGATGTCCTTTAGGATGGTAAATATATAACTATTCGCCATATGTTGTATTGCCTTTCTTTTTATAATCATTCTTACCAAGATTTTCTTCTCCAGTTAGTATAGGACAACCATTGATCAGAAAAGTTTTGACTGCAGGATGACTAAGATGTCTGATGGAGACTCCTGTCAGCGAAACCAATGTAACACTAGGCACAGCTGTCAGAAGTAAAGCCACATCATCGTCTGTCAACTGATGACACCCATCTAAATATATCTGTTTGTAAAAATAAAAGAACAACTAAAGAATATAAGGTAATACCAGCAGGGATTCGGAAATACCATCCTCCTTTGCCCAAAATTCCTTTACAAGTAAGTAAGAGCCTCCTCACGGGGTTTTTAATTATGTGATTACTTGGCCGTTTTTATAGTGATTATTTGTTTACCAGACTGAATATTTCATGATTATTTGATTATTTGATAATCTAGGACTACAGTATATTTTTTATTATTTGATAATCTAGGACTGTATGCATATATACTAAACTTATACTTGCATGCACATTTTTTATATTTATTACACATCTATAGCATATAATCAGCAAATAATATTTCATTCAGTGGTTATTGATCACAAGCTAATTAACTCGTACTATGAACTTCAAAATTATTTATTTTGTACAAAATATTTCTGTATTCCATGACTGTATACCTTACAACAAAATTCTTTTTATTTACCTGTGTACGTTATTTTATTTGGAGGCATTTTGTCCAAGGTTATGGTTGTCTTTCTGATATGGTTGAACATCTCACCCCTTATTTTATTGATTTTGTATTTACATTGTGTCATAGATCAAATTCATTTGTTCAGTGTATGTTCACTTGTTTTTGTTAATATGTCTTTGATTGAGTTAAGCCATTTCAATTGATATTTAATAGTATGTCTTTCTATGTTGTGATGTTACACTATTGTTTCAGGTAAGGGTGAAGGTTGGTACCTATTAAAACATTTAAACCCGTTGCGTTTGTTTGCACCTGTCCTAAGTCAGGAACCTGATGTTCAGTGGTTGTCGTTTGTTGATGTGGTTCATAAGTGTTTCTCGTTTCTCCTGTTTTATATAGATTAAACCGTTGGTTTTCCAGTATGAATGGTTTTATTCTAGTCATTTTTTGGGCCTTTCATAGCTTGCTGTTTGGTGTGAGCCAAGGCGCTGTGTTGAAGACTGTTCTTTGACCTATAATGGTTTACTTTTACAAATTGTGACTTGGTGTTAACAATATTTTATTATGTATTATTTAAGTAAATTTTCTATACTAATTCGCAAATAGGATTCAGAAACAAGCAACAAGTGCTTATATTAATCTGTCTTAAAATTGTGATTTGGATGGAGAGTTGTCTCATTGGCACTCATACCACATCTTCCTTTATTTATTAACGCTCTGTATAGTAAAGAACATGTGTATAATCTCTGTAGGCCTAACAAGTGTATAATCTCTGTGAGGCACGTTATTTATTTGATGCTCTTGATTCCAATTGGCAATCAAAGATTTTGCCCATTTATCCATTACACCCACTTCTTCATATACTTGGATCCCAACAATTGAATTATTATTGACAAACTTGTTTGTCCTAATCATGCATGCATTATGCATATAAATTTTGTCACTATAAGTTAAGGATTGAAAAAATATAACTAAAAGAGGGACGAAAGATACCAGAGGGACAGTCAAAATCATAGATTGAAAACGAACTGACAACGCCATGGTCAAAAATAAAAAAGACAAACAGACAAATAATAGTACAGATGACACAACATAGGAAACTAAAGACTAAGCAACACGAACCCCATCAATATGTAAAGACAAAAATATTCTATATAATTATATATGCTTATTTCACATAATTTTATTAAAATAGGATCAACAGCAAATTAATAAAAAAAATAATTTTAGAAAAATGTTCATAAAGAGTGAAAAACAGGTAACCACCTTTAATAATGACTACGATCCAATGTTGATGAGCAAGTGAGGAACACTGACCATTGCACTGAAGTCTTCTTCACAAAATATTCTAAAAAGGCATCATATCCTACCTAAACAGGGAACTGTTCCGGGCAGGTAGTGAAAAAAAATCTAACAAATATACTGTTAATCGTTACAATGTAATTTTGGTTCAAAATTCGTGACAAATATGGAAAAATCATAACCGTTGGCATCTATGGCATCAATTTGTCTAACTAAACCCAGTTTGTTTGTTTTTTATCTCTACCTATTACTGAGATGAAATTGTACAAATAATTTTATAAACCCACTTACATATTTGCATTTTTTTGCCTCTTCCAATACCTTCGAAAGCCATTTAATACCCGCATTTGTAATCTGAGTGCATCCTTGGAGATGTAAGTCTGTGAGATTCACAAATTTCTGAAATAAAAAATGTCAAATATTAGTCTTTTTCAATGAACTTCAAATCTGATTTAAAATATTTAAGATCTATAGGAAATTGCGAAATAGGAAACAAAGACTGTGGCTGAATGATTATTTGTGGGATTATCATTTTTTGTCGATTTCATGGCTAAAGGTAATCCATGAATTTAAAGTTCAATGAAATGCTTGTATGCAGACTATGGCTAAATTATGATATCAAATATCTACAAAAAACAATCCATGAACATTATATCCATGATATCTAGGAAAATAAATGAATTTACAGTATAAATCACAAAACAACATACCCTGTAATTTTAATAATACGTGTACCGGTAGTTTTTATTAATTCAATCAGTATAAGCACATAATCTTTCTTTAAGATAAATTGGTGCAGCTTTAAACAGGAAAATGACAGAAAAATAAATAATTATAAAAATTAAAACATGTCTGTTTATCACATGAATAAAAAAAAAATAAACATCAATTGTTTTCATACGGTGTTGAAATTGTCCTTTTTTATAATTGTATCATATTTACCCTCTTTCCTGATTTGTGGAGATAAAGAGCAGCATCATTACTATAGGCATTTTTGCAAAATTCTAATTTTGATGGTACATAGCTTGCCTTCTCTAAATATTTCTGTAAATGATATTATTTCAAAAAATGAATATGTATAACAATGAATATATATATATGTATAACAAAAACCTGGTAATAAATTGCTCAAATAAAGCCTTTGAAACTGTAGGAATTAATTACTTTTGGAGTGTCAAAAATTCGTTGAAAGTACTTGATAAATTGCATGCTTATATTGGTGATTTCGAATCTGTTAAAAGTTTTGATTTTTCTACCCTATATACCATATTGCCTCATAATCTTATAAAGAAAAAATTCACACACCTGATTAAATGGGCATTTAAAAAGTCGGAATGCGAATATATATGTTCAAACTCTTTTAGGTCATTTTTTAGTATCAACAAACAAAAGAAGTATGTCAATTGGACCTGCTTTGATACTATAACTGCCCTTGAATTTTTACGAGATAACATTTTTGTTTGTTATGGAGATTCCGTATATCGTCAGGTTATCGGAATTCCCATGGGGACTAACTGTGCACCACTTATTGCGGACCTGTTTCTGTATTGTTATGAGTTACAATTTATGACTAAAATCAGCAAAGACCCATCAAAACAACATCTAATTCAAAAATTTAATAACACTTTTAGATATCTAAATGATATATTGGCTCTCAATAATGACGACTTCAGTATGTACACTAAAAGAGATTTATCCTGCCGAACTGACTTTAAATAAAGCTAATACTAACAATGAACACTGCCCTTTCCTGGATCTTGATATCTTTATCTTTAACGGGAAGCTTAATACCAAAATTTATGATAAAAGAGATGATTTTTCATTTCCTATTGTTAATTATCCATTTTTAGATAATTTAATTTTGGATGTAACGCATCTTCTGATTGGCTGACGTTGTTTTGTTTATCAGCTCATAGACATAATTTTGTCATGTGACCGTGATGTCATCAGCGTTTTTTCATGGTTTACTCAGGTTTAAAATGGAATTTAGAATTAAATTATAAGAAATGACTGTAATATTTTTTCTGTCTATTCGAAATAACATAAAAAATGTGGTGCACACTTTAAAATAACCCGCTACACGGGTTATTCAGTGTGCACCACATTTTTGATGTTATTTCTTCATAGACAGAAAAAATATTACAGTCATTCCTTAAATGGTGACGTTCCCTTTTCGCCATCTTATGGTGTTACAAGTACACAATTTTATTGAGGGGCCAGCTGAGGACCACCTCCGGGTGCTGGATTTTCTCGCTGTGTTGAAGACCCATTGGTGGCCTTCAGCTGTTGTCTGCTCTTTGGTCGGGTTGTTGCCTCTTTGACATATTCCCCATTTCCATTCTCAATTTTATTTACATATCTCAACTTGTTTGATTAGCTCGTGTATGTAACAACATATTGGATTTCAATGAAAGAAATCTCTGTATTACTGAAAAATTATTACACCAGGGTTTTCGATATCACAAACTAGTCAAAACATTTACTAAATTTTATCGTCGGTACAAGGACATCACTTGTAAATATAAATCAACATGCAGACATCTTATACTTTCAGGTATTTCACATCCAATATTTTATGGTAATATTCTTTACAAAGCACAAAATGTCGGCATTCACCTCAAAAGCTAACCAAACCTTTAAACAGACTTATTCGGAAAGGATATAGTTAGGATACTGTTGTCAAGTCATTAAGGATTGCATATTTTCGTATTAATATTGATTCACTCATAGGGTCTTTGCATCGGAAATAAACACATTTACTAAAACCAGTTGTTGGCATGATACGGGTTATGTTCTTCTCATATGTTTTATGATGGTATGATACTAAACCCCTAAGGAGAGGGATTGTACTTGATTTCCATATGATGAAGACATAATTTTTCAATCAGTTTAATTGAGGTCTGGAGCTGGCATGTCAGTAACTGCTAGTAGTCCTTTGTTCATTTATGTGTCATTGTCATTTTGCTTAGTTTCTTTTGTTACCTATTCTGACATCTGACTTTGACTTCTTTTAAACTGAGTTTTACTGTGTGTATTGCTATGTGTTTCTTAGTCTACATTGGCTAGAGGTATAGGGGGAGGGTTGAGATCTCACAAAATATGCTTGACCCCGCCCATTTTTGCGCCTGTCCCAAGTCAGGAGCCTCTGGCCTTTGTTAGTCTTGTATGTTTTTTTAATATTAGTTCATTTATATGTTTAGGAGTTTAGTATGACGTCCATTTTCGCTGAACTAGTACACAATTTTATTTAGGGGCCAGCTGAGGACCACCTCCGGGTGCAGGATTTTCTCGCTGCGTTGAAGACCCATTCAGCTTTGGCTGTTGTCTACTCTTTGGTCGGGTTGTTGTCTCTTTGACATAGTCACATATTCCCCATTTCCATTTTCAATTTTATTTTATACTTGGTAATGATTTGAAATAAAGTACAAGAAACAAAAACCATAGTTCAGGAAGTGCTTCTAAACTTGACAAAGAATAGAAAAGAGATGCACAAATTGCCAAAGCTTACATTTAGAAAAATAATTCTTTCAAATCAAATAATTTCTGCAATTATAGCCATTTAGAAAAATAATAGCCATTTTACATAAGGTGGGGGGTGTACTTCAATACTTAACTGATAAGGGGTATCGCTGGGGTTCTGTTACCCCACCCTTTTCATACAATTTAGATTTTAAAAATGTATATATACCTCTTTTTATATTGCGTAGCTAAAAATGTAAACTTTCCCATATTGGTTGGGTTTCGTTAAATCGAGAAAATATCCCCTTTGCTAAGAGCTCAGATTCCTTATGTAATGCTTACTTACGGTGAGACTTTCGGCTGTTCCAGTGGCACGTTCTATCACCTTGTAATTGGGAAGTGCCCCCCCCCCCCTCCCGGATTTTACAAGAGACAAAACCATAGTTCAGGAAGTCTTTCTAAACTAGTCTTAAGTGTTACTTCACTAAGAGTTGTTAAAAAATCATGTGTCGAAACTATAAGGGTTTAGGTAACAATATCTTTTTTTTTGTATGTGACTAACTGTTATATGTTATTTTTGTACGAGGCCAATGTTTAATAATTCTGTAGTTACTAACTACTGCATGTTTATCGTAAGACTAAATGATATAAAACTTCCATGTTATAAACCCCAGTGTATTATATATAGACAAAGTCAATGAACTTGAAGCACTTGTAACTGGTATTGTCAATCAAGATAAGATTTTAAGCAGAGTCTCTATAATTGTACTGTAATTTCAGAAATTATTGTGATTTTGTCATTTAAGACTAAAATGCGATTTCAATTTTTGCAATATTGAGAAAAAATCTTGTTTAATTCATATAAAAATTTTCAAAATTCAAGTTTAAGTTATTTATGAATTAAATGCTTCTTTTTGTAAATTCATTGGGGTGTAAAAGCGTTGACCAAAGTACATTTTGTATGAAGCACGGTCAACGCTTTTACAATCCTATGAAATTACTATAAGAAGCATTCAATACTTATAATTACATTTTTTTAGCTAGGATCATAAAAACACGATTTATATCAACTTTTTCTTTTATTTACCTGTGCACTTTATTGTTAGAGCTCGTGTCATCATGAATGTAACATTTCATTTTGAAATGAAGGTTAATTTCAGAATGACGGAAGATTGCTGTTAGCCAATCAAAATAACGTATCATAATGAGACATACATGCAATGTAATTATAACCGTCGCATTTTTTCGCAATAATAAAAACATTGCAATAATTTCTGAATTTACAGTAAACAGATGGATAAGATGATATAGCAATATCATTTCACTCACCTTTATATCTCTAAGAGAAATTCGACCACTGTGTAAAGATGCAGTGGCTTCAGCCAAACTCAAAAAGTCCATCTTTTGTCACCAGACACATACAAATTTTATTGTATAATTCAAAACGCCATCATCTGTCAACAGAAAAATACACATTTACATGTATGTACATGTATTATAAAAGTGCATATTCCAATACATGAAAATATGGTCTACAGAAATAAAAAAAAAAATTGTATATTACAAAACTCCATGAACTGTCAACAGAACTATCCAAATCAAAAGAGCACTTTGCTATCATTGTGCTTATTATGACATAAATGGCTCTAAGACTCAAATGGCCAGATTACGCAGAATTTTTCTTCAACAACAGATTATTTAAACATAATAAATAATGAAAATTTAAAATGGGAAAAAGGTGAAAAATCTTTAATCATCTCCATAATAGAACAGTGCATAACCTCAATCATGTCAATAGGGTTTCAAACTTTCTGTAAAGTTCTAAAGATCTGGGTTGAAAAACAAAACTGGTACCACCTTTTGAAAATTTGATGAAAAATTATTAAGATCCCAAGTGTGAATAATAACTGGAACAAATTCCTCAAACAATTCCATAATAGCAGGTGCACAACTTCAACATGTGTGCAATCTTTCTGTGAAATTTCATGGATCTGGGTTAAAAACTGTAGTAGAGGTTGAGTACACAAAACTGGTGCCATCAATTGTAAATTTTGCTGAAAAATTACTTAGTTCCCAAGTCTATAAAAATGGGGAAAATTCCTCTAACAATTCCATAATAGTATTAAGTGCACAACTTCATTATATGTTCAAGTAATATAAATAAGTACCAGTGGGTTCCAACCATATGTTATCCATGTTTCTAAAAAAAAATCATGACTATTTAGTATAAATTATTTTCCCTACATCTTAAATCACCTCGGGGGAGTCACTTCCTATATACAAGGTGATAGGCGTGCCGAGACTTCGGCTGTGAAAAAACGACAGAGCTTTTCCAGCTTGAAAATATATGAATAGGTGGGGAAAACTATCAGAAATATATGATAAGGTCAATAAAGTTTCCATTACTTGTGATATGAAAAGCTCTGTTGTTTTTTCACAGCCGAAAGTCTCACCATAAGTAAATACTACATAAGGAATCCTAGCCTCAAATATCCACTTTTCAACACACTACACGAAACCCAACCAATACGATGCAGCCCGGTAATTCCGCCCATATAAGGCTTTGATCGTATGCATTTCTGCTTAAATAAATGCAAATTGTATCAAATTTAATATAAATCTATTCACTGACAACTTAATTTTGAGAATTTTATCTCATTTCCCCGAAAATATCTGAAATAAATTATAAAATCAACAAAACAAGTGTGTCACCTGTGTTTTTATCGGATTTTTTTTGTCCGGTAAATCCGCCCATGAGCAGTAAATGTGTATGTAGATTGTAGAGCCAGTTTATCACATAATTATGAAAGGAAAGTGGTGATATTTTAATAGACCACTTATAAAGGAATTCCAGACAATCGAAAAAAAAAATGAATTTCAAGTCAGAAATGAGTTTTGTAAGCAATAATATGATTATCATTATCTTTAGGAACTGTATTATAGATATAACTCGATATTTTCTTAATAATGGATTTTTCTTTAAAAGTTGACATGCAGTGCATTGGCGTAGCTTACGTTGAGGCAACCGAGGCAGTTGCCTCAGTAAAAAAAAAAAAAAAAAAAACTTTTCCTTTATAATCTTTTAAACGATTTCCACCTAATGCAGCAGACTAGTTACTAAATGCTAATATACCGACTTGTTTCGTCTTGTTGCCGCTATTGATTCATACCCTTTGCGAATTCAAGACTTATGGAATCATTTCCCTCCCCTAGTTGGAAATCCCCTTTGCGGTAGTTTTCTGTAATCTAAATTTATCGGAGTAAAAAAAAAATCGACAACAGATTTATTTAGTCCTACCCCATTGCAAGCAAAATCAGTAGAATAGATGATGATCCAACTCACGAGTCTTCCCCGATCGAATCATTTGACCATTGAATCAGGTAAGTTATTTAATTTTGTGTGAGAATGATTTCTAGTATATGAGGGTCTGGATGAGGTTTATAGAAAACAGAAAAATGCCCTGAAATTAATTCAAAGTTGAAGAATAGAGATTTAAAATAGTGCTAAAATATGAAAGAAAGGAAAATCAAATTATGGGCGAAAATAATTTAAAATAAATATTTGAAGACCCCATTCAAACCCTCATTTATAACCGTAACGTCTAAAATATTTAAAGGAGTCACTAATTCCAGAGAAATATTTATTATATGTCTGTTAGTTCATACATAATGTCAGTTTATATATAAAAATTTCAACCAAATACTGTTTTCATTCAGCATGAAGACTTCAGAATAACGTAAATGTTAGTACTTCGCCGGTTGTCATTTTCATCATGGATGGAAAAAAGTTCAAAACTATTTAAGAATTTGAAGACCTTCCAGGACGAAACACAACCAATACAAGTGCTGTGGTGCACTTTACTTGTAGCATGTGTTTATCTTCTAGTTTATCAAGAAATTCTGCTGTTCAATCTGTCCGTCGTTTTGTGATGATTATCTATATAATTCATTGATTCGTGACCCACGACCAAGCGAGTAAATGATCATCACAAAAAGTATTTCAAATAAACCTTAATCGTTGCGTTTGTTTTTCTGTATAGGTTTCTTCTGGCCATCGAACAAGGTCATGTTTTCCTTCTGATATAACGTTAAATCTTATGTCACAGTGAGGTACAGCCACCTATATTAGAGTACAACGGCTTGGAAATTTTCGGCAGATTAGGCTTTTGAGCTAGATTTCAGTTACTGTTAGCATGGTTAGCAAGTCAGGAAAATGACTTGTCAGTGGTTGTCTTATGTGATATCTTCATTTGTTTTGTTATTTTTATAATTTTGAGTTGACCGTAGATTAGATAGTATCAGTTTAAACCATGCACAACTTTCTATAGACTCAGGACAATTTTGAACTTGACATATCTGTCTCCTGTATTCGTAAAGAATTTTAAATCTGGGAAGTTCACTGAAAGGATTCGATTTGAAAAAGTGGTAAATGTTTTCGAGAAGATTTATGTATTCATCTGAACATTGAAAATGATGCAGGTATACCAGTAATCAACTAATAAATCGGTAGTATAACTTAGTGTAAGGCATATTAACATTATTATGATGAAATAAAATTAAACAACAACTATTATTTTTAATAGATTCTTCTTGTTCAAATTGTAAAAACCTCGATAGCTTCTGGGGGCTGGGCCAGCCCCCCAGACCCCCTGCCTCGGTAATAACAGAAGGCAAGCTACGCCACTGCAGTGAGGATAAGTACAGTTCCTACGAATAAAATAGCAGACGAAATATTCACGGAAGTGACAATTACGGAAGTAAATTGGAGTGGGCAGGTTTGCGGACGGGCGGAATTACCGGACACTACTGTATGGGAAAAGGGTACAATTTTACCTATGCAATATATGAAAAGGTATACAATTTTAAGGTCTAAATTATTTGAAAAGGGTGGGGTAACAGAACCCCAGCGGCACCCCTATCAATTAAGTATTGAAGTAGTATTTCTGTGATCATTCATAATTTTCAATAAATGAACAGAATGTGTATAGGTCATAGAGTTCAATGAACCTGAGATGACTATCTGTGTTATAGCAATCTAAGAAAGAGCTGATAAATAACTGGCATTTACCTTATTCCATTGGCATGATTGGATTGGTGAAACTGAACAGTATCATCTTAAAGGATTTTAAAATACTCAAGATACCCTATCTGAAAAAGGAAATTCCAAGTGTAATATGTAAAAATATCACACTATTAAAAGTCTATTTTGTAGCAACGGTCATGGCACGCAGGTTCTAATTTATTTAATGATGTCAATCGAGCTGTTCAATATAGCCTAGGATAGGCTGAATGGATTTACCTTGAACACTATGTACCTGGATACAGGACATGCTTTCTTATCTTGATTTTAACACAGTCACCAGCTACCTATTATTTAAACGTGTAAGCCGTAATTTCATTTATACTTTTTTTGCTAGAAATTCGGGGGATTTTAGAAGTAAGGGGCACACCAAAATTTTATTTCTGTACGTTGGTTTTTTAAATAAACTTCGAAAACAGCATAACATTTTCAACAATATATTCCAAAAATACAGTAAAGTTTACTTATTACCAGAAGGTGAGTTTTCTGATCTAACTGGCAGCGTGAGGCTTCATTGACAACAACAGGGAGACAACTGTAATGATGATAAATATTTGCAGAGTTATCTCCCGTAGTATGTTAAGTGCGCGGGCTTTTATAAACTTTCCTAGTAGTAAGGTCAAGAAAGAAAAATAAGTTCTGTTACTATAAATTGTTTTATGACGGCCTAACGAGATCAATTAGAAAAATAAAACAACAAATATCTTTCAATGCAATGAAAATATAAAGCAGATATACATTTTATTTACATTGTATCATAGATCAAATTCGGATGATGATTCCCGTTTGAACGGTTTTACACTAGTAACTTTTGGGGCCCTTTATAGCTTGCTGTTGGTGTGAGCCAAGGCTCCGTGTTGTAGACCGTACTTTGACCTATATAATGGTTTACTTTTATAAATTTTGACTTGGATGGAATGTTGTCTCATTGGCACTCATACCACATCTTCTTATATCTATATATTCGTCTTTACATACACGGGTCCGTGTTGTAATAAGTGATCCTAGAAATCTTTCAAGATGGTTGAATCGCCTTTTACCGTCAGACACCAAATATTAACTTTCGACTATCGTTAGCGACAACTTGATTCAATTTATATTGTGGTTTGTCAAATTATCCGGGCTAATTTATCAGAAGTCTTAATTATTTAAACTTTACCGTTATAATTGGAAAACTAACACCATGATTCGTCACAATTAGTTGATTTTTTTTTTTATCGTCATGGCGAAATGAACTCTATTTTTCTTTGTAGAGTTTTTGTGGACTTTTGTTCGTATTTTCGTCGTTTTTCTTTTGACCATGGTGGAGTCTTTTTTCTTCGACTTATAAATGTATTCTAAATGCCCCTTTGTATCGTTTTCTCGTTTAAAAAAAGAAAAGTAACTTAAGTTGCATTAAACATATACATGCATTACATTTTAAATTAAATCAAGAATTTCAAAGTTTAGACCCTCAAGAATTTCGTTTAAATATTCTTAAAGCACTCAGGTTGTCTTTAAAGTACACGGATGTCTGTGAACCTTATTTTAAGTTTAATACAAGTCAAACATTTTTTTTAAACGAGGATTTTTTTTTATTTCTTTAGAAATAAAGTAGTTATATGTTATAAAAAAAACTATATTACATCATCTTGACTTAAAGCTCTTTGCTTGTAAAGATATTTTAATGCACACAAATATCAATTGGATCCGAATCTTAATCAAACGCATGACACATCATTTATAACGAGATATTTTTATATTTCATTAGGAATAAATTATAAGCTGATATTTTTTAAAAATCGTCAATGCAATATGTTCTACATGTATCATTAACGTCAAAAACAGTAAATTATACCGTTTACATTATTTGGCAAGATTTAAACTTTATTGTTAAAAATCACACACTATTTAAGTCGGTTAGGGAGCATTAACGGGTACAAAAGTGTAATCGTATAAAAGATGTACGACTCCCAATTACTTTATACCGCCCGCTTTTGTAAAGCGAGTGGAACTATTAATATGGACAAATGAATAAATTATAATTGTATTTCGTGCATTTATTTTATTTTTCCCCGTTATGGACGAAGAACACAGATTAACCATGGCAGTACTACCTGCCCTGATGGAGATTCCACCAGATGTAAGGTACACATTTCATTCGCCATTTGATTCTAACACTGGTAGTCCTAGCTTGACCACCGACAAACCAATCTTTTACAATCAGAGAAATATTATAGGCAATGATGTTACTTTTGGAATGGAGAAATGTGTTCACTTGTTTTGCAAGCAAACGATGTTCCTTTTACAGGTGAAACTCCAGGCCCCGGCGCCATAAAACTTTTATTTTCTGAGAAAAAAAATATTCTCAAAATGAATTATATTACTCAGCTAAGAATGAGAACTTTTTTCCCTGCCATTAAAAAATATTCTCAACATGTAAGCTGTAAAATGGTTGTTTGAAAACTAAAAAAAGTGTACTAAACTTCGCGAAAATGCAGGTTTTACCTCTTTTGCAATAAAATAATGGAAAAAATAAAAGGAACCTATGATAAATAAAATCACAATTAGCTATAATACACAGGACATGGACAAAGATAAAGGTTTGGGGCATTTACCCCACATATCCTTTTATTCACATATACACTGAGTAAATGTATACTAAAATCAGTGGCGGATCCAGAAATTTTCATAAAGGGGGGGGGGGGGGGGGCACTGACTGCCTAAGAGGGGGCCCGCTCAAGTCATGCTTCAGTGATTCCCTATATAATCAACATAATTTTTCCCACAAAAGGGGGGACCCGGACCCCCTGAAAACCCTCTAAATCCGCCTCTGAAAATGCGACAATGGACATTTGAGCGAAATGGCAGGACATTTGAGCGATAAAAAAGGACGTTTGAGCGCCAAAGTATAGGACATTTGAGCGCCAAAATTTTAGGACAATTGTGCGAAAATAAAAATAAGTATAGAACAAGAATGATGCAATAAATATTTATAAAGAAATATCACTTTTATTTGTTTGTTAAAAACTAAGGCAGTATCAAGAAGGCGAAATTGAACAGAATGACAAAACAGACCCTAAAATGACATAAATATATATATTGAACAACATTAAAAAAAATTCATCTGCCCAGAACCAAAGAAATATATATAATTATTTGAGGTATTTTTTTGGGTTCTAGGCAGATGAATTCTTTTTTTATTTTGTTCAATATCTATTAATTTATATTATCAATATTATTGAAATAGACATTGAATCATATGCATTTGATTCACAGAAACAATAACATAATAAATAGACTTTCACGAACGCTGTGTGTATTCTCCGTTTAATTATTCTTTGAAATAGCAATAAAAAATCAACAATTCAACAGTTTTCTGCTTTAATTGACATACATTATTGTTTTTTTTTTTCATAGTTTTAATTCACTTTTGGGTGTTCGGTGGTGTGCGGTGTTGTTCGGCGATGAAAAGACCTACCCGCGGAACCGTACTGTATGGTCCGCAAATTGTCAAAAAATATCATAAGGACTTTTAAGAGCTACGCCGTAACGGGTCAATATAATAACCACATCCAACTATCGCGGTCATCTCAGTCTTCTTTTATTGGATGTCCACCCTATTTGCAGGGTAAATGCATTTAAAATATATGCGTTTATTTTTAAAATAATTTAATTTACCTTGTTAATATAGTTATAAATGTTAATTAAATAAAACAAAGGTAAAATGGCAAAAGGAAAGAGCACATGTATATACACTGTACACATCCGTCTGACAAGAAATTATAAAACTTACATTATTTCAAAATGGATAAAACTCATTAGTAAGACTTTGTTTAGTTTATCTACAGTTTAAAATTTCCACTTGCAGTAATAAAAGTATTCATGGTTTTTCATAGTCTGGGTTAATGGATATGGCCGTATATATCGCGTAGGAACCCTCATATTAATTTGAGTGAATTAAAATTTAAAAAAATAAAAATTTAAATAGTATGACATTTATAATTTAAAAAATCTGAGTTTGTACGATTTTAAAATATAAGATTTAACCTTAAAGAAGTATACATGGTTTAAAAGTGGTATTTACCTATTATCTAGATGTAAGATACATGGGGATATAGAGTTAACTTAGTTGGTTGCGTAAAATACATCGCATACTAAGAACCCAGCAAGGTGATCATCAAGTGACTTTTACAATTCAGTTGTTTATCATTAGTGGCCAAACGTTTATTAATGAAAATAAACTGGCCGCATAGATTAAACGATCATAACTTTTTTGATACTTTGTGTATTTTACCTCCCAACCCCGCGTTTTTACGATTTTTCTTATTTACAATTAGATATGTACCAATTCTCAGTTCAGAAACTTATGATAATATTTGTTGTTTCAAATTAAGTTTGAAAATCGAGGTGCCATAACCATACAGCCTTCATTAACTTCTTCGTTAATACTCGATAAAATTGCAATTGGACCTTCTTAAATAATCAATTTTCTCAACTTATTTATTGTAAATAATATCCACCCAACCCTTAAAAAGATCGACAATGCATTTAATTGTAAGAAATCGAAAACCAAATCAGTTTAGGTAACAAACTTATTGCTTCAGAATTTGATTGAAAAGTTCACATTTTGGCATTCGTTAGCAATATTTTGAAAATGACTTTACAAACAAGAAAAAACACGTTTAAACTAGAGGCTCTAAAGAGCATGTGTTGCTCACCTGCATCTTCAACAATTGCAACTTTTGGGTAAAAATCTTCATTAAAGGACAGTAACGCCATAAAGTGTTAACTTACAATTTCAGTCATGTTGACGTATGTGTAAATCTTATCCTGCTGATAATTGTTGCCTTTTAAAGTTACTATCTATCCATTATAGTTTTCAAGATAATAGGCAAACACATGGTTGCTACAATGTGTGTATTTACATATAAAATGAGAGGTTTAGGTTGCTACAACGTGTGTTTTTACATATAAAATGAAGGAGTTTAGGTTGCTACAACGTGTGTTTTCTCGTTCAATTTTCAATAGGTGAGTGAGTGACTGTTTTTTGAAAATTTAGGAGAAATACTAGCACACCTTAGCAAACCCTAAAAGAATTTTATCACAATAACTTCTGGGACTAATACATGATATTTATATATATTGATCTCCGCAAAAATGTAACAGTTATTTTAACATTTGTTGACCCTACAGTGTTTTGCGGTTCTTTTAGTATGACTGCTCCAAAACGATTTTATGTACTTTTTTGGTTCCAAGCGAATACGATTAATAGATATAAGAAGATGTGGTAAGAGTGCCAATGAGACAACTCTCCATCCAAGTCACAATACGTAAAAGTAAACCATTATAGGTCAAAGTACGGTCTTCAACACGGAGCCTTGGCTCACACCGAACAGCAAGCTATAAAGGGCCCCAAAAATAACTAGTGTAAAACCATTCAAACAGGAAAACCAACGGTCTAATCTATATAAAAAACGAGAAACGAGAAACACTTATGAACCACATCAACAAACGACAACCACTGAACATTAGGTTCCTGACTTAGGACAGGTGCAAACAAATGCAGCGGGTTTAAACGTTTTAATAGGCGCCAACCTTCACCCTACATGAAACAATAGTGTAGCATCACAACATAGACAGACACACTATAAAATATCAATTGAAATGACTTAACTCAATCAAAAGACATATTAACAAAAACAAGTGAACATACACTGAACGAATAAATTTGATCTATGACACAATGTTAATACATAATCAATAAAACAAGGGGGTTAGATGTTTAACAATATCAGAAAGACAACCATAACCCTGGACAAAATGCCGCCAAATAAAATAAAGTACACAGGTGAATAAAAAATAATTTTGTTGTAAGGTATACATGGAGTACGGAAATAATCTTAACAAAATAAATTATTTTGTTGTTCCTAGTACGAGAACAAACGTGAAAATTTATCGTAATGTTTATTTTACATAACTTGTTAAAACCGTGTTATTACACGTTATTTAGATTGCCATGATGGGTTTAGTTGCTCTTACTCTTGATACTTTCGGTAATATACATGTACTTACTATACAATATTGTATGAATATGTTTGTGAGCAATTTGTAATTCAATACTCAGTTTGAAATTTTAGAGAAATGCATTTGTGAAATGTCATTAAATAATGAATAAAACCACAAAGTAGTATCGTCAGCAACTAAATCAGCGTAATACAATATGAAGTGAATTATTGATATGAAAACAAAGGCATCTACTTAAAAGTTTGTAAGTTTTTTAAAAACAAAAACAATTTGTCATCAAAGTACAGGTTTCTTCATCAATATTTCAAAAGTGAATTAAACACTAGTAATACAATCTCTTGTATTTTTTGTTACATAAAAGTTTTAATTATTTCATAATACCACACACCGAGTTACGTTTTTTAACAATGCGCTTCAGACGAACGAAATTTACAAAATGTTATTTTCATCATATAATTCTCACATTTAATTGGCACAAAGCGAGAACAAGTATTAGATCCGGGTAAACTTATCAATCCTAACACTGTAATTAAATCTTTGAATATTGTTTTTATTGGTATAAATATTGATTTTTTTATCAGTAAAACCGTACTAAATATTACACATAAAAAATTATGTACTTTCACAGTACTACAATCTGTCGATACCTATAGTTTGGCATTGCACAAGGTCATGTTTTTTTCTCTGACTGTTAATGACGTCTTTACACTAAATCCATTGGATGTTGGATGTGTACTGATTGATATTTTAGTCTAAGATACAAGATTTTTGTATTAGTTGTTATTGGCTTTGAACTAGCTGTCAGTAACTGCGAGTACTCTCAGATCTGTACTTGGTGTCTTTTTGTTGTGGGGATGTATAAGTACCCATCTACGTCCACTCTGTGTTTTTGTTAGATGTATTTCTATTTGTATCCATCTGATGAGTTAAGCCCTTTTCAACTGATTTTTATAGTTTGTTCTTATGTTGTACTGTTACACCACTGTCCCAGGTTAGGGGAGGGTTGAGCGCTCACAAACATGTTTAACCCCGCCACCACATTCTTTATGTGCCTGTCCCAAGTCAGGAGCCTGTTACAGTAGTTCAGTGGTTGTCGTTGGTTCATGTCTGTCATATTTGTTTTTCGTAAATTGTTTTGTTATAAATTAGGCTGTTAGTTTTCTCAATTGAATTGTTTCATATTTTTCATGTCGGGGCCTTTTTATAGCCGACCATACGGTATGGGTTTTTCTCATTGTAGAAGGCCGTACGGTTGTCTATAATTGCTTACATCCATTTCATTTGAACTTTGGTGGATAGTTCTCTCATTGGCAATCATACCACATCTCCTTATTTTTATATTAGCTTCAGTCTGCTGCCTGGGTCTGAATGGGGATATATTATGAAATCTTAACATATCGAGCTACACGTTGATGCTGTTTGGGTTTGTATGGGGATCGGCCATGAAATGTTAACATATCGAGCTACACGTTGAGGCTGTTTGGGTTTGTATGGGGTTCGGCCATGAAATGTTAACATATCGAGCTACACGTTGATGCTGTTTGGGTTTGTATGGGGATCGGCCATGAAATGTTAACATATCGAGCTACACGTTGATGCTGTTTGGGTTTGTATGGGGTTCGGCCATGAAATGTTAACATATCGAGCTACACGTTGATGCTGTTTGGGTTGGTATGGGGATCGGCCATGAAATGTTAACATATCGAGCTACACGTTGATGCTGTTTGGGTTTGTATGGGGATCGGCCATGAAATGTTAACTTATCAAGCTACACGTTGATGCTGTTTGGGTTTGTATGGGGATCGGCCATGAAATGTTAACATATCAGGCTATAAGTTGATGCTGTCTAGGTCTGTCTGGGAATCTGCCATGAATTGTTAACTTATCAAGCTACAAGTGGATGTTGTTCGGGTTTGTCTGGGAATCTGCCATGAAGTGTTAACATATCGAGCTACAAGTTGGTGTTGTTCGGGTTTGTCTGGGGATCGGCCATGAAATGTTAACTGATCGAGGTACAAGTTGATGTTGTCTGGGTCTGTCATGAAATGTTAACGTATCGAGCTACAAGGTGATGCTGTCTGGAAGTAACACAGAAGATACGCTCAAATCGTACACATTCTTTTCTCAGTAGATTATCATAGAATGCCATCGGACATTCCAAAAGAAGAAGCTTAGGTAAAATAACTCCATGAAATTCCACTGATTTTTTTTTATCACAATCATTGGATAAAAAATGTCTAAAATAAAATATTGGTTGATAGCTGTTTGCTTAACACCAAGTGAAAAATACTGAATGCATTTTCGGGACAAAAGCAAATTCAACAATATATCACTTAAGTTGGTTCTAAAAAGTGAATCGACCAAGAGGAAGGGCGATACATTTGAATGTGGGTCACGATATTTCAAAGAATCAGCAACCCAACTAAAAAAACAAAAGGCAGGTGTATGTACATAACTCATAAACAATGAAAAGAAGTCAGAAGAAAATATTGTATGAAAAGATCATTAGTGTCTTGAGAAAATTTTGCGTCTTTAGACATGTCTTAAAGACATAATTAATGTTTTAAGATTTGTCTGAAGACATCAAATTGTCACTAGATGTCTAAAACACTGAATGATTTTTATTTGCTATGGTAGTGGCTTTAACAAGGTATCCAAGGTATCTGTGTAAATTGTATGATATTCCTTGCATTATATTCAGCCTAGTCATAGTGCCAAACGATTTTAACTGTACCATTCAGAACCTTAAATTCTACATATTCCTTTATTGAGGAATCGATAATCAAGATTATTTCTTATGCAGCAAAAATACTGCAATGTGATTGGTTAATTACCCCGGTGTAAATAACACCCCACCCTTGTTCACCCCGGGATAAATAAAATTTTTGCCAAAAAAATTTAAAAAATAAAATTTTGCCATAATAAAAAAAAAAATTAAAAATAAAATGCCAAAAAAAAAAAAAACCACAAAAATTTTCTGAATTTCCCCAAAATAAAGAAAAAAAGTATTTGACAATTCGTAGCAACATCGACGTTGAAAAAAATGTTACACTGGAAATTTTTCATTATCATTTTTCAATTTTACATCTTGGTTTAAAAATGAGTAAAGGAATTGTTCGCAAGAAATAAATTCGTTATCTTGGTGTAATTAGGGGTGTACGGAATTTTACACCGTTGTTGAAAATTCATACACCCATTCGGCTGCGCCTCAGGGTGTATGAATTTTCAACAACGGTGTAAAATTCTGTACACCCCTGATTACACCAAGATAACTTATAATATTCTTACCATGAAAAACAAACTCTGGAATATCATGAACCAACAGAGGGTTGTATTCTCCAAATGCAGAAACTGCCTCAATGTTGCTTTGTAAAATGGAAAGTTCACAAAAATTACATTTCTGTTGTCGTAAATTGTAGTATAAATACTTCAATTAAGTTAATTGACGGACGAATTATTCAACCAAACATTTGAAATTGAATTTGTAACTTATCTTATCTTCTTTTCATTCCTCTGGAGAAGTCCATATATGAAGTGAACTCACATTTACGAATTAAAGAACGCGGGGTTGGCTCCCATGGGAATGCCGACAGCCTATTGAAAGGTACTTCAACTAATTAACTCCCATATCTCGTCAATAAAAGAAATCAAGCATTTACATGTAAATTTCAAATACTATTTTGTAAAATAAAAATGGAAAATTTGATTAAAATCTCATTCTTCCTAAATGACGTTTGTATATACATTAGTCCTTCTTTTCCTGTGACATACCGTATATGTCGTATATTGCTACTACAACCGTATGGTGTAATGGGTAGGTTGCAATCAAATTAAAATATAGATCTCTGATTTCGACGAGTAGGCGAATTCTGATGGATCTGAATTTTAATCAGATTGGGGTAGGTTGTTTTCTTCCGTTGTAAAATATTCAGTATGCCTTCGGAATAAACAAATATGAGTAAACTTGTCAAATATATACCGAACGGGTACCAGTCTATGTAATGGGGTACTTTGAATCATGACATATTTCAAAGTGGCATTAGTAATATACGCCTTAAATGAATACAGTTTTATTAACAATGAATTAAATATCTACATAGATGCAATACACTTCAATTTTCTAGAAAATTAAAAGTTATGAAAGAATCAGAGCACGAGCTAAAAAAAAAAAAAAAAAAAAAAAAACAGTATCCTCTCAAAGTGATGTAACTTATTTTAGTATCTGAATTAATGCTACCGAGTGTATATATAAATAAGAACTTAAGATGTTGTATGATTACCAATGAGACAACTCTCCACCAGAGACAATCTGATTAAAATACAGATCCTATGTCATGCTTTGCTTACCAGGATCTGACAACACTCGGTTTTACTTTCTGTTCTGGTGATTGTTACATCAGCCAATGACATTTCAGCCTTTAAATTTTTGAAGGTGCGTATTAATCAGACTAAACCAGAGGATCCCGAAAGGTCTTTAAACAGAAAGTAGAATGGAGTGTTTTCAGATCATTGTAAGTAAAGCTTGTATATAGGATCTGTATTTTATTCATATTGCATCAGAGACCAAATGAGTATAGAAGTTGGCAACTAAAGGTCGCCGTACACCCTTCAACAATGAACAAAACCCATAACGCACAGTAATCTGTAAAAGGCCATGAAATGACAAATGTAAAACAATTCAAACGAGAAAACTGTCGGCCTGATTTATTTACAAAACGACAAGCGAAAATCACAACACTTTAAGTTTCCCGTGTAAAACTGAAATATCTAAATCTATGAAAGGATAGTTATTGCTGTATATATTTTATTTATTTAAAGTAAGTTGCTTTGGGTAAATTTCGGCAGTATATTTAGAGAATTCTTGATTATTTTATGAAAACATATCAAGATAACGGTAAATGTTGTTGAATTTATCAAGTAAATGAAATTTAGACGGGTCTTTACTGAGTTTGGCCATACACTGTGATTCATGCCAGTACAGGAACAAGTCTGCTGTTAAAGGGGCGCAATTGGTGCCCATATGAATACCTACAACCTTTCGATAAACCTAATTTCCGAAAAGTACATAAATTTTGTCAAGGAGAAAAATTTACAGCTGTAATCATCTGATCTCATCACACCTCCAGTAAGTATATCTAGCATATTTACCTCTTTCATTACAGAAGAAGGCTTTATATGAGTTGCAGCAAATAAATTTGCAATCAGATTTTTCAAACGGCCATTTATGTACATTTTTTAAACAGAATCACAGCTGTTTAAAACAAGGATTCCATTTCTGTTCCATTAGATTGGAAATGTTTGCCGCAGAACGTTGGAATACAGAATAATGGAAATGGATAATGTGTCTTAATTTAAATAGACTGCACAAAAATCATCAAATATTTCACTTAATCTACATCCGTACAAAAGATCGTTTGCTTAGTAATGTTAATGTTATAATTACTGCATAATTTCATTTTGTGTCCAGAGCATTAACTCGTTTGCTTCTAAGATGAACGACACTGTGGTCAGTCTAGTTCCCTTGTTGATTTGGTGGCAATTTATTGCCTCTGGTATTACCATCGGGAAGGTTCTTGTAGTTGATAATATCGAGCTTGTGTCCGATATTTTGTGGTGCTACCATTCCCTCAAGTTCTGACCAACCGTTAGGTAGCGGTACCGAGCTGTCAGATGGTAAAGGCGGTTTGTTATACTCATCAACTGGTTCCGTCTCTTGGTACTTGTCTGTTTTCGTACTGGTATTTGCCTCCTCTCTTCCTAGTGGATTGACCCGTTGACTATGCGTTTTCGTCTTCTTCCGCTTATAGATGTAGAAAGCTATTACAACAAGGATAACACATACAGCAACGATTACAACTGCTATTGCTATGTAAAGACCAAAAGCAGCAGCTGCTTCATCTGAAAATTAACAAATAATATGTTTTTGTTTAAAATGTCACATATAATATTCTTTGGGTATAGATTCAGGTGAAAGATGAAAATTTTTCAATGAGATATTAAAGAAATCCAATCAACATTAAATTAGCATCTAATTTGAAGATGTTTTAAGATATAAACTTTAAATATTTCGCCTGGTAGTTCTTAAAAAAAGCGTTTGGGAATTGGTCAATCAGATTTTAAGACTGCCTCTGTTGGTAATTCTAGTCAAGCAATCTGAACGAAATGATGAAATTAAAAACAATATATAGTTCCTATATTATTCCGTTTGGTGCAAATTAGCCTGATGGTATAAGAGATATTTCAAATGTAAAATATTTTATGACGGACGCAAATTGATTACAATTATAGCACACATGCTTTCAATGTGCCAAATGAGCTCAAAAAATAACTGGACAACAAAAGTACCTGTAGATTTATTTGCAGAATTATAATATTTAATTCTGAATCCTCTTGCTACAATTGAGTTGTCTGTTACAAATCTGATTAATATGTAAGGACCAGTACTATTCAATGCTGGTACATCTGTAATACAGCACGATTTGTACAGCGCTGTAGAATTGTCAAACTCGCCTGAAAAAAAAAGGAAGTCAGTCTTTTAAGTCGTGTTAATTTAGAGAATCTGCAATCAGATATAAACCAATAAATTTAGACAGAAAATATCATATGAAGATTTCGTTCAAATTGTACACGATGACACGAATTGAAATTTGAATAAAAGTTGAATTAATCATATGCATATGAGGACGAGAAAATGTTAATATGATATGAATATGAACCCTGCTTTGTACATGAACGACACACTGAGTCGGACTTTTAACGTGTTAGTTCACAAGGCAACAGTCAGCAGTACTATATGTCACCCTATAGGGACACATTTGACTTCGAGGCGACCAGTGTTTGCTCTTACTTCTAATTGTGTTTGCTTAGCGGAAAAGCAGCAAATGAAAATTTTATGGAAAATTTCTATGGATCGACCCGGACGGTGATCTAACCCATGATCTCCCGCTGCTTCGAGATAAGCACGATACCAGCTATGCGGTTAAATCTTCTACGACGTACAGTTTCCGATTTAAAGTGTAGGATGGCACGATTTCTTTTCAGGAGGTTGAGCACTGTGTACCTGCTGTCAGTATAAACTGTAAAAAATATTTTATACGTTAATATAAAAAAAGAAGATGTGGTATGATTGCCAATGAGACAACTTTGCACAAGAGTTCAAATGGAGTGGATGTAAACAATTATAGACAACCGTACGGCCTTTAACAATGAGAAAAACCCATACTGTTATAGTCGTCTATAACAGGTCTTGACATGAAAAATGTGAAACCATTCATACGATAAAACTAATAGCCTAATTCATAACCGAACAATTTACGAAAAACAAATATGTACAGACATAAACCAACGACAACGACTGAACTATAGGCTCCTGATTTTGGACAGGCACATACAAATGTGGCGGGGTTAAACATGTTAAACATGTGTCTTTTTATGTTGTAATGTTACACTACTGTCTCAGGTTAGGATGAAGGTTGGCGCCTGTTAAAACGTTTAAACCAGCTGCATTTTTATGCACCTGTCCTAAGTCAGGAGCCTGTTGTTCAGTGGTTGTCGTTTGTTTTTGTGGTTCATCAGTGTTTCTCTTTTCTCGTTTTATATACAGATTAGACCGTTGGTTTTCCTGTTTGTAATGTTTTACACTAGTCATTTTGGGGCCCTTTATAGCTTGCTATTCGGTGTGAGCCAAGGCTCCGTGTTGAAGGCCGCACTTTGACCTATAATTGTTAACTTTTTATACATTGTGACTTGGATGGAGAGTTGTCTCATTAGCACTCATTCCACATCTTTTTATTTATATTGTGAGCGGTCAACTCGCTCCTAACCTGCACAGTGGTGTTACAGCACAACATAAGAACAAGCTGTATAGATCAGTAGCAATTGACTTAACTAAAAAGATCGGTACTAGGCATAAAAACAATAGACAAAAAGCACCGAAATATGAGTACTCGCTGTTACTGAAAGCTTGTTCAAAGCCATTTACAACTAAAAAAAATCTTTTCTCCCAGACTAAAGTATCAATCAGTACACATCCAACGGATTTAGTGCAAAGACGTCATAAACAGTCTGAGCAACGCATGACCTTTTGCAATGCCAAAATATAAGTAAACAGTATCGACAGGATGTAGGATGATGAGTTCACATACATGTACATATAAAGCAATATATATTTAGTTATGTTTTATTTTCTTTTAAACAAAATCAATGTTAGTACTAATAAAGACAATATTTAAAGGTTTTGCTACTGTGTTAAATGAATAACCTTTAGAATAAGTTTGTTCAAAGGACTCGTACAAATTGGTATGTGATATTCCGTTTTTGATAATTATTCAACAGGTGCAGCCAAACTTATTAACCAAATCTTTGTATCTATGAAAGAATTTGGTAAAGGTTTTAATTGATTTGAGGTAACGAAATCCCTGACTTAATAATTTGCCAATAATAAATGACGTTCATTGAAATCTAAAACGCAACTACAGTCACGGTCATAGGGAAACTCACCAAATGTCCATGTGCCTGTCTCAAGTCAGATACTTTGTCGGTAAGCGTCGTATGTCATATCTTAATGTTTTTCCTTGTATGCAGAATAGGTGTAAATGGCAGATCTTTGATTATTTCAGATAAATTTATTCACAACTTTTGTAAACTTGGGGCGAGTTAGACCTTGGCATATTTTTGGTCACCTGTTTGTTGTGAATCAATACTAAGATATTCCACAAATCAAATCATGATGGTGTCCGAAAGCATTCGAACTTTACCAGTAGGAACCCTTGTGTAATATTATTCAAGTAACACTTAATTTAGATCGGTATTTATTTAATTAGCAACAGGATTCGCTTATTTACCAATCAAAAACACCTTTAGAGTAAGTTGGGGGCAATCAGAACTCTCCATTTTCAAAAAGTGAAGCAATCAGGATGTAACCTGCAATATGACCGGTCAATACTTACCATCATAGATGGATAGTTTGTCAACTTGACATGCTGACGTCACCTTTCCTTCTAAAATCTCAATCTCGCAATCTTCTACTATAATGTTTACAAATTCAGTAGGACTATCTGATGTTATGAGCCAATCATATAACAAATTACTGTAACAGACAAGCATAATTGCTAATATTTCGTATGTTTTCAATTAAATATTGCAAACAAGCACTACGTTTTAAAATAAACGGTCTTAAAGATTGTTTGGTGTGTATATTGCGTTTGTGTCTCTTGGATGCTGAGCCGTTGACATATACCAAATAGCTTCTTTTATTCATTAAAAATTGTAATTTAAACCAGATTTACAATGTTCCCTTTTGCAATCAAATATCAGCTTCTGTCGTTTTCTTTACTGTTAAAAGATCAGTAGAGAAAGAATTTCTTTTCACTACATTGTAAAGGAGTCATTGACAAATATTGATACTGAACTTACTTTGGATATTCAGTTGGGTACCCATGGGAATACAGATACTTCGCAGTTATAGTCGCAGTTAAAGTCTCATCTGAAAAGGTCACATTAAACAACAATCTGAATAAACATATATATATATATATAATTTGCAACAACAACATAAACACACAAAAAACAAACACGTATTGCTCAACTGACATCTGCCTATTGCCAAAATGTTCACATTAAGTCCTGCTTCATCTCTGTACAGATTCACGTAAAACATTTTCATCTCGTTATACCCAAATATGATGTGAATTTGTCCCTTGTTATATATTTCCTAATCTTTTATGGTTTTTCAGCTTTAATTGTCAAAATTTGCTGCTTTCAGTGAGGTGGTGCCATGTTTGATTGCAATGGAGTCATCAACCATAATCCTTGAAGATAATCACAAATATATCCTTTCCAAAAGGTTGGTAGTTATATATTCCGGTACTTTCCTTATATTTGTTCAATTTTTCCTTATGGTGACAATGTTGAGAGGCGATGTGTGTAATCAATCATATAACTTATACCACACATGTATCATATCATATAAAACGTTTTAAGATTTCTTTGTAACTTTTTTTCCGAAGAGGTACGGTCGACTTTTCCTATATTTATTTCACTCACAGGGTCAAACACTAAAATTTACCAAATCCTACTGGAGTTTGAACATTAAAGAGTCTATATTATATATTTAAATCACCTTTTTAACGTATTTTAATAAAATACAAATGTTTCAGGGCTATATGTTACTTTTGGATACATTTTGATACGCAAATTGTACATGTTTTTGTCAATTTTACTTCATAGAACGTCGTTAACAACACTTCAATCTAATTAAAATATAGATCTCTGATTTCGTAATATATTACTTCTTATATATACGAGTACACGAGTTAATATAGATCAGAATTTAATCAGATTAACAAAACGGAATTAGTTTGTATCCGAAGTCAACACATGGAGCTATGTTACAGCTTTTAAAAAGATTGAAAGATTATTTGAAAATGGCCCTGGGGTGAATTATTCAGGGTATATCGACCCTACCTCTTTTTTAGCTTTAGCAAAGATTAATCGGATTGGTGTGCCATAATCATCTTTAAACATGTGTTTATAGATAGTCACTTACTTTGAGCGTTTAACATGTTTAAGAGCTGCATGAAGGTCAGAAGTATGGCGTGTATAAGAGACAGCTCTGTTTGAACCAGTCTGAAATTATATATTTAGATCAATAAAATTGAGAATGGAAATGGGGAATGTGTCAAAGAGACAACAACCCGACCATAGAGCAGACAACAGCCGAAGGCCACCAATGGGTCTTCAATGCAGCGAGAAACTCCCGCACCCGGAGGCGTCCTTCAGCTGACCCCTCAACAAATATGTATACTAGTTCAGTGATAATGGACGTCATACTAAACTCCAAATTATACAAAAGAAATGATACAAGACTAACAAAGGCCAGAGGCTCCTGACTTGGGACAGGCGCAAAAATGCGGCGGGGTTTAACATGTTTTTTGAGATCTCAACCCTCCCCCTATACCTCTAGCCAATGTAGAATAAACAAACGTACAACAGTACGCACAGTAAAACTCAGTTTAAGAGAAGTCCGAGTCCGATGTCAGAATAGGAAACAAAAGAAAATAAACAAAATGACAATAATACATAAATGAACAAAAGACTACTACTGTACTAGCAGTTACTGACATGCCAGCTCCAGACCTCAATTAAACTGATTGAAAGATTATGTCTTCATCATATGAAAATCAAGTACAATCCCTCCCCTTAGGGGTTTAGTATCATACCATCATAAAATATATGAGAAGAACATAACCCGTATCATGCCAACAACTGGTTTTAGAATAAATGTGTTTAATTCCGATGCAAAGACCCTATAAGGGTATGTACGTATGTTGTAATCAATAAAAGTGGCAGACATGCATATTTCGACAAGAAAGGATTATTGTGACCAAATGAAAAAAGATAGGCGAAAGAAACCAAAGGGATATTCAAACTCATGTCGAAAACAAACTGACACTATTTGCCATGGCAAAACAAACTGACACTATTTGCCATGGCAAAAAAAAAAACGAAAAACGACCAAAAGAGAAATAACATGTACAGTATACAAAACACACCCTATAAAAATATAGACCGAGCAAAACGGACCCCACAAAAAAACCTGTGGGGATCTCAGGTGCTCCGGAAGATTAAGCAGATCCTGCTCCACATGTGGCATCCGTCGTGTTGTTCATGTAAGTGATCGAATGATCCATACTCCATCTTTTAAGATTATGTTTGAATAGCTCTGGGTATTCAACGTGTAGAAATTAAAAGTATCACACAAGTTTACAATCGACATTCAAATTCCAATATAGAAATTTGTAGAATCTAACTTAATCCGAATTTTTGGGAAATAAGAAAACTATAAAATGGAAAACAAAATATACATACTTGTACAGCTGGAAATCCATTTAAGTTTATTCTAGTTTTATATTAATATCAGTGCTGATAAGTGCCAATGTATCATCCTTTTAATTCACTTTTATATATTCACTACTACTGTAACAGCTGCTTTTACATTTTTTACAGAGTAAATGTTTATTCTAAATTTCTATAACTGGATAGGAATTTATCAATAAACTGTCATGTTGGATAGGCTCTTTTCCTATATTTCATCCTATCAAATCGTGTTTTCCACAATCAGTTATAACGCGTCAGTTACTAATTAGATCACTCTTTTAAAACTTTGATCTAAAATGATTGGAAAATAACAGAGACAAATCTTAATATATATAATACAACATGTCTCTGAAAATAACCAGATATTATAATTGTAATTAGATCATGCTTGAACATAGTTTTTACATCGGATGACCGTGAGGGCAATCCGGTGTATTGTTGCCACAGACATTTCTACCCACGTGACTTTCGTTTTTGACTGATAACCGAACGCAAAATAAAATTCCTTATCGCTTGTTATATATCAATTTCATCAATAAATATTCATGAAAATAATTTCTAAGAACATAGATAAATTTGGGACTATTATACTGTTAGTATAATAGTCCCAGGACAAATGATATGAAAATGTTTTGTCGTGAGAAATATATATATAAATATATAATATGTTTTCAATTTAGACTTATTTATATATATATATATATATAAGTCTAGAGATTTGCACAACGATACTAATATAAGATAGTATTATACGAAGATGTTGTTATCAAATCGTGTTGACAAATATTTCGGCTTAACAAATAGCCTTCTTCAGTGTCAATAGTTTTAACAATACTGATTGTATTCATATAGACGGTATTGATAATAGGTTACCTGATATGTTGTCGAGATGGAGTTTGTCAGATATTTACCCCATGCATTTTTATAAATCAATTGAAGGTAGAAATTTTCAACATATTAATGTAGATTCAAATTTTTTCAGATTCTGTCACCGTGAATTGGTGAACGTAGTTTATCTGTAGATCTCCACATGCTTAAAACACAAGCACAAGAATCTTTGAAATCTGCACATGCATCAGGAACTAGAAAAAAATTAAAGATACAGTGGAAAGCCTTTTTTCTGTTTTGTCATTTTTATAATTTAAAAACATTGACTTGCGATTTAAATACACTTTGCTTGTTTGCACAGTTTTTAAGTAGATCATTTAAAAGTGTAGACTCAATCAGAAATTATCTGAATGGAGTTAAGGTGTTACATTTACTTTTTGATCTATCTTTTATTCATTTTGAGTCATTTTATTTTAGATTATTTATGAAGGGATTAAAACGATGCAATCCCCACACAGTTCGGGCAGCTCTTCCAATCACACCTAGTATTTTATTAAAAACAAGGGAAGAATTAGATTTTGATGATGTCAATAGTTACACATATTGGTGCATTTTTCTTTTTGCTTTCTATTTGATATGTAGAAAATCCAATTTGGTTGGGACAGTAGATGATAGCTCTAAATGTTTGCATAGAGAAATATTTCAGTTTTTAAAGATTATTTATTAGTTCAGTTTCGTTGGTCTAAGACTATACAATTTAGGGAGAGAGTTTTAGAAATACCAATTATTAAAAATTTATCTTCTCCGTTATGTGCATTTAGTGCCTTCAAGGCCATGTGCAAAAAATTTCCTGTTTCAGCATCTTCCCCAGCTTTTCTTGTATCATCTGGTAGAAAAACTAAGTCAGTGTCCTACAATATGTTACAGACATTTTTAAAAAACATTATCGAGAAAATTGGGTTAGATCCAACAAAATACTCATCTCATAGCTTCAGAACAGGAGGTGCAACTTGGGCATTCCAATGTGGTGTATCTTCTGAACTCATTCAATTACAAGGGGATTGGAAGAGTGACGCCTATAAATTGTATCTTAGATATGGTTTAGATGACAAGATGCAAGTCTCGTCAAAAATGATTTGTAGACTGTGATATATGTTTTTTATTTGGAATTATAATTTATTAGTAGTTAATAATTTACATTATATTGTAGGTTTGAAGGCATGGGGTAAACCCAGTTTAGTAATTATATCAGATTCAATTTTAAAGTATCTTCCGGAGATGAGAAATACGCAACTCCAGGCCTTTGGTGGGCTGAGTTGCGAAATGCTTTTAAGGAAATTAAACAACAGGGTATTCACCTGGTACCATTTTAACAATATAATTGTAAATGTGGGTACAAATGATGTATTTAACATTAATACTAATTTATTTGAAAAGTACACTGCACTCGTGATATTATACATGAATTGAGGATTTGTAATCCAGATTGTGTTATTATTTTATCTTCAATATTACCCAGGCCATGTGATTTTAATCATTCTGAATTGTTCGTCATCAATTTTAACAATGTACTAAAACAGTTGGCTTCCTCTCTTACTAATGTCAGATACATGGCATGTGAGAGACTTTTTATAATAGAGTGAGGAAGCCAATTAACACTTTGTTTTCAATTGACAAATTGCATTTGTCCACCACTGGTCTTAATAATGTTTTTAGCTTAATAGCTAATACTCTTACACATCTTTAAATCTTTTGAAGTAGAATGAATTTTGATTGTGTTTGAAATTTGAATAAGAATTTTAAATTCAAATTTACTAGTAAATTGCAGCTTATTTTTAGGAGAAGGTTTACTCTTAATCTCCACATGAGAGAGAGTAGAATTTTGATCCTGTTTTTTCTATTATTGTAGAGGGTTTACACTGTTGCCTCTATCATGCATCCTTGTTAGTACAATGGTTAGTACACCTGAAACTGAACTAATAAATAATCTTTAAAAACTGAAATATTTTCTCTATGCAAACATTTAGAGCTATCATCTACTGTCCTAACCAAATTGGATTTTCTACATATCAAATAGAAAGCAAAAAGAAAAATGCACCAATATGTGTAACTATTGACATCATCGAAATCTAATTCTTCCCTTGTTTTTAATAAAATACTAGGTGTGATTGGAAGAGCTGCCCGAACTGTGTGGGGATTGCATCGTTTTAATCCCTTCATAAATAATCTAAAATAAAATGACTCAAAATGAATAAAAGATAGATCAAAAAGTAAATGTAACACCTTAATTCCATTCAGATAATTTCTGATTGAGTCTACACTTTTAAACGATCTACTTAAAAACTGTGCAAACAAGCAAAGTGTATTTAAATCGCAAGGCAATGTTTTTAAATTATAAAAATGACAAAACAGAAAAAAAGGCTTTCCACTGTATCTTTAAATTTTTTCTAGTTCCTGATGCATGTGCAGATTTCAAAGATTCTTGTGCTTGTGTTTTAAGCATGTGGAGATCTACAGATAAACTACGTTCACCAATTCACGGTGACAGAATCTGAAAAAATTTGAATCTACATTAATATGTTGAAAATTTCTACCTTCAATTGATTTATAAAATTGCATGGGGTAAATATCTGACAAACTCCATCTCGACAACATATCAGGTAACCTATTATCAATACCGTCTATATGAAATAGCTATTTTTATGCATACAATCAGTATTGTTAAAACTATTGACACTGAAGAAGGCTATTTGTTAAGCCGAAATATTTGTCAACACGATTTAATAACAACATCTTCGTATAATACTATCTTATATTAGTATCATTGTGCAAATCTCTAGACTTATATATTTTTTCCTTATCTGCACAGTATCGTCTATTCTAGACGATCCGGTACATAGTAAATTTGCTGCTTGGTCCTTTTTATAGACTACTATATATATATATATCTAAACGCATTTGACTAACAGGTCGAACAACAACTTTTCTTAAATCCTGCTGACTGCCATTGGCGATTGCCAAATAAACGGATCACAAGGTGTAATAAATGGATCTTAACTATAAATTTAATACCAAACAGAAAACAATAAACTTGCGGCGAAGATGGTATACCGCAAACAAAGGTGCAAAGATTTTTTGCACACCATATCCGGATTTCGACAATTAATGTCTCTTCAGTGATGTTAGGAATCGAAACGGTTATTGGAAGGCCACATAATTTACCTCAATTTAGGATAGACTCTTGAATTTTGAGGAGTCAAAATAGGATGAACGGATCATATAAACCCGAAGGCAAATATAATACAAGCCCAAACGAAAAAATATAAACAAGTCTAAATTGAAAACAACGTTCAAACCTAATATACTTTTTCACTTTTTTGGTCTTTTGGAAAATGTTGTTTGTGCTGTATTTAGATCCCTCTAACAAGAAATTTGTTTTGCATGCACACGTATAAAAATTGCGGTTTTTATCCAACGCAATCATAGGTTTGAACGTTGTTTCCAATTTAGACTTGTTTATATATATATCTATATATATCAATAACAAATCAAGAATACCGAAAATTTGAGTTAACGCATGCGGAAGAATATCTCAAGAACGTTTCGCGGGAAAATATGAATGCCTACTCAAATCCAATCTATTAGAAAAATCGAATTATTACAGAAAAGTGTCCACCATGCACTTGCACTGCACTAATATTAGAATAGTAGAATAGAATGATATAAAAATGGATGAAAATTATATATGCATGTAGCTGTTATATACAAATATTAATATAATATATAACAACAAACCAGAGTGTACTGATTTGTATCACTACAATATAATAGTTATTACGGTGAGGTTGAATTCCCTGTCATTTATTCATCATCCACGCACTAACTTGTCTCTGAAAAAAATATATCTATGTACCTTAACCTCATTTTCAAGTATAGAGATGTGATTTTTTTTCTTAGGCAAGTGCTTGTGACCATCCACAAGAACTTGCGGTCATCCGATGTTCAGTACTTCATTACTTTGATTTATATAGGTGTGGATGAATTGACCATTTCCGATTATTTAAAAATATGGATAAATCTTCAAATACAAATACTAAAAAGGTGTTATATCTCATAATTTGTTCATTCGAAATTAGAGAAGATTTCTCAACAGTTAGGTAAATGGTTTTCTATCCAACAAAAATTCGCGATCGTTTAAACCATGATTTCAGTTCCAAGTTTACGTTATAAATAAAAAATATTTATATTAATACTGAAATCTAGGTTTGAACTTATCTGTTTATATTCTAGGACCAATACATGAATATGTAATACGACAAATGAATAGAACATAAATAAAAGAAAGCATGCAAAAACGTCGAACAAGAACAGATTTCATAACTGATCTTCTTGATAATATCTTCAACACAAGGAAGACTTTACTTCAGTATTTGGATGCATGAACAAATAGCATTAGTATTACAGTATGTAAGCCCCGTAAAAACTAATATGTAAAAAAAGATCTGTCCTTTTCAAAAAGTTTGGAATGTTTGTATTGCTCATTCTTCTTTTTTAAGTGTATTTGTTTGTGAAATTTATCTGTCTTGTCGTGTTTTCTTTCAGCCATGGTGTTGTCTGGTCTTTCTTTGATTGATGGTGTTTGTCGCTTCCGCCATCTTCTTATTTCAGTCTATGTGTTTATATATCAAATAATACTTACCATTGAATTGATAAAAAGAGATAGAAGATACAAAGGGGCAATCAAAAGTCCAAAGTCCAAAAAACAATACTATATATAAGAATAAGAAGATGTGGTATGATTTCAAATGAGACAACTCTCCACCAGTGACCTAATGACACAGAAATTAACGACTATAGGTCACCGTACGGTCTTTAACAATGAGTAAAGCCCATACCGCATAGTCAGCTATAAAAGGCCCGGAAATGACAAATGTAAAACAATTCAAACGAGAAAACTAACGGCCTAATTTATGTACAAAATACAAAAACGAAAAACAAATATGTTACACAGCAACAAACGACAACCACTGAATGACAGGCTCCTGGCAAAAAGAAAAACGACTTAAATATAAACTGCAATAACAAACCATTTCACAGAAAACTAAAAGTTGACAAACACGAAGCCTACCAGAAACCGGGGGTGAACTCAGTAACACAGAAATGGAAATTTCACAATGGGAAATCATCTGTCTCTTTTGTCGTAAAGTTCATTTTTAACCCAACAATTTCCCGATGTAAGGCAAGATATGATGTAAAATAACAAAAATACCGAACTCCAAGGAAAATTCAACACGGAAAGTCCCTTATCAAGTGTCAAAATCAAAAGCTCAAACACATCAAACGAATGGAAAACAACTGTCATATTCCTGACTTGGTACAGACATTTCAGAAGACATATTTGTATTTGTGGTGTCCTTTCTTTCAATCATTGGAATAGTTGCAGTCAATATAGTCACTACACTTTAAAATAAAAATGGGAGAACATCATTAATATAGCAGATCGTAAAATTACAGGTTATTGCCAGCTTCTTTTCATTATTCTTCAGAAACTCCTGTATGAAGTCTACCTCATAAGAATAACGAAACATGTCGACAAGCAGAGGGGCACAGTTGGTTCCCATAGAAATGACGATTATCTGTTAAAAATGTCCTCCAATTGTAACAAATATGCCGTCAATGACAAAATCGAGCATTTTGATGATGTCACGTTCAGTGAACTTTTTGTTTGAATCAGAGAGTTATTTTACAAAGTAAGATTTGTTCCTTCCTAAAATAAGATATTTGTATCTGCTTTGGCCATTTTTTTTTTAAACAAAGTTGGGCTAATTCTTTCAATCTGTTTTTTACTGTAGAACGAGGAATACTAGTGTGAGGCGTAGAAAGTTAAATGTATTTATTCTATTATTAACATATAAGACCAGGATAATCATGAATTGTTTTTTTTTTCGGTATTCATCTAAAAAGAGGGAGAGGAGATATCAAGGTGCATCGAAAATCATAACACCATGTCCACAAACTAAAAACGACAACAACAAATCATAACACCATGTCCACTAACTAAAAACGACAACAACAAATCATAACACTATGTCCACAAACTAAAAACGACAACAACAAATCATAACACCATGTCCACTAACTAAAAACGACAACAACAAATCATAACACCATGTTGACAAACTAAAAACGACAACAACAAATCATAACACCATGTCCACTAACTAAAAACGACAACAACAAATCATAACACCATGTCCACTAACTAAAAACGACAACAACAAATCATAACACCATGTCCACTAACTAAAAACGACAACAACAAATCATAACACCATTTCCACAAACTAAAAACGACAACAACAAATCATAACACCATGTCCACAAACTAAAAAACGACAACAACAAATCATAACACCATGTCCACAAACTAAAAACGACAACAACAAAAAACCAACACTATAAGAAAACATTACACAAAATCTAAAGATTGAACAAAGCGAACCCCATAAAAAAATCAGGGGTGAAGCCGTAAGAGTCAGCAGTTCGTACTCCACATGTGACACCCATCGTGTTACTCTTGTTAAAATAAATAATGAGTCATATCCTGTGATTAGGCATTTTAGAATGACGGGTTCATAAATATCTCTCGTCTAATCCTAAGCAAGGAGGTTGTATTAGAATTAAAATCTAATGCAACCTCCTTGTCATAAGACAACACCAAATACAGAAAAAAAAACATCGGTACATGGAAATTCTCTACCAAAAGACGACCGAACGTGAGTTTGAAATGAAAACAAGGTTTTTCAGGACGAATCTTAACATGCACAAACAAATATTTTTAACGCAAAATTTAAATGCAAACTTAAAGAATTGAACACCTTTGACAGAAAATCGGTTGTGAAACGTGATGTTCATAAAGCATATACACGTCAAAGGAATGTCTTCAAATCGTATATCAAAGTGACTTAATCATAGTGTAAAGAATTGCCTTGCTTTTACAAATATTACCCGTAAAAATAAAATAGTATACATGTTTTTTGTAAATTTTAGCATGGAAAGACAACTATAACCAACATAAATGAACTTGAGTCTAAAAGACGGTACATAGCTATTTCATCAAATTCAATATGTGTTTTGGTTAAAAATATCTTTCTTTTTTCTTTCAAACGTTAGTCATTCGTCTATAAATCGTCCCCGAGGGTATCACCAGCACAGTAGTCAGCACTTTTGTGTGGACATAAATTATCATTGATATGTTCATTTTCTGTAAATTTACTGTTTATAAATGTTGAATTATTCGACACACTAACGCGCCCCAACCACCATCATGTATAGATTGCCTTAGCCGTATTTGGCACACATTTTCATATAATTTTCGGTTTCTAAAGGCTCTACAAGTTTGTATTTGATCTGGCGTTCTTTCTGTTTTAATTCGAGCGCCACTGGTGAGTCTTATGTAGACGAAACGCGCGTCTGGCGTGCACAATTATAAGTCTTGTATCTTTGAGTTTCTACAGGTTTGGAATACGACATAAGGCACACATAGCGTACAGGGGCGGATCCAGCCATTTTGAAAAGGGGGGTTCCAACCCAGGATAAAGGGGGGTTCCAACCATATGTCCCCATTCAAAAACATTGATCGTCATAAAAAAGGGGGGTCCGGGGCCCCTCGATCCGCCACTGGCGTACATGCTTACAGTAATTCAAAACCTCAAATTTACTTAGTAACTAAAAAAGTAGAGGAATAGGTAAACCAAATGAACACATAATCATGAATTTGATCATGGCAAGGATTCGAGAGAGAAAGTAGTATTTCTTTTTGTGGTACCTTTGAATACAAGATGCATACATTTATAAATTGAATTGTAAGGTTTGCGTTGTACTAGTAACTCAGCTCTAAATGATCTGAAGTCTACCGTAGTCTTATGGCATATTTAATTAAAACTCAACTAAGGTTCCTCTTGTGTAATATAATAACAATCATCATTTCATTTGCAAAGCATCTGGGGGTGGGGCTGCAACCGATTCCTTACATCTCTCAAAATTGAGGTCAGAATGCGCTACGCCTATGATTAATGAATGTAGCTTCATTTATTAAAGCCCTTCTTGCTTAAACACGTGATTTACTTGCTTTCATTTTGTATACGTTTTCAAAAATACTGCATTCAATTCTTATATTTACGATTTTCGAAATAAAAATTAATTCTAATATTTACATTTTGAATTTGAAATCAAAACACAAAATTCCGAAGAAATTGTCCAGCGAGATGAAAGCAGTATCATTACATGTGAAAACAGTTAACATTGGCATATGAAGATCATTCAAATTGCAATCATTATTGTACATGTAAGAGGATACAATTTATTGTTATATATTTCTATCAATTAGCCATATTTACTAGTTATATTGTCAGCTTATGTTATACAAATGAATAAAATTTGCGATTTTTTAAAAAGCATAAACGTTTGAGCGATGTATACGAACCTTGCCAAAAAATAGTGTTCATTTATTAAGGTAGGCGGAGTTAATAATACGGCTTGGGTTGCTTTCATACGAAATGAAAGCATATGACGTCTTTCGGCATTTGTATGAATTGAACTCCTAGTGTCAATATATGAAATTAAACGTAAATCTGTATAAATATATATTACAACATATACAATCAACTTAAATATATTTGATATTTTTAAAGAAATTAGATATAAATTAGAATAAATATAATAACATATATACAACAAACTTAAATATGCTTCTAAAGAGCTGAGTATGATAGAATCCTACACGTTTAATATAAAATCAATACAAAATAGCTTCTTCTAAAAGTGATGTAACTTAATTAGCACTTATAGTAATTTTTCAAAATAAATCGCAGTCGTGGCTTCTAACAATAATTTCAATTCTGTTCGATGAGATTCAACATGTCTCCCTGTAGAACGTAAGAAAACAGAAAGCAGGAACTGAATAAGATATCTTAATTCTTAATTAGCTATATAGATGAGATTGCATATAAAAACATAAAATGTTCATTTAATTGAATACATACAACAAATCAGTTTGTATATTCATGTTAGTGTTTAAGTTTCTGTGGGGTTTTAATTTGGTGTTCCGTGAGCGAGCTAGTCATGTGCAAAAATGGTGAGAGACACTTTAGTTAATCTCGTTCACTTGTTGAATCGGTGGCAATTTATTGCCTCTAGTCTGACCATCAGAAAGATTCTTGAAACTGATTAGATCGGGCCTTGGTCCGATATTAAGTGGTGCTGCCATCCCCTCGAGTTCTGACCAATCGGTAGGTAATGGTACCGGGCTGTCAGATGGTAAAGGTGGTTTATTATACTCATCGACTGATGCCGTATCTTGGTAACTGTCTGTTTTCGTACTGGTATTTGCCTCCTCTCTTCCTAGTGGATTGACCCGTTGACTATGTACCTTTGTCTTCTTCATAACGTAGAAAGCAATTACAGCAACGCAAACACCTACAGCAACAACTATTACTGCTATTGCTATGTAAAGACCAAAAGCAGCGGCTACATCTGAAAACGAGAAAAAAATATATAGATGATCTATAGTACTAGAATAGCTTTATATTCGTTTTCATCCCAAACTTTGTAGCGCAGGGTGAATAATGGCGATCGAAGCATACGATACTTCTGAACAAAATCCATGCTTAAGATCAGAAATGGGTCTATCGTAACGTGAATGGTGACACCATCTAAATGTGACGATCATTTGGGGCAATTGGTTGCTTTATCAACTAGACATGTTGAAATATATATTAAACACCATTTTTTTTTATAAAAGGAAGATCCAGAAAGAATAAGCTGTTCGAAAGTTGAGGAAATTAGCAGACTGAAGCTTTTAACCTTAAAACAAATAATTGAAGTGGGGCTGCTCAAACATTGATTGTTCGAGTAACTTGATTTAACATTGCTATATGCATAAAAATGGTTAAATGTTCAGCTTCATTAACCATTCAGTAAGAATCTAAGGTGATATATTTGGAAATAATCAGATTTTTCAGCAGTGTCGCTATGTGCTTGGCTTTTTTTTTAATTTGCAATAACGTAAGGATCCTAGTAACCGAAGTTGCTTATCTGGCTTCGCCCTTTATACATGAGAGATGATTTTTGAAAGTTTGCTTAACAGTATCAAAGATTGACAATGAGATCCATTTTTTCCAATTCATCGGAAAAAACGTTAGGATAACTTGTAGAGGAATTTTTACACATTATCCTTCGAAGTTTGATTACATAGATATAAGAAGATGTGGTATGAGTGCCAATGAGATAACTCTCCATCCAAGTAAAAATTTATAAAAGTAAACCATTATAGGTCACAGTACGGTCTTCAACACGGAGCCTTGGCTCACACCGAACAGTAAGCTATAAAGGGCCCCAAAAAATTACTAGTGTAAAACCATTCAAACGGGAAAACCAACGGTCTAATCTATATAAAAAACGAGAAACGAGAAACACTTATGAACAACATCAAAAAACGACAACTACTGAACATCAGATTCCTGACTTAGGACAGGTGCAAACACATGCAGCGGGTTTAAACGTTTTAATGGTACCAAACCTTCACCCTTTTTCTGAAACAATAGTGTTACATCACAACATAGAAAGACACACTATAAAATATCAACTGAAATAGCTTAACTCAATCAAAGGACATATTAACACCATTGAACATACACTGAACAAATAAATTTGACCTATGACACAATGTAAATACAAAATAAATAGTTGGTTTAATAAATAAATTCAGCGATAAGATGGAAGACGCAGAGCTCTGTGTATTCTTTCAATATGTTCAATGCAAATGTAGATATATATACAATACTCATATATCATGAATTTGATATAACAACCTTAAATAAATAAGCAAAGCTCAGACTCCCTGTCAAGTTTTACTTTACTTTACTTTTGGTCCCGTTTTATAAGCTCTGCAACGTTTTGTTTTTTCTTCAAATATTTTGGCTTCGAGCATCACCGAAGAGACATTAACTGTCAAAATGCGCATCCATGGTGCAGTAATATTGGTACCGTCAATGTTGTTAATACAAATTAATGCTAGTTCACTGTATCATGTTTTAATTCTGTTGATACCGTAGGTCATGGATAAATAGATGGATCTTTAGCAGACAACATACAAAAACATTCGAATTGCTATCAACTAGGGAGCTTACCTTTGGAAAATTATTTTCAATTTTTTTAAAAACAGGTCAACATTATATTAGAATCTAGTTTGAAGGAGATCCATATAAATTTTTGAACATCTCGCCTAAATATTTTCAAAGGAGGTGTTTGAAAATTTGTCAAGCAGAATCAAAGATCGACCCTGTTGGTCATTTCTGTCATGCAATCTGAACGAAACGATGATATTATATAAAACATATCTTCGCATAATTCCGCTTGGTTCAAATTAACCTGATGGTTTAAAAGATGTTGCAAATGTTAGTCATCTTACGACGGACGCAAAGTGATTACAATAGCCCACATCTTTTAATGAGCTAAATGGGTCAGATGAGATCATTATAAAGAATTACTGGACAACAAAATACCTGTAGCTTTATATGCAGAATTATAATACTTGATTCTGAATCCTTTGGCTACAATTGTGGCGTCGGTTACAAATCTAATTAATATGCTAGGACCAGAACTGTTCAAAGCTGGTACATCTGTAATACAGCACGATTGGTACAGCGCTGTAGAATTGTCAAACTCGCCTGAAAAAATAAGAATTCGGTCTTTTAAGTCTCGTGTGATTAGAGAATTCAGAAATTAACCAATAAATATAAACAGTAAATATGAAGATTTCATTTAAATTGTACACGATGAGATGAATGGGTCAAATTAATATATATTAATTGGCATTAACGCCAAGGGGCAATATTACATGCATATCAGGACGAGAACATGTTAAATGAAATATGATTATGAACATTGAGCTGTACATAACCGACATACTGAGTGGAATTTTGAAACTCCAAGGTAATACATGTCATCTAACTCGGATACATAAGTCTGACTCCAAGACGTCGGACCAGTCTTTGCTTTTACATATAAATGCGTTTGATTAGCGCAGTAGCAGGAAATACCAACTTTCATATCTTAAATTCGACCCGGATGTGGACCTTACCCACGACCTCCCACTATCAAGGGGTTAAATTTTCTATGAAATAAAGTTATCGATATATGGAATATGATGGCACGATTTATTATCAGCAAGTCATTGTGAGCTTGCTTGCAGTAACTGTGAACAATCTTTTATAGGTACACATTTTTTTTTTATTTCTTGTGCTTGTTATCAATTTTTACCGTTTTCTTAGAGTTAAATTATTTACCTGTCCGGGATTTTATAGTATGCTCTTTCATGTACATTTTGTTAATCTACTAGCGAGATTAAACAAGAGGCTCCAAAGAGCCTGAATCGCTCACCTGGTAAAAAATATGCCATTTATATATTTATTTTGTTTTCCTTTATTGCAATCAGTTATATTCGCTTATATGTAGATCTTCTTTCGTAGCATTTTTGTAGGTCTTGTATTGATGATCAGTTGCTTATACCTATCTATTAAAAGTTTTGGGATAAAAAAACGTAATTTTATTTCAATTAATCCTAAAACTGGTGTGACAATTTGGCTAAGTTGACCTACTTGTCGATCTTATTTTGCTGATCCTATTTGCTTTTAAAGTTGGCACTGGCTACGGTTACATAACAATAATAAATATATTATTGTTACATTGGAGACTAATTGCTGGAATGCAAGGTTGGGTAAGGAACCGATTAATTACGAATGTAACAATAGTTATTGAGTCTACGGTTACACTGCGTTATTGTTAATTACATTAATTCACTTCAATGTACGCTGGGTGACTAGTAATATGTAATAAAATAAAAATTGTTGAAAAGTTGAATTTTACAAAATTGCATACAATTTTTAAAATTTCATTTGCAATTTTACAGTTTCTACAAATCCAATATGTTGTTTTTTGGGAGCATGTTTTAGTCCGACGAATCCTGGTGAAACCAAGCAGCCATCACAAACGAGTGATGCAGCAATTTGCTCGTCTGTATTTCATACTGTACAATTCCATTCTGTATTATACTTTTTTAAAGTTAAAGAAACTTTCAATATGTTTTTACTCTTGCGATCAAGGATTTGTATATATAAATCCTTGTTGCGATGTTTATATTTTCGTCCAATTTTTTTGTCGGAAGCAAATGTATATAATGTGAGGTTGTAATATGATTTCATTACCGTCCATTACCGATTTTATGTTCACCTCCGATTTCTATATCCAACTTATCATAGCTGAAAAACCCAATAGAACATAAAAATACAAGTCAATTGTGAAGGCAATTTGCCGACATGTTGAAACTGGTGGGATCGGTGTTTTCATTTTCAGAGTCCAGATATTTTGTGATAGTAATTTCATTCTAATTGACGAAAAAAAATAAGCAACACAACTATAGAAGATTTACGTTGAATTAATCTACCGTACATTAAAGTGCATTAGTGCAACAATAACGCAATGTAACCGTAGACTCAATAATTATTGTTACATTCGTAATTAATCGGATCCTTACCCAAACCTGTATTCCGGCAATTAGTCTCCAATGTAACAATAATATTTTTAGTATTGTTACATTTTCATGTAACCGTAGCCAGTGCCTTTAAAGTTTCTTAATAACCTCTATAGTTTTTAACAAAGGAACAGTCAGCTAAAGTTTGGTAAAATTTGGCCCAGTAGTTTCAAAGGAGAAGATTTTTTAAAATTTACGAAAACGGACTCCAAGTGATGGCAAAAAACTCACCTGGCCTTTGAACTAGAAAGGCGGGAGTGCTGAGATATAAAAAAACAAGAATGTGTCCATAGTACATGTACACGGATGCCTCACTCGCACTATCATTTTCTATGTTCAGTAGACCGTGAAATTAGGGTCAAAACTCTAATTTGGCATTAAAATTAGAAAGATCATATCATAGGGAACATGTGTACTAAGCATGGTTTCAAGTTGATTGGGTTTCAACTTCAGCAAAAAATACCTTGACCAAAAACTTTAACCTGACTTGGCCAAAAACTTTTAGCTGAAGCGGGACAGACGGACGGACGGACGAACGAACGGATGCACAGACCAGAAAACATAATGCCCCTACTACTATCGTAGGTGGAGTATAAAAACTTGTTTCTACTCGCCACATTTCCAAGTGACAGTCCCGAGTCAGGAAATTCGTCAGTAGTCACGCAAAACATTTGAAGGAATGAATACAACTTTACCAGTAGGAACCCTTGTGTTATATTACTGGGGAAACGGTTCATTTTGATTTCTGTTTTAAACAAGCAACATAATTAGTTTAATACCTTCAAAATAATGGGGGACAATCAAAACTTTTCATTTTGAATAGGCGAAGGAATCAGGATGTAACCAGCAATATGACCGGTCAATACTTACCATCATAGATGGATAGTTCGTCAACTTGACATGCTGACGTCACCTTTCCCTCCAAATATTCAATCTGACAATCTTCTATTATAATATTTACAAGTTCTGTTGGAATATCTGATGTTATAAGCCAATCATATGTCAAATTACTGTAATAAACAAAAATGACTCCTATTATTCGGTATGTTGTAAATCTTACAAATAATCACAAGGTATTCAGATAAAACATGCAGCCAATATTTATCTTGGTATAATTATGGTTATTTGTAACCGATGTGTCGTTGGGTTGCTGGATCGACGTGTATATACTTGATATGTTATTTATTCATAAAAAAAAAATATTTGTCATTTTTTTCCGTTTCCAATCCAACATCAGTTTCTATTGTTTTCTTTTGTTAACTTTCACAGAAAAACACACCATAAGAGTCACCAAACAGATTTATACTTAACTTACTTTGGATAAGCAGTTGGGTACCCATCGGAATACAAGTACTTCGCTGTTGAGGTTGCAGTTAAGGTCACATCTGAAAAAAATATATTCAATATAAATGAGATAAGGCCAAAAAAAAAAACAACACATGCTTGTTTCTTGTCCACTGGCAGTAAACAATAGGGTAGATTGTTTTTATCGATACTAACATTGATTTTGTTTTTAACAAATTAAAACATAACTAAATATGTATTGCTATGCAGATATGAAAACTATAGGTCACCGTAGTCCTTCAACAATGAGCAAAACCCATGCTGTATGGTAAGTTATATTAGATAGGCCCCAAAATGACAAAATGTGAAACAATTCAAACGAGAAAACCAACTGCCTGATTTATGCAAAAACAATCAGCGAAAAACAAAAAAAGCAGACAGCAATCAATAACAACCACTGAATTACATGTTCATGGCCTAGGACAGGAATTAACAAAAAGAATATGGTGTGACACACATGTTTTTGAACGCTCAATCCTCCTCTAACCTTGGACGGTGGTAAAACAGCAAAACATAAAGATCAAAACGCAAACAATAGGTTGGAAAGGGATTGGCTAATCAGATCTACTTAAGGCACAAAACAAAAGAGCTAACGAAAAGACAAAAGACGCAACGTAGCAACCTAAGAGTACTCGCAGTAACTGAAAGCTAGTTCAAAGCCAATTACAACTTAAACGGATCTTAACTGAGTTTGGTCATAAACTGTGTTTCATAACAATACTGGAACCGGTCTGCTATAAAACGGGCGCAATAAGTGCTCATAGGAATACCTACAACGTGTTGATAAAATGTACCTTTTATAGCCGACTATACGGTATGGGGTTTTCTCGTCGTTGAAGGCCGTACGGTTGCCTATAATTGCTTACATCCTCTCCATTGATCTTTGATGGATAGTTGTGTCATTGGCAATCATACAACATCTCCTTATTTTCATATATGTTGCCAAGGAGAATATTTACAGCTTTAATCAGCTCATCACAGTTCCAGTAAGTGCATCTTGGATATTTCCCATTTTCTACACAAGGAAATGCCTGTACCAAGTCAGTAATATGACAGTTGTTTCCATTAGTTTGATGTTTTTGACATTTTGATTTTGCCATTTGAAACTTGAAAGGACTTTCCGTTTTGAATTTTCCTTGGAGTTCGTTATTTTTGCCATTTTACTTATTATTACGGACGAAGGCTTATATGAGTTGCGGCAAATAAATTTGCTGTCAGATTTTTCAAAGGATATAATTATTTCTATATTAACAGAATTCGGGTTACATATCCCGAATTATTTTTCGTATATACAGAATTTGATGAACGTATATACAGAATTATTTTCTGGCTTGTAGAATTCGGTTTACTAGTATACAGAATTATTTTCGTATATACAGAATTTGATGAACGTATATACAGAATTATTTTCTGGCTGGGTAGAATTCGGTTTAGTAGTATACAGAATTATTTTCGTATATACAGAATTTGATTTAAGTATAGACTTAGTTTTACTTATGAATATACATGCAAAAATCAAATGTTTTGACCTCGATAACTCAATTGAATGAAGACAGTTTTGATGCAATATCGCGAATTTAACATGTTTAATTTGTCAAGCTTTTTATCGAAGAACATCCTAAATCAATCATGATGAATTAATTTGTATTCGAGAGACAAAATATACATAGTTATGTATTTCCGAAAGAATTTTGTTTTTAAAAGAATGTCCTTCATCTATATTTTTGCGAGTACTAATAAAAATTTGCATAAATCTACCACAACTGCATTTTTTTGTCATCTTTGGCATCTATTTTAGCTGGGTTCATTTAAAAAATACGCCGTTATGTTGCAATAACCTCAAAGTACACACACAAAATTGTCATACCTTGAATTTTTGAAAAGATTTTACGACGAAGAACGTGTCGTATAGTGTGTGAGAGACAGAGAGAGGTAAGGGGTGTTTATACGGCTTTGTATTAACTAGATAATGAGGTGTAGCTGTCTTTGGTGAAATTTGGTTATTTGTTAACGATATCCAAGGTTTTATTTTGTTTTATCTTTAAATTATCACTTACTTTGAGCGTTAAAGGGTTGCAAATAGGCCAGCAGTAGAATTAGAGACACCTCTATTGGAACAAGGCTGAAATTACATATTAACATCAATATTAGATATTCATATTAAAAATGACAGGCATTAGACGACAGTTGAAAACGGACCAGACTGAGAAACATATAATGCATGCAGAAACTCCTCAGTAGCTCAGTACTTCCGTACTGTCATGAAAATACAGATCTTATTTTATTGAAATTTAAGTTGCTGTTTTAAATTTTAGAAAATCATTGCAAAACTTTGTCCAGTTTGACTTAACTTTTTGGTATTTTCCGGGTATATCAGTTCTTCAGTTTCCATAAGGTTTTAAACTTTAAAATATTTAGATCACGAGCATCCCTGAAGATACGTCAATTGTCGAAATGGCATCTGGTGTAGTAAAAGTGGTACTGTAAATGTTATTAACAGTATGAATTTATCTTATTGGTCATGAACCATACCATAATACTAAGGTTTTTTCTACCCCCAGGCATATATAGGTTAGTCAGATTGGAATTTTTGGTTTTTAATACTCTTTAGATTCTTAAATGATTTGGCCTTACAACTGTTTTGATTGGAAGACCACTGATGAGTTTTTTGTAGACGATCGCACGTCTGGCGTACCGAGATTTTTGTTATTGATGGGGGGGGGGGGGGGGGGAGGAGGGACGCAAGCTATCTGTAGCAACTCTATGTTAACAAGGTAGGATTGTATTGTTGATATAATGGACCTGACTGGGAAACATGCTGCATTTAGTTGCTGTTTTATTGACGTGTATCCCACATCTCCTTTTGTTTATGTTCATTAGAATGTGTCTCTTATACTGTGTGGATAGACCGTTAGATTTTAACCTCATACGGGAGTATGTTCTTATATTTTTCGATTTTTCATAGCCACCAAACTTGCCCTTTATAAGCTCGTGATGATTTAGATAAAGAAAGGAAACAGTAATATTGTATCGACACCTATATCTATTGCTGAAGACTGAATGTTGCCTCTGTGGCGTTTTGCTATTTTTCTCGTTGGGTTTCTGTCTCATTGACATACAGTACAACCATACTGGATTCATTAAGTAATAATTTAAAACGTAATAATTGACGGAATCAAACTACCACATGCAAAATAGCTTTATGCGGTATGGGTTTTGTTCATTGTTGAAGGCCGTAGTTGTTAATTTCTATGTCATTTGGTCCCTTGTGAAGAGTTGTCTCATTGGCAATCATACCACATCTTCTTATTTTTATATTTAATCAGGTACTGAGCTCTTGCAGCAATACTTCAATCGTTTGCAAGAATTATAATCAATGACCTCTGTTGTGAGGTGTGGACATATTTATTTTATGTTATGTTTATGTTATTTGTGTCTTTGGGTTGCTTGCCTCTTTGACGTATACTTTACATTTTTAGTTATTCTATGCTAACAATGAAATTTTTTATCATGAACAGTTATAATCCACCACAGACATATATCCATGCATATATAGAAATGTTTTCCTATTTCTCGCCAACCAATAAATTTGTCGCACAAATATAATCCGTTCGGTGACCAGCTTTTAATATTCAACCTCATATTTACGAATTACGCCAAAATTACCATATATAGTGGAAATGTTGATAAACCACAGTCAAATCATGTATTTAATTGTTGGTCAAGTTATCTCGTAATTGGTCAGAAAGGGTTATTGTGACTAAATGAAAAATGTCCACCTTTTACGACTGTCTAAATAGTGATGGGTATGAAACGTGTAGGCAAGAAATTTTACACAAGCTTCAGACAATTCTAAAAAAAATGTATTCAAATTAAAACACTGAAATTAGAAGAACTAGAAAAAAAAATCTGACTTAATCTGAAAAAAAATTACTGAAGGTCAAATATTCAAAGTCAGTGTTCATAAGAATACAATATTTTTGGTTTGATATACTGGTCAAAATAACCACGAGGACATTTCTTTCCTATATAAGTACTTTTTTTTTAAGCATTCAAATTTTATGACAGAAGAAATCAATATTGTAGAATGAGAATCGAGAACATCTTGAAATTAATTTTAGTCAAAGCGTTAATATGGCCTGTTATCTACATATTTTAAAATATCAATATAAAATATACATACTTGTACAACAAGCCCATTTCAGTTTAGTCAAGTTTTATAAAAATGTCAGTGTTGATTAGTCCCGGGGTGTCATCCTTTGAATTCACGTTAAGCTGTATATCAATTTTGGGACCAATATCTAGATGTTTTAGTCCCAGATCTATTGTACAGAGTTAGTGTCAATTCTGACTTTCTATATCTGCATGTAAGGAGTATATTAACAAACTGTTATATTGGATAGGCTCCTGCCATAGGAACCGACACGGAAATTTAGTCTATCAAATCGTGTTTTCCACAGTTTATAACGCGTCAGATATTAATTAGATAACCTGTTAAAAACTTTGATCTAAAATGATTGGAAAATAATCAAAGTATTATTATTGTAATCAAATATGCTTGGCAATAATTTTTGACATAGGTGTGGACGAATTATCGAGTCCGATTAAGTATTTCAAAACGATGGAGAAATCTTTAAATACAAATCTTGTACTACAATACACCTGCATTTTTTCATAATTTGTAAATTTAAAAAAAAAGATAGAAAATTTTGACGTTTTTTTTTAGTTTTTTTGTTTTGTTTTTTTTATACCAAATATGAATTATGACAAACGTTCGTTATTAGTGCTTATACATCAAATTATATGTAACATCGAATTAATAACTTGAAAATGTCAATATAAGATTTGGATAACTAATCAAATTGAAAGTGTGAAAAACAATTGCAAATTCTCAAAACTGAATATATACTGATATTATAGATGTCGGTTCTAAAGCACATTACCTTAAAAGGAATTTTAGATATAGTTAAAAAATCGAATGTATGGAACCAATGTTAGCGGCGGAGGACATTTTATTTTTGTATTCTTTAATTTTTTTAAGCCATTTTTCTCTATTCAGTAAGAAATATGCTTATTCTGTAAAATTCTTCTATTCAGGTCCTACATATGCAAATTTCCTGTTATATCATAATTTTTACATGATAGTTCCTCTTAATTCTTGTCGGTCTACCTCCAGTAGGTTGTTATTATTGACGAGTGATGGTTGCTTGTATGTACTCCGCCTTAAATATAGAGTTAACCTTAACTTGACGGCAATGTACGGTCTACCTCCAGTAGGTTGTTATTATTGACGAGTGATGGTTGCTTGTATGTACTCCGCCTTAAATATAGAGTTAACCTTAACTTGACGGCAATGTATCATATTTTTATGGAAAATAAAAATTCGATCACCTGAACTAGATTTTATCCTTGATAGTCTAACTGTACACAAGATATCAAAAAATTGTCTATCAATCAATTGTTTGGTAGAAGATTCAAATATATTAAACATTTATTGGTAGTGAAAAAATGTTATGCCCAATCATTTATGAGGCAGAAATTTGATAAAACATATTTTATTTAAGGAGATTCTGAAATATTTTAAGGCCTCCATAATTCAAATTCAGGATATCCGTAAATCATGCATGAATGACATCCAGAAATATTTCAGGACCTCCATAATCCAAATCAGGAATAATGAAGTCCTAAATCGAATTACAGAGGTCCTGAAATATTGCAGGATATCATGAAATCATATTATGGAGATCCTGAAATCGAATTATGAGGGTCCTGAAATATTTCAGGATATGGTCTTTGTTTTTTTAGGGTATAATTTGATATTTGCAACAACAATTCACGATCTCCTTAAATTTTTGGTTAAATCCGTGTCTCATAATAACAATGATAGAGAAGCAAAAGTTTTCAAAGGAATATTCTAACGCATAAGTCAAAACGAACTGACAATGCCATGGCAAAAAAAACCCCGAAAAGTTTACTAAACACAACATAGGCAACTTAAGACTGAGCAACACAAAACCCTACAAAAAACCAGGGGTGATACCAGGTGCTCTAGAAGAGTAAGCAGACTTTTATTCATATCATTTTATAACATATAAAATACTCCCTAAAAAGTCGGTCAGAAGCGATTAAAGTTATATATTAAATAAAGAAAAAGACCAAAACCAAATCAACAGTCTCAGAAGAACAGAAATGCAGAGACAAACCACGTGACAATAAAAAGGAACAATGGCAAACAAGGGACAAATTTACGCTAGTAACTAGAGACCTGAATTAGACTTTAATACAAGACTTAGTGATAGCATCCTATATGGAGTATATGATGTCATAGTATATGCTTTATACGACTTCTACAGATACGATCAGATACCTGTACTAGCGTTTTACTTTTGTTGCAAATATCAAAATATACCCCCGCAAAATTAAAGACAATATCATACGTCCCTGCGCACCCGAAATAAGAGACAGTAAATGCTGGTCTTCCCCAATGATCAATTTTAGGTCCTTTTTTATTCTTTTAATTTCTTTTTTCTTTCCAAAAATATAAAGTCTTACCTGGAGAGATCCCAGGATACATAGCTGCAGATATCACATCATTTACAAATATAATAGTATACAATACAATTTATGACATCGGAGCTCAATGTGTGCTTGTGGCGACCGGGCCGCGACCCTACCGTAGATAACTTTCATTTTTTTATGTTTGTCCACTCTATACTAGACAGATATATGAACTTTTTGGTAGTATAAGGAAGTTCCCAAATATTAATCTCGATGTCCTGCTCTATGGCAACCCAGATCTCAATATAGATGAAAATATTGAAATATTTACAAATATACAACAATATATTAAAAACGTGGTCAGACCTATAATTCGACAGTCCTAAAATTCGACAATCATATAGTCCGACAGCCCGTTGGTATGACAGTCTTATAATCTGACAGCCCGATAGTCCGACGCGCGGTCACTTGTCTGAAAATATATACATATAAACATGTAACGTTTTTATATAGGTATATGTAGACAAGACTTTAGTGTCTGTGGTTCAACTCACATATAATGACTACTAAAAATGAGTTACTTTTTCATCTTATTTTTGCCTCCGTAAACACTGATTGCGTCATACTATTGGCTATAGAAGTTTTGTACTTTCCCATGTAATCATATATTTATTAGGTGTTTGTCTCAATTTTTTTCCCAGGAAGTTAGCTCGAACGCCCTGAAAAAAATATACAACTAATGCACATACAGCCTGTGGCGGGGTTAAAATAGTGTGTTGGCGCCAAACCAAGTATATATATTAGCCTGTTACATTTATGGTTCAATACTGACAGTAACTGGACATAACTAGCTTTGCCTTATTTATTATATACTTGTTGCTTAATCTGTTTCCTGTAAAAAAAAAAAATAAAAAAAATAAAATAAAATTTATCTTATTTCTATTGTCCGCGATTTATAAGGTCTAATCATGTGGAAGTGCGGATTATTGTTTCGTTATTTATCTTTTTGTCTTGTCAATGCCCATTGTGTGAATTTGTTACCCTTCGTTTCGTCTTATATGTTTGTCGAGTTTCTGTCATCCAAATGCTTTCTGTGTTGAATAATATGAAAGGATTGAGTATAAATGCATGACTCTCTCGGACGAAAGGGGTGAACAACGGGGCGAATTGCTATGACAAGCCTGTAGGTCAACGTCAAATTACGTCACAATAAATGAACTTATCGTCTAATTCTTGTGCCAAACTTTTGTAGACCACTTCATTTCAAATAGAATCTTACAGTTAAATAAAATCAAATTTCGCTCTTCACAAAAATTAAACTGTTAGACAGTAAAGCAAAAACAGTTCTCAAGTCTGTTCATAATTGAAACTTAAGTTTCCTGCATGCATTATTTTATCCCTACGCGAAGAGTAAACGTCTTGTTACGTCATAGAAGGTAACAGATCATTCTTCCACAACTACGAGAACGTAGAGGAACTTGAAGGACCGAAAGAATCAACTCTTGGTTTCTGAGTTTTTTCGAAGATTGCTGCAGAGGAAATTTTAAAGCATCACCGTTTTTCAAGTAAGTAAAACATTTCATTTATGATTATGTGGTGTGTTCTAAAACGTCATCTTATAAAGGTATCAGATCGAATATTCAGTGCATGTTTGCAGACGTCTGTCGTCATTTATTGTGTTGATAAAAAACGACGAGCTTTTAAATGCTAACGTTCAAGGGAACTACAGCAGGATAACATACGTATTAAAAAGATATCTTTGATACCTAATCATTATTTTACTGCTCTGAAATCAAACAAGTAAATAAATTGTAAGGAAGAGACCCATCAACTTTCCCGGTAGTCCAGATATTAATCATGCTGAGAGTAATTTTCGCTTTTGATTTTTTTTAACCATCATTGAAAATAGGAAGGCGTCAAAGCAAAACAATAATTTAAAATAGCCTGCCTAGACATCATAATTATTTGGGCTACTTTCCAGGCGAATATTTATTCCAAACAGTGATTTTATTTTTATTTTGGTTTCAGAATGTTTCCTTCTCCAGGGCACAAGTCTAGGAAATCATCACCTAAGAGTGTAGATGACACCAGCCTTTCTCAGGAAAAGGGTGAGTAAATTGCCTGTCTGAAACCTTATAAAATTGTTTGTATAGATGAAATAATCAGTTTTAACTTTAACACATCAGGCTGTCATCAGGTAGGTTAAACTGAAACTGTAAACTAAACACCACGGTTAGATCAGATCGACACAAGTAAAAAGGTATTTCAGGACCTACAGTAAGATTGGTTGCACACACAAAGCAGTAAAGTAAGATTGTCGCGAGGTTATGTTTATGACAAGCCGTTTTTATATTTGTTTTATTTCAAGAAATATTATAAATGGAATAAGATATGATCTTATCAATAAAATAAGATATCTTATTAATGAATTAAGATATCTTATTAAACAGTTTATAAAGATATCTTATTTAGTAAAAAGTTTATTAGATACATTGTTTATTTCAAAAAATATTTTACAAACTATATAAGATATCTTATAAACAAGATAGATGGGCGGATCCAGCCATTTATAAAAGGGGGGGGGGGTTCCTAACCCAGGATAAAGAGGGGGTTCCAACTATATGTCCCCATTCAAATGCATTGATCGTCAAAAAAAAAGGGGGGGTTCCAACCCCAGGAACCCCCCCTGGATCCGCCACTGATAGGATATTCTATAAACTAATTGGGTTTTCTTTTAAAGTATATAAGATATCTTGTATTTTTTATGATATATCTTAGTTGATACGATATAATATAAACTAAATAAGATATCTTATAAAATAACAGATATATCTTTTATACTAATAGATATATCTTATTAAATTTGAAGTTAATAAGATATCTTATCAAATAAAAGAGATATCTTTGAAGCTAATAGAAATATCTTTATTCCCAATAGCGATATCTTATTAACTAAAAGAGATATATCTTATTGTCAAAAAATATATATTCCATATTTGATTATAATAATATACCTTATATATTTGATAAGATATCTTATAAACTAAATAAGCTATAATATTAAACTAAATAAGATATCTTATAAAATAACAGATATATCTTTTATACTAATAGATATATCTTATTTAATTTGAAGTTAATTAGATATCTTATCAAATAAAAGAGATATCTTTTAAGCTAATAGAAATATCTTTATTCCCAATAGCGATATCTTATTAACTAAAAGAGATATATCTTATTGTCAAAAAATATATATTCCATATTTGATTATAATAATATACCTTATATATTTGATAAGATATCTTATAAACTAAATAAGCTATAATAATAAACTAATTAAAATAAGATATCTTATAAACTTTATAAGTTATCTGATAAATCAATCAAATAAAATATCTTTTTAAATAAATGAGATATCTTAAATATAATATCTTATTGAGATATATATATATATCTTATTTGTTGAATAAGATATATCGTATTCTTAAGTTTAAGAAATATCTTAATACTTATTACATCTTAAGTCAATACGATACCCTTGTAAACTAATTCAGACTATAAACTAAATAAGATATCTTATAAATAATAGAGATATCTTGTCAACTATCAAATATATATCTTATATATATATTTAATAAGATGTTTTTTATACTAATTAAAATATCTTATTAATCAATCAAATTAAATATCTCATTACATTTGTATAGAAATCTTTTAAACTATACAAGATAGCTCATAAAGTATCCCAGTCTTCACGCTTAACCTCAAGACCACCAGTTCGGGCTTGTAAAATTCTTCTCTACAAGCCAACACAATCTAACTAAAATTTTCATAAAATTGAGCTGCGGGCTTGTGGATTCAAAAGTTTATTGTGAACACTGGTATCCCTAGTGTCAATTTAACTGCTTTAATAGACTCTGTAGGTGCATACTGGTATTTGTGTCAATATAACTTTATTGCTTACTCTGTAGCCTCAACCAAGACTAAGCAGTAAGTTAGATTGACACAAGGTATGTGGCTTCATATACTAAGCAGTAAAATTAGATTGACACAAGATATGTGACTACACAGACTAAGCAGTTATGTTAGATTGAAACAAGGTATGTGTCTACACAGACTAAGCAGTAAAGTAAGATTGACACAAGGAATGTAACACACAGACTAAGCAGTTATGTAAGATTGACACAAGGTATGTGACTACACAGACTAAGCAGTCAAATTAGATTGACACAAGGTATGTGGCTACACAGACTAAGCAGTCAAGTTAGACTGACACAAGGTATATGGCTACACAGACTAAGCAGTCAAGTTAGGTTGACACAAGGTATGTGGGTACACAGAGTGAGACTAAGCAGTTTTGTTAGATTGACACAAGGTATATAGCTACACAGACTAAGCAGTTATGTTAGATTGACACAAGGTATATGGCTACACAGACTAAGCAGTTATGTTAGATTGACACAAGGTATATGGCTACAAAGACTAAGCAGTTATGTTAGATTGACACAAGGTATATGGCTCCACAGACTAAGCAGTCAAGTTGGATTGAAACAAGGTATGTGTCTACACAGACTAAGCAGTTAAGTTCGATTTACACAAGGTATATGGCTACACAGACTAAGCAGTCAAGTTAAATTGACACAAGGTATATGGCTACACAGACTAAGCAGTCAAGTTAGATTGACACAAGGTATGTGATACACAGACTTAGCAGTAAAGTTAGATTGACACAAGGTATGTGACTACACAGACTAAGCAATTAAGTTAGATTGACACAAGGTATGTGATACATAGACTAAGCAGTAAAGTTAGATTGACACAGGGTATGTGATTCATAGACTAAGCAGGAAAGTTCGACCAAAACACGGCATGTGATACACAGACTAAGCAGTTTAGTTAGATTGACGCAAGGTATGTGGCTACACAGACTAAGCAGTCAAGTTAGATTGAAACAAGGTATATGGCTACACAGACTAAGCAGACAAGTTAGGTTGACACAAGGTATATGGCTTCACAGACTAAGCAGTTAACTGTTAAGTTAGATTGACACAAGGTATATGGCTTCACAGACTAAGC